TTGTCATGCAATTACCTTAATACAGTTTTCTGTTTGAGTATAATTTAATTTTAGAAGAAACACTTTAATTTTATTTAATTGGGAAGAATAAGAAGTAAGTGGGCTAATTATATTTTTATTAATGAATAAGTTAAGCAGGAAGGGACCTTTAAAAGTAAAAAATCGTTGGGCAAAAGAGGTGTGTTTGAGCGGAGTTCGGAATTGGACTTTTCGTTGTGTTAAAGATGTTTGTTCGGATGTTTTAGATTGTGATGGCGTTTTGAGTTGGCGACGACAAGTTGATATAATATACAGTTGCCTGACCGTCAGGAGATTACATTCTTTGTATAATTCTGAAGTTGGATGCCGAAACGGTTTTCTAAGGGAAATTTTTAGGATAGCACGCTGTGCCCGTTCTATTTTGAGCATAAGACCTGTTACCGCACCGCCCCATGTGGAAATGCAATAAGATAACACAGATTGGCATAAAGCTATATAGACTGTCCTAATAGTATTAGTCTCTGCCGCCTTACTGAGGCGTTTAAAGGCGCTTGAAAGTTTTCGGACACGAGCGCACAGATAACTAATGTGAGGACCCCAAGAAAGCCTCGAGTCTACCATTACCCCGAGGTATTTAATAGAATCAGTCGATTCTATGGTTGGACATTGGCAGGTCGAGAAGGGGTTATGACAAGAATGGAGTTTAATAGGGGGGATTGGTTTTGGGGCAGTTGCCTTAGAGATGTTAAAACAAATGTATTTAGTTTTTGTTGTATTAAGCGAAAGAAGATTATTGGTGAGCCATTGAGAAATACGGGTGAGACCCGTTTGGGCAACGAGGGCGGCTTGTTCCCAGGAACGTGAATAAAAGATAATCGCCGTGTCGTCAGCGAAGGAGAATAACTTGGCATTAGAAAGCTTCATTGTACATAAGTCGTTAATATAGATTAGAAATAGAGAACTGCTTATTGCACTACCCTGTGGCAAGCCGTAGGAGACTACTTTTTCCAGGCTTTTTAAACTATCTATTCTGACTATTTGTTTTCTGTTGGATAGGTAAGATCGGAACCAGTTTAGGATGTTGCCCCGGAATCCTAATCTTTCCATTTTTTCCAACAGGATTGGTCTGGAGATAGTGTCAAAAGCTTTCGCTACATCGAGAAAAACACCAATACACCTTTGACCCTCGTCCAATTTTGAGCTAACAGTCTCAACCAGAGCAGTAGTTGCGTCTTCTGTCGATTTGTTATGCCTAAAACCAAATTGGTTATTAGCTAGCATGTCTTCCTTTTCCCAGTAATTGAGTAGTCTTGTATTGACGACTTTCTCCATAATTTTAGCTAAGCTTGGGAGAAGTGAGATAGGGCGGTAATTCGAAACTTGCGTCTTGCAACCGGATTTATGAACTGGGGTAATGTACGCAAGTTTCCACGATTCGGGAAAAATTCCTTGTTCAATACTGAGGTTACAAATGTATGCTATAGGCGCTGCTAATATATTTTTTAGGGAAATAATTATACGGTTGCTTATGATGTCATGTCCTGGGGCCGCATGGGGTTTAAGGGAGTTAATAATCTTAAGGATTTCACGCTCGTCGCAAGGGAGAAACAGAAAAGAGTTAGGTTTGGAGGGAATGGAAATATTCTGGACTAGATCTTTTTCAGTTCGCTTTAATTTGAGCAAGGTTTCTGTAGAAATCTTTTCGCCAATCGTTGAAAAGAATGAATTTACAGTATTGAGGGATTCTTCCGGGTTTGGTTTGATATTTAGTAATTTACTTGAATTTTCTTTATTAGAATTAAGATTGCATATATTTTTGATACATTTCCAGAGTTTTCGGTTGTCGTTTTTATTTTCTTGTATAGTCATGCTGTCGTGAAGATTTTTAAGGTTTTGGAGGATATTGTTACAATAGTTGCGATACTGAGTGTATTCATTTTGGAGTGTTTGATTGTTCGGCTTTTTTCTGGTTAGTGAGTGTAGATAGTCTCTTTTTCTAACACAGCGTAATAGTCCAGGAGTCATCCATTGTTTTCTGATTGCTTTGGAATTTCTTTGGGATCGTGTTTTGGTATGGGCTTTAATAGATTTATTTAAGCTGTTTGTTAAAGCCGTGACAGCTTCGTTTATGTTAGTAAAGGACCATATAAAACTCCAGTCAACCGAAGAAAGGTCATTTTTTAATTTATCAAAATCAATTACCTGATAAGAGATAGAAGAATTAATTTTTTGGGTGGTGTGAGGACGTGATTGCTCGATTCCGATAATGACAGACATATGATCAGTGACTTGGGAAGGGCAGACGGCTACTTTTGTAGGAAGGTTTGATCTAAACAAAGCGTGATCTAAGCAGTTATCTCCGCGGGTCGGAATGAATTGACCTTGGATAAATCCATGGTAATTCACTAGCTCTAGCAGTTTGTAAGCTCTCAAATCGTCAGTCAGCTCCTTCAGGTCTATATTAAGGTCCCCAATAATGTAGATAGGTTGACCGATGTGGGAGAGAATTATGTTTTCTAGTGCGTTGAGAAAGGCATCAACGTTGTATGTGGATGGAGATCTATATATAGATATGATTACCGTTTCACTATTCAACACACTAACTAGAAAATTTGCTTCAGGATAAACCGGTTCAGTAGTAATCAGGTTCATGCAGTTTCTGTAGAATATAACAATTCCATCGCATTTATTTTTGTAACTTTGGGAGAAAGTGCATATGTATCCGTCAAGAATTAAGCCTGTAAAGTTTTTATCAATCCAGCACTCTGTTAGAATGATTAAATCCGGCTTGAATTGAAGTCTTGTTAGGAAAACTAGAAAACTATCAAAATTTTTATTTATGCTTCGAATATTTTGGGACACTATTGTTAAGTTGGAAGAGTTGAAAAAAGTTTTGCAGTCTTCAGGATATGTAAGGTATTCATTGGGTATAAAATGTGTATTGTCAATATCGCGAATTAAATTAATATTATCGAATTTAAATAGATGGGTGTAGTAGGACGCAAAACTTTGCCTTTAAAAAATTATAATAATACTTGGTTAATGTGGAAGAAAGTGTATAACTTGTAGTACAACTAATTGTTTTACATGAGATAACTAAGTGTTTAGGAATGACATTAATGTTTCCTTGGAGTGTTGGTAATAAAAATAAATAGAACATTTGTTTTAGAAATTCCAAGACGTTCGACCCGACTAGAGTAAAATTATAATAACTATGTTGATAACTGAAGTGTGATACTAAACAATTTAATAGGTGTTTGAGAATACTATATAACTTGGCGTAATGGATTGATAACATTACATTTGATTTATGTTTTGACATTAATAAGTTAAGTAAAATTAAGACTAGTCATGCGCTATTTAGCAAGTTGAGTTGCTCTTCGTTCTTTATGAGGATGTATTTGGATCCGTTATTTTTCCTAAGATATACGTTACCATTCGAAGACCAGCAATAGTCGTATTGTTCTGATTTAGCCAACTCCCTCGCCAGAAAGAAAAGCCGCTTAGCCTTCGGTGTAAGAAATTCTGAGACATATATAGGAGTATGTCCCACCATTCCTATGTGGCTGCAGTTCAGTTGACTCGATCTGTGCTCCTTGTTATACTTTCGAACAGCGCTTAAGATGTTAGTTTTTGTGAGGGTATTACATAGATCAACGGTGAGGTTCCAAGTCGAGTTATCTTTTCTTGAAAAGTCAATTTGTAGACTAGACGCAAGCTGAGTTAAATAGGCGAAGAGTTCGGCTTTGGACGGAGGTTGACTTTGCTTGGGAACGTTTCTAATTTCAATAGTTGTTTTGTGGATGGCTCGGTCTAGGGCTTCGTGCTTCTCTTCGAGGTCCACAAGTTGAGCCGACAATGCTATAATATTTTTTTGGAAATTGTCGATTTTTCCTTGCATACCTTCTATTTTTGTGGAGACGAATTCGATCGAATTTTCGATGGACTGGCTGGTCTCGTTGACTTTCGAGAGCTTCGAAGATAATTCAGCGATACACCCTTCCATAGCCTCTAAACGGCTATTCTGTTGATCCCGGAGTTTGTCAAGCTTGGAGTTTAGTTCGCGCTGGAAAGTGCGCAGCCATTCCTTCATCTCGTTTCTTAAAACGAGAAAGTCGTCGTTTTCGTCCCGAGCCACTTTTTTCCTTTGACGCAACTTCGTATTAACGTTGTCCTCAAACCTCAAATACATTCTTAATTTTCTCGACGTTGTATTATATAATGAAATCTAGACTAATATAAAATAAAGCTGAAGAGTTTATTTGTTTGGGCGAATTGAAAAGAAATGGGTGGGGAAAGATATAAAACAGAGTGTAAAACATTGCGATGTGGCTAGTAGGAGGGCAAAAAAACAGCGGTAAATGTGAAAAAGGGGGAAAATTATTCATCTTTGTGGGTTTTCGATCCTAGGTACGGATCTGCGAAAACGGTTTAAGATACCCAAAAATTATTTATTTATAATTAAATTAAGTAAAATTCCTCCTTAAAGGATAAAAAAGTGACCACGATACTAAACTTAAGATTAACTTGCAAGAACAACGGGATGCGAATAACAGCTATAATTTATAAGAAAAGGTTTGCTATACAAATTTAGATGCCCAAAATAACTAGTCCACGCGGACAAAGTCGCAAACTCAGCTAGTCGTATATATACTTTTTATCAGTCGAGAATAATAAAAGTGAGATATGAAAAAAAACGATTAATTATTCGTCATACACAGTCGAGAGTATATTCATTCAATTAGCTAAGATTCAGAAATTGAGTATATTTTTCTTCATAATAAAAAAAAATGCTCTTTGTTAAAATTCAACGTTATTTAACAATTATTATTATAGTTGAGATGTGAGAAAACCTTATAAATATTTAATAGCTCATTTCTTGATAGAAGCTAATGTCAAAGTACATTCTTTATATTTCAGTGACAGCTATCAATTGTCATTTTGACATTTGTTTTAATTTTTTGTAAACAAAGCAGCACGTTGTATTTGTACTGTGTTCACATAAATACAATTATTAAATGATGGCAAAGGATCCGTTGGACGAATTAATAGATTTCCTCAAGCCTGACTCGAGGGTCGATCTAAAACATATATCATTAGACCATTTACTAGGTTTATCCGGCACAGAGGACGGAATAAACATAATTTTGTCTAAGGAAAAGATTCTACAATGTATTATTGATTTAACAAACGATAAAGTTGAAGAAATAAGTAAAAACGCTTTGTTACTTCTAATTAATGTCACTGCAAACTCGAAAGGAGTGCTAGAACTAATAAAATACAAACCGGAAGGTAAGAAGAATGTTGTAGGAATATTTATTGGTTATGTTCTTGATCCGCAGACGAAGAACGCTGACGTTGCTTGTATGATTTTATCAAACATAACACGAGTAGAAGAAGCCCTAAAGATAAGTATAGATACATTTCTACCGCATCTCAATGATTTACTAAACGTTTTTGTAAACATAGACTATAATAAGAATGGTGCTAATTTAAACTACTTAGCTCCACTAATTAGTAATCTAAGCTGTAATATAAGAGTACGTAGATGGCTAACAGAAGAAAACCCCCACTTGCCGCTGATAAAATTGCTTCCTTTCTGCAACTACAGCCCATCTAGTATACGAAGAGGTGGTGCTATAGGCACCTTACGAAATATAGCATTTGACACTTCACATCATGTCTTTCTGTTATCCAGAGATTTGGATCTACTGACCTATTTATTAACTCCCTTAATGGGTAATGAGGAGTATGCAGATGAAGAAATGGATGCCCTGCCAATTGCTCTGCAGTACTTACCGAAGGAAAAAGAAAGGGATCCAGATATTGATATACGCAAGATGGTTTTAGAGACTTTAAACAAATTATGTGCTACTAAACAGGGTAGGGAGACACTCAGGAACAATGGTGTCTATTATATTTTACGAGAATATCATAAATGGGAGAAAGATGCAAAGACCAGACTTGCCTGCGAGAATGTAGTGGATATTTTAATACAGAAGGAAGAAGAAGTTGGTGCTGATGATTTATCCAAGGTTGAGGTACCAGCAGACATGACGGAAAAGTTTCAAAATATGGATGATGAATATGTAAACAGTGTATAATAAATGTTGATTTGTTAATTGTTGCCGATGAATTATCATCAGGTAATCTTGTTTTGGACCCTGGAAAATGTAAATAAATATTACTCAAATGCAGACTAGTGTCCATCATTGATATGTATGTTTAACATTAACACATTCATTTTGTGTACAAAATTCAAACTTTCTCATATGTGAGGAAATAAAAATGCAATTGAATCAAAATATCTTCTATAATTACAAAATCTTATATTTACGAAATACCACAATTCTTATTTTATAGAACGTCTTTGTCTTACAAAATACTTTATATTAATTACTTATATAAACTTTCAACTGTTGGAAAAAACATCTTATATTCTGTTGTAATATCTAAGTAAATATAAGATGCCTAAGCAGAGGCGGCTGCACTTTAAGTGTGTTCGTGAACCACCAATTCACAAGACTTAAAAATTACAAAATAGTCTTTACTTTAAATCACTATTTATATAAAACACTGTAACGGTTTAAAACGCGATTTATAGTAGTTAAACATAGTAAAATAATTCTCAGATAAGTTTAACTATGTATATATATTGCATTTTAAAGTGTTTTATTTAAATGTATACTACACGCTTAAACTACAGACAGTATTTAATTTACTATTTTAATATTTATTTTTTAATCATACAAATACAAATAAACAAATGTCCAAATATGGTGAAACAGTGAGCGCTTTACTATTAAGAGTTATTTTCCTATAAAATTATAGGCAAGCGTAAATAGACTGCTAATATAAATTGAACGAGGTACAAGTCAAACACCTGACGCGTGAAATAAAAGATAGTTCAAAGAAATGTACTGAGAAATTAATCGGTTCCCGAGCGGACCGAAGATTGCCGAGAGCACCCGATGTTTGACGAATTTTAACAAAGGTATTTGAAGATTTTTTTTCAGAAAAATGTCAACACATCGATTTAATAAAAATAATCGTCTTTTATGTCAATTGTTGTTTTGTTAATATTTGGTAAGTAAACTGCACCACCAATTCAATAGCCGCCACTGTACCCAAGATAATGTGAAATATACTTCAACAAAAATTTGTCGAAGAAATAACAGATCTAAACACTTTTTACAAATCGTTTAAAAATAGTAACTAAGGCTGTGGAGGTTTGTACGTTTTTATCGCTTCCATTCGTGCTTGTCGCCTCTCTGATGGTGTAGCACCCTTAACTTTCCTAATTATATGAGGTGCCTTTGCTGTAACATCCGGCTTATAAGTTGTTGCATTCTGTAAAACCAAAACAAACTGTCATGGCCTCAAACTCTATGGTTTAGACTTTTTTTACTACAGCAGCAAAATTTTAAACCTTAACTATTGAATGCATATTTATTTTAAAAAGTTCCATAAAAACTTACTGATTCCCATAACTCATCACTGTCTACATTCGCTGCGCTACCAATTATCTCCACATTTGGACGGTACTCATCGTCCAAAATATAGACTTGAGTGTCTAGCATGTCGCGTTTCTTACATGTGCTTATGTGAAACTGTAACAATAGTAATAGGATTCTTAGTTATGCACTTATTGAATGTTGAAATCGCCAACTCTGACAGGAATAAAACCAGCGACAGACAGTGTCCGTTACTGTTGCTCAGCAAATAACCACTAAGTTATTGATCTGTTTACAAAAATTCATTTATTTTACATATTACTGTGAGTTGTATAGTTACTTAGGTAGTTAAGGAATCCATATCAGTCCAGCTACAACTACATTATTTTTTTACTAGTGCATTTAACGAAATAAAGTGACAGTTACAGATAATAAGTAGAACAAACATTGTATACTCACATCTAATTCTACATTATTGATAACATGTGTGGCGTCAAATGGACAGTTAACTTTATCACAATGGGGATATTGCTTTCTGCATTTCTGCAAGTGTATATGCATCCGATAGCGCTCTACTTGGTGGGCTTTGTTATATGGACAGGTGATCAATTGCATCGGATCTGTGTCAGCCATTTCTGTAATCAACATAAAAGTAAGTTAAACAGTTTTAAAGATTCTTATGATGCAGTATTTAGTAAAAAATATTGGTGGAAGCTATCAGAAAATTAAATAAAAAACTGTGAACAAAGTTCTTGGATATACGGACTCACGTAAAACAATACCTGGCGTGTTTTGCCACTATGCGTCTTAACGTTGTCGAAATAAATGCGAATCGTAATTTTGCGTAGATTCAATCTGTTGATTATAGCATACTGAAATATTTTTTAATCATGGAAAACAAACTCCTTACCAATGTAGCGTAATTCTTCTTTTTGAGACAAAAGCAAAGAACGAAACAATCTAAAATTAAAAGCAACGTTTACTAGTTATTAAAATGCGAAATTGAAAATCTGTCAATTGACAATATATTACTTTGATGCTTCTGACAGTTGATATTTAGGGCGGGTGAGGTCCAAAATTGAAAAAAAAATGTGTCTTACTAAACTCTCTATTGAAAATAAATCAGCTACCCAATCATATACTTCTCGATTTATGCATTAACTTAAAAATAATAATTATTGAGACATTGAAAAAATAAAATAAACGAAAAAGTGACTCAGTTATAAATTGTATAATTATGTCAATATATGTCAATTGTCACTGACCAACGTTTTGAATTTAACTTCAGTGTTTCGAATAAATTGAGTCGGTAATTTTAAATTAGTTAGACTAACTTTCAATTTTGTATTATTCAATTAAAAAGTTCATGTAAAACCTTATCTGTAGTTAAGTTTTTGCCTAGCAATTATAATAAAAATGGATGAACAAGACCATCAACCTGTTGAGTTATCGGAAGGTATAACTATAAGGTACGAAATATAATAGCGCTAGCAGTAAGAAAATTATTATAATTATTTATTTGAGACATATCTTGAAAGCTTCTTTAAATACTGGGGACATCCATTCTTCTTTAAATATTTCTTCTAGTAACTAACATTAGACAACATTTGTAGTAACAAACATTAGACTCTGACCTTTGTGCATACTTTGTGAAGCCACTTTGTTTTTATACGGTTAGTTTTCTCTTCACAGAACCAAACCGTTAACTTATTTCTCTAAGACAACACAAGGATGTCTCACACCACCAACAATTAACTACCTACTACAAATTGATCATAATATTTTAAATATCTTTTCAGCAAAATTCTTAACTCACCAACTGTGTTTAAAATTGATGTGGACCACAAAAAGGCAAAGGATATAAACCTTGATGATGATTTTGATGATGTCTTTAATAGTGATAGGTAAGTGATGATGATTTTCTATATTTATTAGTCATTATTCTATTAGTTAAACACACAGTACTTCTTACAACAGTTATAAGTGAGTATGCAGATGCAGATGCAGCAGGACATAGGTAGAAGAATGGATTTATATACAGAGAAAAATACTACAACCCAAATATGAAAGTAAAGTATATATCGCACCCCTAGATGAAAACTACGGCAATTCAAAAAAACGTTTCTTTCAGAAATTACTAAAAACTGTTTTCGGAGTATTTACTAAAGATATCGAGTATACTAATAATTATTATGATAGGTAAAGTTCTAGAGCCTTTTTAATGACCTACTTTTTAATGCTATTGTCACAAAAGTTAAAAAAACTCATTTTTTTAGTTAGTTGTGTTTTCTTTAGATAAAATGAAATTTTCGGCGGATTTTTTGAAAACGCCAGAAACTCAATTTAAGTATTTTTTGAGTTAGTGATGTTTTCATCTAGAGGTGCGATATATGGGAATTCGATAGCACAAACATGTTTACTGATCTTATTTTATACACAACGGTGGTGTCTTTCATGCAATTCTGACATGAATTTAGCCAGATTTCTTGTTAATTTTGGCCAATCTGTTTTGTTTTCAGCTCTAGTGAAACTGATGACATAATATCAGTTTTAGAAGAGTCTACTTCTAAGATGATGCTATCATGCCCTGAATACCACAACTTTGCTGATCTCGCCACTAAGATGGTCGATTGTGTGTCTTCGGGAGATGTGAAGATACTAATACTTGAGGAAGGTGTGGTAGAATTATAGTGTCTATATAAATTTTAATTTAAAACAAATATAACTATGTGACTTTATTGTACATAGGCTGTCGTAAGGAGGAGTATAAATTAATAAGGTAATGCTGGTAAAGCAAGTTTAGGTCTAGTTTTCATTTATTAATATTATTATTTTAGGGGATGGCCCATTAGTACCAATTGATGCTGAGGTGAGCGTACACTATGCAGCTTATTGGGAAAAGGCTAAAATTCCTTTTGATTCAACACTCACTATGAACAATGGGGCCCCAAGTGTAAGTATTTTATGTCAAAATGCCACAACAAAAAGAAGTAAATTTTATAACACTATAACTGGATAGCGGTTACTACCCAAAACTTGTCATCATTTTTGTATTAAAATAAGCCCTACAAACAAACCATTCCTAATTATTATAATTAGTTTGTGCAATGCAGTTACTTTTCACAATAAATAGTTATTAACAATAATATTTTTCCCATACAGTGCATAAAATTGGGTAAAGGTCGACTGATACCAGGCCTTGAGATTGGTTTAACATCAGTGCGTAGCCCTAAAGCGCGCTTCTTACTGTTGATACAACCGAAATTAGCATGGGGCCCCCGCGGAGTCCCGCCAAGGATAAGACCAGACCCGGCCATGTTTGTCATAAATTTGTACTCTGTGAATGATACTCAAGCTCCTATTAGGTATTTGTTTTATTTATATGTGTATAAGTTGAGGTATCAATAAAGATTGTTAGTTTTCCATTTTTAAAGGATATATAAAAATTTACTTTCTAGAAACAGACATTACATTATTCTTAGACAGCTTATAATCATTGTAATGCTTGGATTTAAACTTGTTTTTTAACTTCAAATACCCTTATTCGACAATCATAAAAGGCCTGTAACGAAAATGTATCCCGATTGTGGTTATTTTTCCAGATTTAATGACCTCCCATCAGAAGAACAAAGGAAATACGAAGTTACTATCCGAACCGTAACATCTCTCCACGCGCAAGCGAAAGACTTTTTCTCAAAAAGAAAGTATAACAGGTGCATAAAAAACTACCAGCAATCTATCTCTGTGCTCAATTTATCTGTGGTCAAGAATGGCGAGGAAGAAAGCGAAGTACGCAGATTTAAAATTAATACGTTTGTCAATCTCGCTGTCTGTTACTACAAAACAAATAGGCCTAAATACGTAATAAAGATGTGCAAGAGTCTAGACTTCTTAACTGATATAGAAAAGCATTGCAAAGCCCTTTTTTATTATGGAAGAGCGTACGAACTGTTAGGTAATATGGAATCAGCACTGATATACTATAAAAAGGCGCTAAAGCTAGAACCACAAAATCGTGATGTCGGGAAAGCGTTGTCGAACCTAGATACGTATAATAAAGTATCTGTCGCGAACGAGAAGACCATCTGTCAGAACATGTTTGAGTCTGTGCCAGAGAGAAAAGTTGTGCATGACGTCGATTTGGAGTTTCAGCATACGATACGAGATATGTGTGAGAATTTGGCAGGTAAGGAAGAGTATTCAAAATTTGAATTGCCCAACGGATTTAAGAAAAAGGAAATAGATTATATCAAAGATCTGTGTTCTGAATTCCAAGATTTAGTAGTGCAAGAAGATGGTGAGGGTAGAAAGAAAAGATTTTTTATTATTAGAAAGGGTACTTTATAAACTACAAATGTCAGATTAAGTTAGGTAACTATATAGTTACCTAACTTAATCTGCCTACCTCTGCCTCTACCTAGTTATATAATTAAGTTATTACCTACAAAGAATTGTTTGTACATTTTTCAAATATATATATATAATATGCACTGTTATAATATATACTTTTTTAATGAAACATTGAACTTGTGAATTTTTTCTTTACTTAGCTCCTATCTCCCTCGTTAATAATGTATGAAACGTTTCATATTTGTTTGGGAATTAACTCTATATAAAAGTAGTTTCATTTTGATAAAAGCACAATAAGTGTCTACTTGAATCAATTATTAGTTTAAGGGTATCTTTCTATTTTAAAAAGTAAGACTAATGTAATAAATTTGTTATTTGTCAAATTATCCGTTTTGTAGCGATTCAGCTCGGTAGTAAGTAATGAAAAACAAAAGTCGTTTTTGAGAGGAATCGATTGTAACAGAATAATCGACACTGACAATTGATACGCATAATTTGACATCCATCAATTTTGACAGCGACGCGACAGTAGAAGATGTGACGTGTTATTATCGGCTAGCGAACTAGTTTTTTGAATTCGTTAGCAGAAATAATTATAGCTTACGTTTATTTTATCTTAATATCGATAACGCGTTCGATCACGTTCCTCCACGTAGAATTGCCTTGACAGGTAAATTGATTTTCACGGGATTTATCACGCTTCTTCTCGACAACATCATACGTGGTGAATATTTCGCAATTTTTGCACTTACCAGTGGATTTTTCGCTGTGTAACTTCGTTTCTAAGTTCAATTTCACGAAAAGGAAGTGTTCAGTGTGTTTTTAATTTAGTTTTAGGTGTAAATATGTTGCGGTTTTTAATTTTATCGGCGTTCCTACAATGTACTATATCACAGCAATATCAACAAAAAGTGGCTCCTGGTGTCCCACCACAGAATTATCAGGTATGTATAATAGTAGTTCAATTTATAAACTCAAGTTTAACAATACATAGCTGACATAACCTTATGGTTATGGAGGAAGAATCAAAAATAAACTTTCACTTTTCACTTTCTTAAAATATCAGTGTAACTCTCGGTTTTAAGCATATACCTCTACAACTTATTTGAACTTACTTACATAACATATTGTTAGTTTAGGAGTTAGCTTTCCTATATTAGACACAGCTGGAAGTTAAACCTCTGGTCCTAATTCCTACGCATTTGTACATTAAATTAGTTTTCTTGAGTCTTGATAACATTGACTATGTTACTAATAGTAGCAATTTTTTGAAATTCCATTTACAAAGATACTTAATAAATTACTAAACCTTAATTGAATGCAGCTTTTAATGACTGCAATCATCATTATTTATAAGAACTCTAGTGCCTTGGTGTTAAAATTTCATTATTAAAACAATTAGGTTTAAAAATCTAACATATTTGTATAATTTTAGAAAATTTAGTCTTCTGTGCCCTGCCAGTATTTTACAAAATTAACTTAATCTGTTTCAGAACTATCAACCACCACCACCCCCACCTGCTCCAGTACATCAAGTAAGTTATAACAATAGTTCTAAATAATTAAGATGAAAATATGATCAAGAGTTCAAAAAGATCAATAAGTATTTCTGTTTAATATATATTAGACCCAGCCTGGGAAATCCTGACTTGAAAAGGATCTTCCCTTTCAGTAAGATAAAGGGAACATTGAGTTTCCATCTGCTTCAAAAAATCATCTTTCTATATTCTATATTTATAATACTTAAATATAAATTTTTCCATTGTGTTATCAAAATCTGTTATGTCTAAGGTAGACATTTATTTTATGAGTAAAACTTAAAAATTAAAACATTTCTCACTAACAATATAAGTAGGATGCTTAAGTTTTATCGATTTACAGCAACAATATCAACAACAGCCTCCACCACAGCAACAGTTCCAACAGCCACCCCAACAACAGTTCCAGCAGCAAGTTCCCGTGCAACAGGTCAATGTGCAACCACCACATGGACATGGGCATGGTAAAAAAATAAATTTTATTAAAAAAAATAAATGTCTCTCTTAATTACAGTTACTAGTCTGTTATTAAGATAGATTAGAGATATGGATACAGAGATGTGTTTGCCTAAATGCTCCATACGGGAAAATTCTATGATACTTTTTAAATACAAAACTATTGTTAAGCTAAAAAATTTGACTGTTGCTAATCTGGTTTTATAGAGCATTGTTAAAGGGTGTTCCACTTTAACAATGGTATAATAAAACCAGGTATCTATTTTTATTATATCTGGGAAGAGTAGTGGCTGTGGTATTTTACCTTCCAACAACTTTACCCTATGCTTTCTGTCCTTCCCCACAGAGGGAAAACACAATAATGAGGTCTTGGTTTGATTTAATTATTTCTGTTGCAACAGATATTTCTGTTATTACAGTAATTTTTTTTTAAATTTAAATGTGTCTAATAAATAAGGTCTGTGTGTTTTTTAATGTTATTAAAAGTAATATAGAAGATTTAGGATTATGGAAGATGGAAATTAAATACTATCATGGTCTAATTTTCAGATCCCCAAGTACTGAATGCAGCAAACATAGCCCAGGAAAGAGAGTGAGTTAAATTTAAAAATACTTTTTCAGACTTATTGGTATAATGTTAGCAATTTTTCACCATATTTCTAATTAATTTATCATTTTTCTGAAACAAGGTGGATTTCACCTGGAACTCGACATATTAAAAGGGCTGTGACAATACTAAGTTAATATGTTAGACAAGTTTTGGTGATAAGGGAAATACTATTTTACTGTTTTGTGGCATTTTGTAGTAGCTCTACATTTGGTATTATATGTATTGGCAATAAATAATTAAATAGATACACAAAAAATGTTCTTGTACCAATTTCCCGTAGTATGTGAACTAATTAAAATTCAAACACTGCCTAAATCACACTATTCGCCTTTTCTCCTATATCTTTCCCTCCCAAATCGAGCTGTCATTTGTCAATTTGACAATTGACATCAACATGCCCTTATTAATGCGTTGTTGCGCGCGAAAAAAACATACGTGTATACGATAGTCTATAGAACCGTCCCGATTGCTATTTAATTACTGATAAACTAATTTCAGTCACATCCAAGAGCATATGGATGTACCCATAGATACGTCTAAGATGTCCGATCAGGAGTTGCAGTTCCATTACTTCAAAATGCACGACGCTGACAACAATAATAAGCTTGATGGATGCGAACTCATCAAGTCGCTGATACATTGGCACGGTATGTATATGGATTGGGACTACTCCCACTTGTGGGCCAAGTGTTCTAGTAGGACTACTTTATAGTATTTAATGAAAACACTCTCAACGGTTTAACAGTAGTCACGGGGGTATAGTTAAAATAGTTATTAATTAAATTTTTTCTCGTTTTTAACCGTTAAAGACTTATTCAAATGAATACTACACCTGTAAACTACAGACGGGGATATGGAGTTGTGATGAATCAAACCCAATGTAGGGACTAGGATCTGGAAGTCTTGTTAAATTCAGCTTATCTTGCCCAGTTCATAAGAAAGCAGTTGCATCGTGATGAGAAATTTATTTATGTGATGGTTAACTTAAAATGCATATATTCGTTTTAGACATTACAGCAGTCTATAGGCAGCATATCTACAATGTTTTAATTGTAACCTTATGCCCTATAGTAATAAAAATCAATTTAAATTTATATATCCCTTTAAAAATATGTCATAGACAAAAGCTTAGAAAAGGGGATTGATTGAGGCTTGGAATTTTTTATGTGTATGTCGTTTTGGTTATTTATGTATGTTCAAAAATTGTCTTTAAAATGACAATCGTGATATCTGTTGTTTGTTTTAATTTAAGAAAATAGTTACTATAAACTTAAAGTTACTCCTGTTAAAATTAGACCGACTGGCCAAGCATGCGCGGCCCGATATCACTAAGGAATGTCTTCATTCGCGAGTGATAGGTAGCTGCGCATGCTAATCCAGTTGTGTCTTGATAACGTATATCGCAGCAGATATCATGTAACGCTTAATCGCTTTTGTGACGTCACTCGGGGCTTTCAGAACAAGGTCACAAACAGCCACAGCAAGGACAAGCGCCGGTCGGCGAAAAGATCTTCAAAGACGAAGAACTAATCAACTTAATAGACCCAATTCTGAATATGGACGACCACAATCGGGATGGTTTCATCGACTATCCGGAGTTCGTTCGCGCGCAACAGAAAAACCAGAAACAAGAGGGCCAGTAACACTGATGTCAATTGTCAAATTGACGTATGACAGAACGATTTGCGCTGGAACGGTGGGGGAGGAGGCAATAGAATAGTGTGGTTTAGGAAGATTTTGAATTCTCGATAGTTACAAGTAACCTATAAAAGATTTTTCCTTCAAAGAAACCTGTTAATAAAAAAATAGCTATGTACAAAAAAACTTACTTTTGATACATTCCAGCCTGTATATCGTAGTATAGTTTATAATGTAGGCCGTATATAAAAAGTGATACAACTGTGCGCTGGCGCAAGCGACGCAAAGTAGTTTTTAGTCCTCATTGCTAATTCTGTCTATTGCCTTCCTCCTTTACTGAACATGATAAAAAGACAAATACAAAATATTTTTGTATTATACTCTTAATACTTTCACTAAGGGCGAGTTTGTTGTGGAAGCTATAAAAATACAAATAACTGTACGGTATTGGAATTATTATTATGGTTAATTATTGTAGTTCCATAAGAAATTTGTTCTTAGATATTGATGATTTTTTCCTGTCCATAGAAATTAGTTTGTTATCTTAAATAATTTCATATATCAAAATTTATTTGTATTTAAATGTATGCAAACTAAATTACAAAGTTTTAAGCACAAGTTGTTGTAATTGCAAATATAGCATTTGATAAACCCTGTTATATTCTTAGGCTAGGGTTGACAGAGCAACGTGCGAGTGAGACAAAGCTACTATAGTCCTCTTTGTCTTCATTTCATTTTATCTTTTTATTTTGGTTTCGTATTTAGTTTAAAACATGGAAAAGGTGCTCATCTCGAATTTATGGATCTTAAAAAAATGGAAAAGATTGAGATTTTTCTCAAATAACTTGGTTATAGATCAGTTGAATTAATTAAATTTTATTTTCCCTTGAATTGAATATAGTTTTATTTATGTTAAATGTCTTTGTTCATTGTAACTGTAGATTAAATTTGAAAATACAACTATGTATATAAACAATAAAATATTTGTTGTCTCTTTCACACTGTATAGTTTGATGATATGTGTTTTATTGTTGATTCTGATATTAGATTTTTTCAATATGAAGTTAATACAGACAGACGTTTTAGCGTATTTACTATCTTAAATGTCGGCCATCTTGTTAACATTTTTTTAAAATATTTAATGGCCTAGTAACGAGACCTTTAAGTCAATCTTGTGTACATCAGTTAAAGTATAAACTAATTATTTTTTAGCTACAATGTCACTAAAATGTTTACCTTTGATATATTAGATGTATATTTTATTATTTGTAAATAGATGTAATTCCTATAGAACATACAAACTTACAATGTAACAAAATTATGATGTATATACCATAGTTGATTGAGTTTTTTTTATTCAGTATTTTTTTGGATCTATCTATATGAATTATATTTTCTTAAGGTTCAACAACATTATCATAAATATAATCAACATTTTTTAACGTCCTTTTCGAACATCCTTTCGTGTCACTGTGCAATCATTGTGTTGTATATCTTCGTCATTTATGTGTATATGTGTCTATGGTTGTGTATATGTGTTGATGGTTTATTAAATTTTTATATATGTGTTTGCGTTTTATTGCTTTTGGGTTGTAAAATTGCCTTCTTTTTGAATATCTCTGATTTTAAGTAATTTGTAGCCTATAAAGAGCTGAGTCAGTTTATGCTACAATTTGACAATGTTATTAGAATAAATCCTTGGAATTAGTCCACAAACTAAAAGATTACTTATAATTAGTAGTTTTTTTTCCTACTCCTGGTGCATCAGGACAAAATCAGGCGTTAGGACCTTATGGAAATAAACAGTTAATGTGTTCTTTATTACCTATAGGTTTTTTATATAATTTAAAAGATGTGTATTAAAAAGAAGTTTTAAATTGTATTTTGTGTTGTGTTCTGACTCCCTACATGAGACTGGGGTGAGTACATGTTATTTGATATAATTTTGTAAGCGCCTTAATAAATATTAGAAGGGTCTAGTTAGAAGTAGGTCGTTATTGTTTTTTTTTGTTAATAGGTTTTATTTAATTAAGCTGAAAAGAACGATTAAATATTGTTTATATTCTAACGGAAATGTATGTTACTTGCGTAAATTTACTTAGTTATGTATTTCATATAAACTGCGCTTTTGTATATTGCGGTTTTTTTCTAACTAGACCTTTTTTATATAAGTAATATGTCCGAATAATAAATTATTTAATTTCGCGCTTTTTTAGGGCAAGTTGACAAGAGCCACAGAGTATATTCCGATCAACAGCTGGAAAAGTTACTCGAAACGGCGCTAAATCACACAGACCTAAACAACGATGGTTACATAGACTACTTGGAGTACAGAATCAGCAACCTGAAGGCGGAGGTTGCCACAGCTAAGAGACAGGCTGCTAAAGTACAAAATAAAGCTTAAAAAATATTATTTATCAAATAAATTTACTTTTGTAACTTAAGAGATGGATCCAACTGATTATTACTAAGAACAAGAAATCTATTATAGTTTTGTATAGTAAGAAGTCCTTTGAAGCCTACCAATGTCTAACAATGTACGGTATATGATTTATGTCTTCTCAAGAATTTTTCGTATATTTTTAATTATCACCAACCGATTTTTAAAACCAAAATCTTACAAAAGTTTCATACAAATTCGTATTGCATTTTTTGCGTCAAAGAGAGACAAACATAGATCCTTATTATCCAATAATAATTGTCAGTGGGATCCAATGTGCTTGTTTTGTTTTCGGGCTTTATAACTATTAACTTATTGTTTCAAGTACTTTCTTCCAAAGCTTCTAATAAACTATATCTACTAATCAATAAATGTGTGTGAATCAAGACTATATTATTTATTATAAATATAATAGGTAGTTTTATACAAAAAAATCTGACCACAATATGTATTTTTACTTTAGCTTATAGGTTTATAATATGAACTTAATAGTTGTTATAAAAATTATAGATAAAAAATTCTATGACACGAGAGCGACTAGAACCGGCAACCACATTCCATGCGCAACTGCTATAGTCGAAACTATTTGTTAACAAACATTATGAAAAAAGCCACATAGTTCAACGTTAAAGTAGGTTTTCGTAGTCTTTCTTAGTTATAGGACTGCAGCACAAAACAACAGTTCTATTATTCCTTTTCAGAATAGAACCTGTGAATGATGCATCATAGTGCTATTTGTAAGGGGAAGGCAATCGTTTAAGGATAAGGGACATTAAAAATAATACTCGCTTTTATTTTTTTTAATGATAAAAGGCTTCTTTGTACTTAGTTAATGTTTACACTAGGAGTACGTGTATTTATAAGTATGTATAATGTATTTTGTGTACTTGCAAATAAAACCATCTTTTCTCTATTTATTATTAAAAACTTATCTTTTCTCTCTATCTTAATTTTAATGTATATGGGCCGTTCCAGTAAGTGGTGTATTCTTTATTTCCTTTCTTGCGTGAAAATGACTTGTGTTCGTCTGCTACCCAATCCTTTCAGATGTGGACGGGAAAAAAGTGGAGACATCAACGGTGTACAAAGACGACGAGTTGACTAAAATTGTGGAGGACGCCATGGCTTCAGCTGATAAGAACAACGACGGTTTCATAGATTATTTTGAATTCAAAACGAATATTATTTAAATAAAGTCTATTTACTTTAATTCTGTTTGCTTTTTCTTCTGAATATACACATTTTGATATAGATAGCACACATTATTTTGTCTCTATTTTGCTATGAGGCAGTATAAAAGTCCTCTTCACGTTTGTTGATTTAATTGTACACAGTAAGTGCGCTAGTTTGATTCCCGAGGAAAATGTTCATGGTTGGTTTATTTGCAACTCAGGAAAACAAATATACTCATGATAATATATATTTAAATAACACTAACTTAAATTTTGGTTAAACTTGTTTCAAAATTATTTTTAACTACGTTGGAAACGTTGGGCTTCTGATGCTTTGCAGCCGCCGTGGTCACGGGGAGACTCATTACAATGTTTTATTTAAATGTGTAGGTAGTCGCGTAAACTACAGACAGTATAACAATATATTCGCATATTTTTAAGTCGAAGTTTAAGTAAAAAAAAATAGAATTTAGTAAATGTATGTGTGTGAGATTTATAACTGGTTTTTACCGTAATTTTGAGATTTTAAAATCTTGATTTAAGAATTATTTTCTTATGTTATTTGCATATTGAAGGCACCTTTTTATCCTTTGATGTAGTGAATAAATAATTTGCAAACTAAAATTTTGCACATGGTGGCAGTATATACATCGATTATAGATTGATAGGCGATTTTATTTTTTAAAATTAATAATTAGAGATAAATTTTAATTAATTAATAACGTAGTAGACGGCGAGAACCACGTCGAAAGCTAGTATAACATTTCAACTTTGTTCTAGAGGAAGATGAAACGGCTAAAGACTCTCCGACTAGGTATAAAGATGCCGACCTATCGAACATAGTGGAAGGTGCGCTCGCGCAGGCCGACAAGAACAACGACGGTTATATCGACTATTCGGAGTATAGAAGTGTAACTGGTGCTTCGTAGCGTAATTTATAATTCCCTTTACTTAAATTACTGAATATTTTACTTACTAGATAATGATACCCGCTTAAGTTAGTGTTATTAAAATGAAATGGTTGTTTGAGCGCTGTGTAACAGACGAACAGTAAGGTTATGCTGAAAATCAGTGTTGTAGCATAGATGTGCTGCAGCTTATGCTGACGCAAGACCCTTTTGATATCACAAATTATTTTTTATTTTAAATTAATTATTTTTGTAACATTAACTCTTTTCCAGAATTGTACTAAATTAATACCAAATATGTAAATAGATTTATTATTACTATATTACGATTAAATAGATAAATATATAAAATAAATTGGTTTAAAAATATACATTTCTGTCTATCATTATAGATAAGATGTTATCACATTTAAATAAATCATTAACATATGACATAGGGGGGCCTCAAACTTACTACAGATAACAAATAGAGTATCGTTGATTGTACATGGTAGTACAGTACTATCTAGTCTAAACGATACAATACATAATGTTTCCCCAGGATTCGAACTCCGAGCCACTCCTGATTTAATTGTTCATTGTCAAATGTTACATGCAAAGCACCCTTAAATATGTAACTAAAATAAGAAATAAAAGACATTTTGCATCTGTGCAAAGAATCGATTCTTAACAATTATTTCACCAATAGTAATCGATTTCCCAGCCGTAGTCGAGTGGCCACCACTTGTTGACGGGGCGATAGTCTTTTTTGCCAAATCTCTCCGCAATATTTCCCATTTTCTCAAGGTTCTTTCGTTCCTTCAATCTTCTCTTTCTCTCTCTTTCGCGAGCTCGCTTTGCCTTTTCTATGCTAAGTTCAATTCGTCTCAGACGTTCGTCCCTGGAGGTATAGAAAAGTTGAAAATACAAAAAGACATTTGTAAACGTTTGACAGACTTCTTGAAGGTTATGTACCTATATAAAAATCTGTCCTTCTTGCCTAAACAATAAAGTATTAAAAAAACCTTTTTTAACGGTTTAAAACGCTAAATATGTCAGTAACTTTTCACAATATATTTTAACTACGACCTCAGGTCGCATGGCTGCTGCAAATCATACAAAAATTTAGGCACTATTTAAAATTATTAGTAAATCATATCTAATTAAAACATATCGCGTTTTTAACCGTTAAGGGTATAATTAAACGTATACTACTTACGTGAACTTCAGGCAGGTCAACAAAGAATCTTAATAAGATGTTTTAAAGCCAGTTTACCTTTCTCTGTGATAACAAAGAAAATATTACAAAGATTACATGTCCAAGTCTTCGCCCTCCTCCAATGCGTCTTCAGGGCCTTTCGCTTCCAGTTTCAGCTGTAGCTCCCACTTCTTCTCTATCTCATGGAACATGTTGCACAAGTGGAAGATCTCGAAATACAGTTTCTGGACGTACTCGCAACGTTTTATGACGTAGTTCAATTGATCGGAACGTTGGCTTTTCTCGTGTGGACCTTTCAGGTTCTCCACCAATTTTCGATATCTGGTTGACAAATAATAACTTATGTGAGGACTAGCTGACCTAGCAAACGTTATCTTGCCATATAAAGTACTAGCTGTGTCAGCGACTTCGTTCGCGTACCTACTCCTTAATTTGGACATCGAAATTCGATTTCGATTCGATTATTTTGCAAGTTATTCTTAAAGGATAGACACATAGTATTGTGGACGTTTATTTAGATTATTTAAAGAGGAATTCTTCGATACATATTTTTTGGATATCTTGAACCGTTTTCGCACGCAACGGAAACCCTCAAAGATGAGTAATTTTCTCCTTTTCTTTTTCCTGTTTTTTCGCTCCTATTGGTCGCCTAAAGCCTAAAGCCTTTCTCGGTAAATGAAAAAAATTGATTCGAACCAGTACCTAGTTCCCGAGATTAGTGCGTTCAAACAAACAAACTTCGTAATATTAGTCTAATTATTTATTAACTTTTTTGAAACTGTAGGACCTCGTCTGCATATTCAACGGGTGGTTGGAATATCGAAATTCCGTCAGGAACCACAGCCACAGATAAAAAAGCCGTGATGTTCAGTCGCGTTGCGGTTTAAGTCTGTGGATTTCCGTACGTATAACGCCAAACTAACGCGACTTGATTTAATTATATATGTCTGGGCTATTTCATTATGTCGTGAATTATACGCTTGTCTAATCTTATAAACACCGCCGCTATAGCCAAATGGTTAAACGCCTAGCATTGCGTTATCCTGGTTCCGATCCAGACATCCTGGGTTCGAATCCTAGTTAAACAAAAAATTGTTGCGGTCGGGCAGGGCACAGAAATCTGATCAACTACTTGCTTGTTGAACGTTTGAAATGGACACAAAATGTGTTCGCCCCATGCTGCACGAGGGAGAATCGGAATTTCACACACTAACCTTATAAAAGATACTTATCAAACAATTCTCAGTATTTAATTTAAGTCCTCCATAAATATTAGGGATGTTTGTTTGTCGTTTACCTTTCAAGTATCTCCGACATGACGTAGCCCATTTCGAATTGCGCAGACGTCTCATAATATGATCTGATCGGGTTAATTTCCGCGACCCTGATCCTCGTTTCCTCGGAGTAAGTTCTCATTATTTTGATCAATCGTTCCGCGACCAAATCCGATGTTGTGAAGGGGTCGTAATTTCTTATTTGCTCGCTGAACGGTAGGAGACCTGAAAATGATTCCGTTGGTTTGTCCCGGTTAAAATAAACCGTAGATGCCGTAAAAACCTAAATGGGTGGAAATGTAAATATGTATAGCCTATCCGGGAATTGTCTTTTTTCTGTAAGATTATTGTCTTAAGAAAAAAATTTAATCGTACGTAGTTTACGGTTAGAATGCATTGAAATAAAACACTTTTGACGGTATAAAACGCAAAGCATTTTAGTAAATTTTTTGTAACTACGATTAATAATTCGCGTTTTAAACCGCTACGAGTTTATTTGTGTTGCGGGATTTGAACCCAGGATCTCTTAACCGTTGAGCCACAGCCGTCAAGAAAATTACTACAGGAACAATAAAACAAATTTTGACGCCCAAAATAATGATTCTCACGGACGAAGTCTCTGACTCAGCTAGTAAACTATAAAGGAATATTTTTAAATGGTCTTACATAGTAAAACTGCTTTGAACAACATAGAAACACATTACTGCATTTAATATGTCCCTTGCTAGTTAAAAAAAATGATTAACATGTGTTTTATGAGTTTTAAAACAGTATTTATTACTTCTTAAATCATATGTGTTCATAAAAATTATACGATAGATTAACCCACAACTTACTTAATAGGTATATAGGTACAAACTTTTCAGTGGTAAAGATTGAAAATACTTTCTCCATGGGGCATAAGGCAGACACATTTTTGAGTCCGTTCCACGGTTTTATTCACAGGCAAGTAGTTGATCAGACTTCTATGCCCTGTCTGACCGAAAGAATTTATTATTTTTTCTAGAATTTCAAATCAAAAATCTCGTTCTTAAAGTAATTCTCTACAGACGATCAATAATATAAAACTTACATACATTTGAAAAGTGTTATTTTTCACATGATTACATATAACCACAGTGTTGCCTAGTATTGCGTTAAGCACAAGAGGCCCAGGGCCCGAGGAAACTATAAATTGTTTTAGTGAAGCAGGGCACGGGAGTTCCTTCAACTGCTTGCTTGTTAAGAACTGTCAGTGAAAAAGACATAGAAAAATGGTCGCCCCATGCCCGGGGAGATTGCTGAAGTTGGTGAAAGCAGAAGGACCAGACGCCTTGGATGTTGATTCGAGTCATGCGACGTAAAGTACCGTACAGTGACTAAAAAGTCCACGTCTCACTTGCCAACCATTTCAAACATTTACAGGGCTACTAAAAAGATATCAAGAAATTCAGTAGGTGATAATAAAAAATATAACGTCCATAAATTTAAATATTTAATGTACATTTATTCGAAATAACATTACATAATTGTATCACACGAAAAAAAGCCGCGCTGCATTTCGTTATTAAAAAAAAACGCATTCCGCCGCTGTATGACGCTTAGTCGTTTAAGCCTACGCGATATTTACAAAAAATATACAAAAGAACCTCCTTTATGAGTCAATAGCGGCTTACACGTCATATGTCACTTTGACATTCGCGCCTTTTTTACAATACAAAACTTGTTTAAATGATGGGAGTGCGATAACACATGCCATCCCACTCGCACATTAGAAATATGCATAAGTTAGAATGAGATGTAACACTTGAAGTGTGAAATTTGTCGTTATCATGATTAAAAAGTGAAAAATAAAAATACGCAAGTTACAACAATGAGACTGCAATAGTGTACTTTTAGAGGATGTCTTTGTCTAAATATTTAGGTTAGTTCCGTTTAAGTAATTTTTAATTCACAGATAGATACTATTACTATAGTCCAAAGTATGTTTCAAGCTTTAAGAATAGTAAATTTACATTATACAGACTCAAATTCTAACAAGCTTGCAATAAAGGTAACAAAAGACTTTAAAATTGAACCAACATGGCAAGAACTATTACGATTAAACGGTTATTTGTGTCGATGTATCAAATCTACTTGGGTTTTAGCTGTTCTAGTGTCGTTATTAAAAAATGAGTCGCGACATTTCGCCATCACGTGTGGATGACAGGAGATGTTGAGCGATTCTGTAAGTGAAGACAAAAACATCCAAGTAGCGATTAATATCCGACTACATATTATATATAGCAATTAACAGATGACATATCAAAGTGACAGTTCATTGACACTAAAATAGCGTGTTGACGGCCAGCCTTATTTGCGAACAAACTATAAATTTTAACCACAGATTCTCTTAATATTTGCAATAAACACACCACTAAACATAACTGTTATATACAAACAAGTGCAGTCTATAAATTATTACAATGTTTTTTTTATAACAATTTAAGACGTATTATGTAGTATACCGGAGTGTCTCTTTCCAAAACTTTGGAGGGGTAATTCTACAGTGACTGAGATAAGATCTGGGTCGATTTAATTATTATATATTCTGATATATGATTAGTATGTTACATAGTGATAAAAACCGAAAAAACATTTATATCACTGTCAGTAGAATTGACCCAGAGATCTGCGATATTTATTAACACTGTTCCTAGTTTCTTGGTTTATGTATTTCGACAAAATAAGAAAATCCGAGGTTAAAACAACGATTTCTCAATTCTTACACCCTTGTATTACAAACGGCCCTATACAAGTTAAGTACTAAATACAACCGATGTAAATAGAAATAAAAATCTCTTAAGTTTTATAATATTTGAGTTTTACACCGCCTTAGTCAGATCGGCTTCATCATTTTGCGTCTGTAGTAGAACGTATAATATTAGTCTTACAAGGAATTTTATTAAAATCGATATCGAAGATGGGAAAAACGTTTTCATACTTTCCCATAGAATAATATAAAATAGGTTGAACTAAAAATAAACATACGTTAAAGAATAGTTGGTTGAGTGAGACGGAAACAAACACCATCATATTTATAGTATAGACAAGCGAGAGACAGAGTACATACTACAAACGCAAAAATATCAGGCCGATACGAGTAAAACGGTGAGAATCACTTGACCTTCGATATGCATTCGATAAAATATATCGATAGACAAATAGAATTAAGGTGATCGCACATTCGACTACGCACGCGCCTAACCCACCATATTTCTAGATAGCGTGTACATTACATACAACGAATTATAAAATGTGAAATGTGCGAACACCTCAATATTTGCAACTACCCGCACGAGTAATAACTAAATAAAATTATATATGTCTTACATAACTTTCAACATGTTTAACATGCAAAACACGCGTTAAGATATATACATTACCATACATTTTAAGTAATAGATATATTTATCGAATGATATAAATGTCTTCTTGCGAAACTTACGTACAAAGCTATTTACATTAATTATACAAATATTATTATGACAATAGTTATTTGGTCTTTAACAACGGGATAATATATAAAATGTTCACTTGATACAAGACTTTATATATGTATGTATTTTTATAGAGTCATCTTATATAATCATACGCTTTGCCACGACTATTATTATAGCTTAAGATCCAAACGCTAAACCCAATTTAAATTTAATGCCTAATGTTAATACATTCAATTATTATTTACCTTTTTTAAAATGGGTTGGCGTCCTTACAAGCAATATGATTGTTTACACCAACCTTTTTTTAACTGACGGTGTGAATGCCTAATGCACGCCCACATCGGGCAAGTGACGTGTGGTAAATCATACTACAACTTCCTCGGAGGCCATAACCGACCAGAACCACTAAACACACCACCAGCCCGCTACAGTGCTTTGAGAGAGCCCTGGGAACACGTTTGCACGACTCTAAAGCTCGCCCACCCAACAATCCTATCACGGCTAAGTAAGAGCATTATACTGTCTGTAGTTTACGCGAGTAGTACACATTTAAATGAAACACTTTAACGCTTAAGCACGAGAGGCACCTATATTAGTTAAACCTCTTCTTTAATTATTTTAAATACGGCCCGACATTGGGACGCTTCGTAGCAGCCGTAGTCACGACCTAGTCAAAATAAAGTTTAACACATTTCGCCTTTTAAACCGTTAAAGTGTTTCATTTATTTAAATAAGTAAGATCTGGCGACAATTATTTTTCTAACTCGTTAGACAATTCTCTTTCGAATAACGTAAAGTAGACAACCTATAGTTGCGAATATTGCAGGCGAATTAATAAAATTAAAATTTGAAAACGTCATTTCATTCTAATGATCCTAAGCTTCCATACAATTTTCGAAAAAGAGCGAGTCTTATATTTAAAACGGTGCGTAGAACACGTGTAAAACTGTCAATTTGTCGCTCGTCGGTAAATTCAGTTAGGAGGCAATTGTGATTTTAAAAAAAGTGACAAAAAAATCTCTACATACGTTACGAGTTATGTACGATTTTAAGACCTACCGTACGATTGAGGCGTTATTTTTTATCGATCACCTATAAATTAAATTGCGCTTTCTGCGTCTAACTGTGGAGGACATTACTGGTTTCCAATAGGCATCCTCAAAACCTGTTAAGACTATTTTTCTTCAATTTTTCTCGTGTTGTTTTTCAAGGATCACAAACCAAACTTTATTAACAAACGGCTTGTTTATGTAGCAGACAAATCTTAATAGCGCTAGTTTAACAATTTAAGTGCCTCGCCCAACGGTAAGTCTTCACGAAATGCGTAACTATTACGTCTTTATAAGCGATACCAATTAAGTAATCATATAAGGTAGAAAAAATTTAATATGCCAACAATTTTTAAAAGTAACTTTGTAACTTTTTAACTAATTGCAAACTAACAATGTGCCAGAACCACTACAGCCACAAAACGACTCCACACTCTGCAAAAAAATATATGAGACGCCAGTTCTTTTGGCGACGGAGGGTAGACTGGCTAGTGGTCCGTGTGCCAATCAATTGTTCATCTTCATTATTCTGATTTAAGAAGCCACACTACTTTATATCGACTTCAGCTGTAAGTATGATTTGATAAGTGATATAATATCACTGGAGACTGATAGGACCCTATGTGGGAAAGCTTTGGATATAACAATTTCTGGGTCGATGGGGATATTTGCGAACGTTAAGAACAGATCTGGTTATCGATTTGTTATAAAAGAATAGCTAACAGACAATTTTTTTCAAAGATATATTAGATAAATTTTGCACGAAACGTCCGCAGCAATTTAAGGCGCAAACTAGATTTTTCCGGTTTATTGTGTATACTACATAAGTAGAAACTGTCCGCTATATTTAAAAAAAAATGATGAATTAATGGTATAATAACGTGTTGTTTTAACAAATGACATTTGTGTAACAAGAACAACAAGATGCTATATGTGTGTTTGCTTCATTCAAGTATTAGTTCTTATCTTTGAAAAAAGAAGAACTAAATTTGAAAGGTAGTTTGTGAAAAGTAAAATATGTTTTCCCTCTACCTCCATTAAATATTGATATCTACACAATATAGATACTAACAACTTTAAATGTATTAAAATTCTATTAAAACTAAGAGCTACCTGAGAGAACTATAATTTAAAATATACAAAAAATCTGTATTGAGTTCACATGTACTATATACATACTTGAAACAGTATAATTTTCACATGTTAGAATGCACATGTGAGCTTATGTACATTGAAATAGTTTTTTTTGATACAAAATATTTTTCAATACTATATACAGTGTATGAACATACTTATAAATAAAAACGTAATGAAACCCGTATTTTTACACTTATTCGGGACACATGTCCTTACATATTATAACAGACAATATAGTACATACTTACTACAGTACTATAGTACATATATATGTCACTGTAACGTTCTAAGTACTGTAAATTGTCGATGTTATTTTTTGGTGGATTACAGTCTATTTAATCTGTAAAATTCACAATCAGTGACATATACTATGAGTCTGATTTTAGACATTTCATCAAGATCACATTTTTGAGTTTGATTGTCAGCCGATTTGTTCTAAGTTCAAATTCGATCAGACACTCTGCTGTCAGAATTTCTAATTTAGAACAAGAAATTCAAACTAAGAACCAACAATTACGTTTAAAACTGGACCACTAAAAATATCGGACCGGAAAGAAAATATAATAAAAATAATAAGTAAGTAGATTGAGATATTTAAAAAAAAGTAGAAATGAAACACAATTTCGAAAGTTGATATATGTTATTCCGATATCTACCATACGAACATATCAAATAACGAAGGTATAAAAAATTCTGTTATTCAAATGACTTTCGTCTTAACTTAGTCTTTTAACTGTTGGTTGGCCCAAAATTTTATGAAATAATAAATTCTTTGATAAATAGATATTTAAGTGTTCGTTAAGATACAGCGATAAAAAAAAATACCCCTTACAATACAAACAAAAACACTTTTATGTTATGGTGAAACATTGATAAAGAAAGGTCCACGTTGAAGATAAAAGTGAAGTGTGCCCCATGTGTGTATACATATCTGGAAGGGATTTAAAATGAAACAGAATAAGTAATAACCCAAAAAATAGCCCAATAAGCATAAAATCGCTTTCTTAACATGGAAAGATAAAAACGAACGTTCGCTTATTTAAGATTCGACATTATATATTACCAAGGTACTTTCGACGTACCGTACAGGCCGCTTAGAACGTTGTCTCTTTCTAACATTATCATTAAGAGAGAGATACAACTGTCAAATTTAGTTCCAAACAAAGGCGATAATGGCTTATCTATTGGTGTGCGATCGTCTCTCGCAGAACTCTTGGCATCGACAATCCTCCGATATAGAGTCGAGTGACATTAGACTCTCTTGACTCGTCCGTAGACACGCCCTGCATCTAGAATCTATGGACGTCCCGCTCTGCGAGTTCGCGTCTTCAGATACGGATTCGAGCGATTTCAAGCTTTCGACTGAGGTTAATTTGTAGGACCTCCGAAATTCTGCTATCTCGTCTTCACTCATATTTAACGCTAGGAGAGAATCACGCGCCATCTTGCCTAACGAAGACACTTTTTTCTTTTTCTTTGTGAGAATTGTGTCCATCTTTGCTAATGGACATGGTTTATTAAGGCTCTCGGGGAGAGATTTTGGACTCGAGCCAGTTCTACTGCGTAATTTACTCCTCCTCTCCGGAATATCCTGCGGCGTTGTGCTCTCGGGAACTTTGAATGCAATAGTTTTTAGTTTCGGGCTGTCCTTTTCCGGCCGTTTTGTCAAATCCTCTAGCGAGTTAGATTTCTTTATTTTAGCGCGGTCCGGAATTACGGGAGAGTTCTTTATACCCTTTATATTAGAGAATTCTGGCTCGCCTACTTCGTCCAAAACTAGTTCCGGTGATAGGTCGACTAGTTCTTTTCTCTCCGCATCTTTCAATTCTTGCGCAAGAGACGGCTCCGGTTTATTTTTATCTAAATATGATAAAGCGTCTTTGCCAACGTCAACTGTGCCTAATTCCTTAATGAATTTATTGGCGTTATTAACTTTAACATCATCTATGTATGCAAACTGAATGCAGTTGTCTGCAGCTACGTCACACGTCTCATCTATATTTGCGATCGGTGCTAAGTCACTTTGAGCTTTTATATCATCAACCTTAGGTTCACTTTTGTCTGTGACAGGCGTAGCTGGTTGCGTAACTTCCCATATGGTGCTGACAATGTGTTGGTTTTTTATTTGTCGCTCCGATAGCTCGTAAGCTAAGGCTTTAGACATCGACGTAATAGTGTTCTCCGGGCTTATATTTTCCTTGATGCCGCGTATCACTTTACTCGGGAACTTGTCGACTGGCTGTCCACTGTCTGGACTGTGTTTGTCCAAGGAATTTTCCGAGCCAGTCGATTTCAGTACAGACGCGAACGTCCTCGGTCTTACGTCTACCTTGTCATCTATCTTAACCAGTCTTTCTTTATCAATTTCATAATCGTTGGGTACAATGAGATCTGTAGTGGGAACTACGTCTTCACTCTTACTTACTAAGTTTTGTACTAATTTTTCATCGGTGGTTAAATCGGTAATGTCTCCCGCTTGGAAAGATTGGAATTCGCTCAGCGTGTTCTCGGTGTCTGTGGAAGGCGTTTTATCCAGTTTTCTAGAAAACGACTCGTCCACGAACGACACTTGAACACGTTCTGACAATGTCGAGTCCGTCGCTTCTGATAGGCTGTCAGCGTCCTTATCTTCCTTGTCAGATTTGTCAGACGTGCTAGCCCAAGACCAGAAGGAACTGGTTAAGGACGAGTCCTTTCTAGGTGGTGTACTAGAATTTGATTTTTTTTCCTCTTCCGTTGATCTTGAGAATAAACTGCTGGGATGTTGAAAAAGGCTCAGGAGCTTCTCTAAATTCGTTGGCAATTTATTTTCGATCCGTTCTGGTTCAGCTCGGGGTATGTGGAAGCTAGGCGACGGCGCTACCCATGAGATCTTTCTCATCCTGTCCAAGCCTTTAGACTTCAGAGCGGGTACATCCAGCAAGCTGGAAGTCCGCTTTGGAGAAGTTAACGTCTCCTGAGAGATTTTAACGGACTCTTTAAGACTGGAACTATTCGTAAGGGTGCCCTCATTGGACGACCCGTCTTCCTTCACCTCAGGGTTAAGAGAATGCTCTATACCAGAATCCGCCGAGGTGACCATCATTTTCTCCTTAGCAGATTCCATGGAGCTAACGCTCGCTTCTAAACTGGATAGCGAGTCGTGAATTTTCTTGGAACCACCAAATATAATTGGCGAAACACTCTCGTTGGAGCTTATCGATACATTTAGATTCACTGGTGTCACTTCACTTGTCGATTCCATGCTGCTTTCGTTTGAAAACTGTTCCCGTTTCGCTTCTATAGATTCGATTAACGGTTTCATACGATCTATATTTAGGCTTTCCACAGAGCTTCCTGATATCTCCAGTGATGAGCTACTATCGCAAAAGGCACTGACTTGCTTCCTCATGAGTCTAGACACCTCTAAGTCCGGGCTATCTAGACTAGATTCACTTTTATTCTTCTTTAAAACTACATTATCACGAACAGGTACAACGTTATCTATAACTAAATCGTTTCGTTTCGTGGTTAGATCTTGCATCTCTTGTATTAGACTACCTAGATCGGCCGTTATAGCTTCTATCTGTTTTATGGCTACATCCCCTTTTTCCTTACTTATATTTACATTTTGGTCACTGTGTACTTTGGTTTTTTCGGTATTTATTTCGCTCTTAACTGTAACCGCGACCTCTACGTCGACCATTTCGCACTCAGTCACTTCTACGCTGGTTGTTACTAGTTTAGTTTCTGTTTTAACTTTTTTATCGTCACTGACCGATTCGTGTGACAACTGTTCTATTCTATCATAACTCTCAGGAAGTATATCACCTAACTTAACAGTATCACTAATTTTAAAATTTTTAACACTATCACTAAGAACTCTACTGTCACTATCACAGTCCACTCTCTGTTTATCACTTTTAGTTCGTAATGGCGGCCAAGTATCGACATTATCGATAATATTTGTAACTGCGACTTTGACTATTTCGGGTTTTTGAGCTTCTGACTCTAATTTTTCAGCTGAACTTGGTGTAAGCTCTGCTGTAGCTTGCGGTTTGTGTATCACAGAATCTTGTTTTATCGTTACTTCGAAAGGTTCTATTTCGGTGACTATCTCTGTCACAATACTCTCTATATGTTTGGCGTTTTTGTTTTCAGCCTTTTTTGAATTCTCTTCAAATTTCTCAACTTCAAACTTGTCACTGTGAGATGTTATATCTGTTTGTAGTGCCATTTGAGATTGCATACACTTTTTTCTAGCTGAACAAATCTCATACAAAGCTTCTATAACATTATCTGGTTTAATTACTATGGGTTCATGTTTAGTACACTTAAAATATATTGGGTCTTCATCATCTGTTTTAACAATATGAATGTCAGGTACCCTTTCAGGATGAGCTTCGTCAGATATTGTTTCTGGTTTTACTCTTTTAACATCCTCAACAACAATTTTATTGAGATCACTTGTTTTCTCACTTTTGATTGTCTCAGATAAACCTTTAACATTTTCTGTGTTGATTCGAAGAACAGTATCATCATTTTTATCACTTCTGACAGGCTGAACATCTTCATTAATGATTTGGTCAGGCTTAAAATCAACACTTTTAACAGATTCGACATCTGTACTGTCAGTTTTTACAGGCATAGCAGGACTTACTGTGTAAATATCACTTTTGACCATCTTAATATCTAAATTAGCTTTTTGGGTGCATAGTACGTCAACTGTTTTGTCAGGTTTGACATCTTCATTATTACTTTTAACAGATTTAGTATGTTCAATATCACCTTTGACAGCTTCAACATTTATATTTACTGTTTGAATAGGCGTAACATTAACACTTTTGTCAGACTTTTCTTGTAAAATGTCAGTTTCAACGGCTTTAACAATTTCACTAGCACTTTTAATAGGTGGAACAACATTATCACTTTTGAGATCGCTATCTTTCGCATTCGAGTCACTTGTTTTAACATTATTTTTACATTTAACACTTTCAGGTACACTTTCAGTAGCGGGCGGTGGCGGCGGTGAGGGCGACGGCGCGGGGGAAGGGTTGTATATGCTGTCGTAATTCCTTGTCACTGAGAAACGCGATGACGGTCGGCGCGGTTGCGCTGGGTGGATTTGTATTTGTGGTGGTTCTGCGACCTAAAATGAAAACTACACTTAACAATTTTATATTTGAACTATTAACACTCATACAATTTATTTGTATTTTTATTTATCAATGTGTTTATTATGTAAGTATAATATCTAAAATGTATAATGGGCCATGGACTTCGTTGGCGTTCTACTATTTATATATATAATATAAATTATTAATACTAATTTATATTTATATAATATAAATGAGTATTTATAAGTTAGTACGTAAGATGTTTTCTTTTTTATACTTTTCTGAAGTATGGGTTATAAGTAATAAAGCTATAATAAATTTAAAAAAAAACTGCTGTATGTTACAGCAGATCCCAGCCAGTGGTGATGGCTCCTTGAACTAATGATAACAATTCAATCGCATTTCGGATTTAATCTGTTGATTTCCGAATATCCAAGCCAAAATACGAGGGCATCGCATCTTATTTAGATAGATAAAAAAATTGAGATCTTTCGTACTCGTTTTAAAATTTAATAAATATATTTGCATACATTGGAGTTATTTTGACTGTTTACCTGAACAACCTTGAATCTCGATGGCGTGGGACAGTACGAGGGTCTGGTGGGAGTTGAAGGACTCGAGCTGTCCGTGGAGGAATCTCTCTCTGGTGTCACACGGGTCACCTAAAAGAAAAAAGAATTGGAATTGTTATTATTTTTGTATTATAAGAGGACAACAGACAAGCATGAGATCAATTAATGGCATTTAAAATACACCAGCCATGTCACAAGATGTTCTGACAAGATATTTGCAATTCCACAGAGTGAAACCGAAACGTGCTTAAACATGATGGCTTTTTCCACATTGGAATTCCAGGTCACGAACCGACGGTGGTTCGTGACCTGGGCGGAATTCCAATATTACTACCCAATTAATATACAGATTTCCTGACGACGTCCAACATGTTTCATATCATAAATTTATTAGAAAAATGTTGGACCCGATGGAAACCACTACCAGTTGATTATTAGCCATACATTGCTGCCATTCCACCAACCAAGTCAATATAACAGTTTGCTATTAAATATATTAATAGGATATAACTTACATAGAACCTAGATGTGGCGTGACCAGCTGGCACGGGGCTGCCGGCTGGCGAGGGCGAGGGAGACGGCGAAGGCGCTGGTGAGGGGGCCGGGGAGGGCGCCGGCGAACGGAGGCGCACGCGTCGTTCCTCCTCTGATGTCGGCTGGAAGAAAATTAAAACCATTCTGACTCTGCACTCAAGGTATAAACACGACCATAAGGTTATTAATTAGACATTTTATTAATTTTTACATTAAATTGTTTTTTTTTTTTACTAAGTGAACTCGTGATAGTTTAATTTGTTTTTAGATAATATAATAATGTCTCAAACTGTTTTTAGTGTAAATCAATGTAGTGTGAGAATATCACGATTTCATGTAAATTGTGTTTGTTTAATAAAAATGTAAAGTTAGAAAAATAAACATAATACATAGTTTGACTAATAGTAAAACTGTTAATAAAATTAATAAGTCTCTTTACATAATTTAATGATCCAATAGACATATTATAAAATTTAAAAAAATGCTTTTACCTTTGCCAATAGCGCTGTAGTATGCGCGTGCGCAGTGTGACACGTCAGACTGATCTTGCGCACCGGTTTCCCGCTCGGCTCGTTCCTCTGGCACATAGACCTGATTTCCTGAGTAAGACGGACAAGTGTGGCCGCTTCCGTGCAGCTCTGGACGTTCACGGCTGGGTTTGGCGTCTCCTGAAAAAATAAAATGAACTATTACGTAACACATTAAGAATTCCCAGTTACTGGTCAACCTGTTGGCAACCTGTGGTTGGTGGCACGACAAAATGATATTGGTCTAATGATAGCAATGTTAGCTAGTAATTATCCGGTCGTGGGTGCGATTCCCAACGGGTCCATACATTTTATAATCAATTTATGATTTTTTTCGAAACACGTTGGATAACGATTCAAGGAACCAAAAAATCCGCGAAGGTATATGTCTATCTTTAAAGATTAACATGCAAGAACGACGGGACGCCGACGACGTCGTGGGCAACCGCTTAAATTTATAAAGCCTAGGAGGTAGTTTGAAAAAGTAAATACTACTACTAGATACTGTGCCTTTAACACTTATCTGGCTCGGTTAGACCAAATTTATCTTACCGGTGGATCGTCCAAGTCGATTTGCGTTAACGTGCGGTTGTCCTTTAGTGCGTTACATATAGCCTGCAGACCTGCCACGCCCAATCTATTGTCTCGTAGGTCAAGCCTCTAGAATCGAAAGTCGGCAATATATAAATTCAACATCGATTTTAGATTACAAAAAGGTTCCCGACACGGGTTCTTCTAGAACTTGTTCTGGACAAATTAAGCATTTATGTTACCTTCACAGATGAAATAAAATATACAAACATACTGTCTATAGTTTACGCGAGTAGTACACATTTAAATAAAACACTTTAACGGTTTAAAACGCGATATATTAGTTAAACTTATTTGAAAATGATTTTAAACTTCGGCCCGACGTTTCGGACCACGTCTCCCCGTGACCACGGCTGCTGCAAAGCATCCGAAACATCGTCAAACATCATTTTCAAATAAGTTTAACTAATATATCGCGTTTTAAACCGTTAGTGTTTTATTTAAATATACAAACATCTTAAAAATAAGGAGAGTAACAAGCTCTTCAGCTGTATCTATTAGTATAGATTTTCAGTGAGTATATGTTTTAGTTACCGGAAATGTAGACTTACGTGACATACCTGTAACTTACAGTCCTTCTGTATCAATTCGGCGATGCACTTAGCCGCGTCGAGACTGAGCCTCGCTGCTTGAAGTCCCAACGAGACCAGCACCCCCCCTCCCTCCATGGTCAGCGTCCTTACACCCTCGGAGCCAAGGGCGTTTCTACCCACGTTCAGGACACATAGAGATTGGGACGTACGCTAAAAAATCACGAGCAAATTGTTTCACACACGCTGTGTGATGTTATATTATGACAATATGTCAATTTGAGTTAGTTATTTTGTAGTTTAAAGAAATCACTTTCATTGTTTGAAACGCTAAATATATTAAACTTATTTGATTCATTGTAACTACGATCCGTTTCAGATGCTTTGCAGAAGCCGCGGTCACGGTGGGTCTCTCTAATATCAAATTCGCTGCGTTAGCGCCATCTGTTTGCTTGTAATTGGAATTTCAGGAAATCTCCAAAGTATGCAAAAAGTTGGGTTAGACTAATTTAAAGTTAAACTAATTTAAATATAAGTTTAAATTATACATTTCAAGTTTTAAACCGTTTGAAGTGCATTTGTGAATATACACTTTTAAATAAAATAAAAGTATTTTGAAAGCTATTTGATAAGCACATAGCTTTAATACACAGAAAACTATATGTATTTAGTAACCGATCTTAAAGAACCAACATTTCTATCAAAACGGAGTTCAAGGAAGTGAAGTGTATCGACTTTTTACATATTATACATAATTGTCAACTAATATTACAATAAAATATAATAACGATTTAAAAAGCGAAGTAGAGGATAAAAATTTGATAAAATCTGTCGTTGAAAACAGTAAATTTAAATTTGTACGGAGAAAACTTACGAGGACTTTCGCGAGATGATGAGCGCAGTTCCTCGTCAGCTGATTATTCCAAAGAACGAGAAACGCTAAACCCCTGCACTCGTAGCCGCTAACTGAAATGAAAAAATCATATCAGATATTATGATAGCTAAATTATTTTTTGGACCTTTGCATTTTAAGTAAGCAACCTGCTTTACCTTTATTAACCCGTTAGATAAGACATAAAAACACTACTTAAAAAATGTATTACCCCTTTTAGAAGACACATTTCTGTGTCCGTTTCATTAATTTCATTTACTACTGCATTCTCTGAGTCATACAAAAACGTAATTTATATCTCATAAGTTTGTAACTTACGCGGGCAATGATGTGGCGAGAGCGGCGAAGTGGGGGCGGAGGGCGGCGTACGCGCAGACTGCGCTACAAGCGCTTCAGCTATATGACCGACACCGGCATCCTGAGGAGAAAAGAGATTCTTTAATTTCATGTCATATTCATTCGTGTAATCATCATGGAACCATAGACTTTAGCTGTGACCACTAGAGCCAGAGTAGCCTAACTGCAATTTTCATGACTTGAATTTTTTAATTTTTATCGTCTAAAAATGTTAATGTCCAAGAGCACACCTAAATCTTTATCTTCATTCTTACACAAATAATAGTACAAATTATTTTCTAAGTTAATTGCGCGTTTTTATTTTCCTTCTTATTGAAATTTTTGTTGTTATCAGGCCACTTTGCCTCTAGCAGCCTTAGCTGAAGTCATTGGATGTCTTTCTGTCAGATCGACTAATCTACATTTTGAAGTAAGTGAAATGCTTAAATGACGTCATAATCAGCGCACCCACGACACAAGACTAAAACTTTTAATTATGTCTCTCATTTAAATTATGCTTTAAAGATAAAAACACGACACCTGTATCTGATTGTTAGACAAATCCAGGAGCTGCAGTCTAGTATTGTAACGCAGCAGCGAACCCAGCTGAAGCGCATCGGATTGTGACAATCCGTTGTCGCCGAGGCGCAGTTCGCGAACCGAGTTGTTGGACTTGAGGCCCGTCACTAAAATGTAATTATTGAGAGAATGATAAGCAAAATAATCCTACTTCTAATGATTAAGTTTTTTTTAATGATAGAGGACACACAAGCATGGGGGGCACTTGATGGTATGTGAAATACCCTAGTCTATAGCATCTATACAAGATGCGCTGTCGAACTATTTTGGCTTTGGATATTTGGAATTCCCAGACTAAAACCTGAAACTTCACGGCTTCTTCATCTGTGGACGGAATTTCGATATTCCTACCACCCATTTTATATCCAGATTTCTAGACGAAGTCCAACATGTTTCAGACAAAATATACATTGATTAGAAAAATTTTGGACCCGGTGGAGATCGAATCCACGACCCGTATCAGCTGTACATTGCTACCATAACATCAACGAGCTCTTTAAAAATAATTATTCAATTAAATTAGTTTATATATAAGGTTTTTTATTTTTAACAAATGCTTTAAAATATTTGTGACATAGTTGAGACGTAGTGTGTGAAATAGTTGTCCGATATCTCACCCAGACAGAGAAGCGGTTCGCCGGCAAGACACGCTTGCTGCAAACACAACGATCGGAGACGACACGCCAGCGGCTTCAGCGATCTGGCCAAGACCGGCGCGTGCGCAGGTTCTAAAGGGCTCTCCGATATCTCTAGCTCAGATAGCTCTGCGCTCTGAAATATAATAAGAAAATCAATTTATTAAAAATTTGCACACGTAAAATAGAAAGTATGAATTAAATTAACTTGGCTTAAAAGTCTAGCAATGTACTACTAAAACAGAAGCTACGCAACATGACGTTACGGATAAGCTTGTGTTTGCAACATTGATTATCAGTGGGCCCAAGTGCCATTAAAAATCAGTGTCAACGCTTATAGATTAACAACTAACAAATATGTGTTAAAAACTACTACAATATAGACTAGAAAAAATTGTTTTATATTTGTCGACTATGTACTATCTGCAATTTCCTCCATATGTGAATAAATAATGACTTATTAAGACAATATGCTATTGAAGAAATGAAAGATGTCGAACACTTACAGGAAGGAAAAATATATGTGCTTTTATATTTAATTATATTACGAACTAGCCGTGCCAGCGGCTTCGTCCGCGTAGAATATTTATTTTTGATCAAATTTGCTTTTGCAAACCTCCCGTTTAACTATAAATTTAAGTTCTCTTAATCTTAACAGATAGACATATACTGTCGCGTAAATTTTCTTAGTTCATTTAAAGAGGAAATATTCTTTAATACATATTTTCTTGGTATCTTGGGTTTTCGTTGCGTACGCTGCGAACACGCGCAGTGTACGCAACGGAAACCCACTAGACTGTATAATTTTCCCCGTTTCTTCCACATTTCCCGCTATTACTCCCCGTGAACTTCTTATCCTCTTCCTTAATAACATCATCTCAGTATTCCTCTAACAATATTATATCAAATGAAATTTATTGACAGAATTTTGGACAGTATGAAGGTAGTATTAGATGTACCAAGCCCCAAGTCCCACCGTTGACAACTGTTAAAAACTGGCGATACCTTCTTGATCATCCTCGAAGCGGCCTGCCAACCTCTGATGCCGTACTGCCTCGGCCCGCTGATGCTAACAGCCGACGCGCTCTCGTAGTACTCAATCATATCAAACATTGCCTCCTGAAAGATATAAAGGAAATAATTGTAATGTGCATACCTTAAGATACATTAATTATTATCTATTGGGGATAGAACGCCGGGTGATCAGTCCACATTTTACCCATTTCCCTATTCCAATTGACTTCCGTCTAGTTTTGTTACAAAATCTCATTATATCTTCCATCTTTAATTATTTATAGATTCTATTATATTATCCTATCTGCTTACTTTTGTTCCTAAAGAAAATGTCATAACTTGAGAGACTATGATAAAAATCGCATTTCCTTAATTCATATATAATATATTTCCATATATAAATGCATCTTAAGAATAAAATAACTTAAAATCGGAATAGTTAAAATAAAAATAATAAACTGTTTACAAACTTTACTTAACTTAAGCTTCATAAAAAATTTTCGAACCTAGAAATTTTATAAAAAACTCAATTATCTTCAGTCCATGGACTTTGAACCCACTCCTTTAAATTATTTATAACAGGCATGGCAGTCACATTTTCACAGGAAATATTTTTTAGTTTAATGAATATTTCAAATCACGCGATTAGTACCGCTAGATACATTCGATTTTAAAATGTGATGTCACGAAACTTAGGACCCCTCCCACCCCTTGTCACACCATGTCACACTTTGTCGACCCCCCACCCCCCCTTTACGTGTGACGTACTTTATGGATGACCCCTAAGGACCAATAAAAGGAGAGTGTAAAAAGCTCACATCCCAACATCATTACGCTCAATTAATTCATCTATAGCAAGAAAAACATATATATTACCTCTTTGCTTGGTCATATAATGTTTACCCAGAATTCGACATAAGCCATGTATGGGGTAAACAAACACAAAATAATATAATAAGGATAACTCACCGCCCCCTCATCATCGATCTCCACATGATCGACTTCGAACCGCCTAAATTGCACTTTGCGCAGGAGTGACTCGAGCGCGTCCACCGGCGCCGAGCCGAGCAACGAGCATTCGGCGAGCGTGAGCCGCGCTGCTCGCGTGCAACCGCCGATAGTGTTCTCAGGCAGTTCCTGTAACGGGCAGTCGAAGAACTTATCCATCTACATTGATCCAGCAATTAATTAAAATTTAATTCTTTAGGCAAGAGCCGATAGATAAGCCTAAAATTCATGAACAGTAGTCATTATATACTTATTGCGTGCTAGTTTTATAGCCTGACTTATTTATATATGAGGCTGCTAGAGGCAGAGTGGCCTAATCACAGAAAGCGATTGACTGATTTTCAATAAGGAGGAATTTGAAAATGCGCAATCAACTTACGCGAAAATGATTTTGTACTTAATATATTAATACTTATTTGTACGTTGTTAACAATTTTCGGTCACTGTTCTCTTGTAGATTAACATTTTTAGACTATGATTATATTAATTTTCAGTCAGGCTACTATGTCTCTTGTGGCCTCAAATATAATGTTCACGTTTAATTGATAATAAACTATTCCTTCTAAAATTCTAAATACGAAAAAGAATGGTGGGTCTGTCCCTTTACTCCTAAACTAAGAAATCAACCCTTTACTTTGGCTTGTCGTGAATCACAAAGGTTACTTATTTCCAAATAAAGTTGCACTATTTGAGACAAATGCAAGGATAACCCACCCGTATCTGCTGCAGCACCGAGTCGATAGGTGGCGTGCCATGACTCCTGCACGCCTCGAGGTATTCGGCGGCGAGCTGCGCACGCGTCGTATTCGGCACTGAAAAAGTATATTTATATTATAGATTAATAAAGCAATCATAATTAAATAACTATCGATGAATAAAGTGACACTATTACTATTGGTATAGTATATTTACCTAATTAAAACGTAAATAATAATATAAGAAATAACAGCGCTGTAAGTCTACAGGCTGAAACAGTAAAGTACACGGCCTTTTCATCTGTGAATGGTGGTTCATAACTTCGATATTTCGATATTCCTACCACCCATCCAGATGTCCAGATGTCCAGCCAAGTCCGATATTTTTAAGAATGATAATAAATTTATTGGAAACATATTGGACACTGTAAGGATCGAACCCAGGACTTGTCCCTCATTACACGATAGACTTGGTAATTTAATAGGTAAATTGCAGAATACCGCGGAACTATTAAGCCAGGAATTTGCAACGTCCTGTTTTCATTGCGACAAGAACAATCTGCCTTTCGAGGCAGACAATATTTTGTGTCCGTTTCAATTTAATTCTCTCTGTGCCCTGCCCAACCCGTAAGTAAATTTAAACAAAGACTATACGTTATGTGTTCATGTCTGTGGCAACAGCGTGAGGTAAATATTGGCGTCATTTAGAATTAAGAGTAGCCTAAGGCTTTAAGATGACATGTTTACAAATATAATATTTGAGATTTGAGTTACTCGAGAAATCTTTCTTTATATACCCACTGTTCCCACACTTGGGACCAGGGCTTTGATTCACCGTGCTGATAAATAAGTATACACAGATGAAATATATAGTGGTCTGTGACGGAGACATGGAATATCAGTGTTGGGTTGAATATTAGTCCCAACGTAGCAGAGTGTTTTTTTAGAGACAATGATGTTGTATTTTATACATAATATTTTTTACATTTATTTATTCTCATTTATATGAGGCAGCTAGAGGCCTAACAACAAAAAAACATGATTTTCAATAAGAAAATAAAAATGCGCAATTAATTAAGGCGAAAATGAATTTGTGGAAAAATTACATGTTAACAATTTTCGGTCACCGTGGTCTTGTAGCATGAACAACTCAAGTCATATTGCAGTTAGGCTACTGTGCCTCTAGCGGACTTATATCGTGTTGGGTTGGGTGTAAGATAATTATTGAAATTATTATATTCTAATTAAGTTTTGTTGCTCTTCAATAAACATATTGTATTCTATTTTATTCTAGAATCGAACCTTTTCTAGAAATTAAGAGCGTGTCAGACTTCTCTAGATATTTTCATTCACTGAGAGGTAGTTTCAGAATAAACAAAAATATTTTTGGTCTAAAATCGAACTCCTGACTTCAAGAGCGCAATTCGTTCCCACTACACATACAAGGCCGGTGTAAAGAGACGTAATGCCATTATGCAAATCAATTACACTTAAAACGATCACAACGCGTTATTTTCCACAGTTCAACGGCCGCGAGAGCCGCGTGGGTTGCTAGATAAAAAAAACCAGTTGGCCGGATGCCAAAAAAAACGCCTAAAGAAAAAAGCGGTCAAGTGTGCGCCGCCAAGGCCGCTGTGGGATTTTAAAAAGTTGTTCGAATTAGGTACATTGAAAGAATAATATAGGTAGTATGATGATGAAAAATTTAATTTGTTTCTTTGTCCTTCCTTCACGCAGTAAAAAGTAATTGACTTGTTTTTGACAGTTCCTGATCTTAAAATTTATATACACGATTTTGTTAGAGGGTAGTTTTATACATATGAAAGCGTGTATGTTGACTATTACTCTCTAACAAAATTACTGATTGACGAAATTGTATAATATTATAACTTAAAAAGAAACAAATTACGGTAGTCTATAATATTTTATTTTTAGTAGTACATTTTATTGAAAACTGTCCCGTTAGAATTAGTTCAAATTACATTTACTTATTTATATTAAGTTATTCGTCTTTGATTGCTTCTGAGAGGTTGTAGGGTATAAAACAGCAGACTGTGGCCGACAGATGCGAAGAAACAGCGGGAAATATGAAATAAACTGGGATGGCTATTTATCTATGTGAGTTCCCGATGCGAAAACGGTTCAAGTTATACAAAAAATATGTTATAAAGAATGATTGCCCTGCAAAAGATCTAATAAATGTCAGCCATAGTATGTGTCTATCTTTTAAGATTAACTTTCAAAAACGACGGGACCGACCGACGTGTGTAACAGTTTGAATTTATAAAGGTTTGCAAATCAAATTTGGATGGCCAAAATAACTATTACCGGACGAAGTCGCCGACACAGCTAGTAATATGTATTTGAACATGTCACCGCGTAAGAGCTAGCCAACAAAACAGTGAGCAATAACCAGCGGGCGTTAGGTAAACTAGAAACACCTTGACAGTGAAATTAGCACGTTAACGAGTTGTTTATTTTCGTTTGGTGAACTCATACATTATTTGAGTGAGGGAAATTGCCTCGTTACTTGTTCACCGGATGGACAACGCAATGTATGCACCATAAAGCCGACTAGTTTGTTTGTTTGAAACTATTAAAGTTTAAATAAAACTTTTAAAATACGCTAATAAACCTATTTTAACAACCGCCCGACGTTTTAAACCGTTAAGAGTGTTTTATTTAATGGGGTAGTTGCTCAGACTACAGACAATAATAAAAGTACTCTTGCTAAAAATGCTTTCATTGTAAGGTACGATTAGACTGTAATGTACGAATTGTACAATAAGTATTGTCTGTATTTTACGGTTTATACGAGAGAACGCGAATAACAAACATAGTTAACTAATTTAAATAAAACACTCTAACGGTTTAAAACGCGATATATTAGTTAAACTTATTTGAAAATGATTTTTAACTTCGGCCCGACGTTTCGGATGCTTTGCAGCAGCCGTGGTCACGGGGAGACCATAATATAGTTAACTAATTTTTAATTAATTTTAACTACGATCCGATACGTAGGATGCTTTGCAGCAGTCATGGACACGGGGAGGACCATTTATCGGGAAAGGCTTTAAAATCACGGCAAATAGAAGCAAAGAAACAAAGGGAAAACTAAAAAAAAAACGGGGTAATTTATTCATTTTCTTTATGAATTACATAAAGCTGCGGAGGTTGTTTGCAAGAGTTAAATATGAGGCCTAAAATACATGCTCCACGCGGACGAAGTCGCTGACGCAACTAGTATATAATAAGTACAAAGACTAGGTACTTAGCTGAAATAATTTTCTTGTGCGACTCATTAGGAAGAGAATGATGTAATGGTTATTTGAAACATTAATTAATCTTCCTAGAAGAGTGTAGATAATCATCTAAGCCAGTGATTGTCAAACTATGTATTTGCAAATATTTATGACAGAATCGCAATTCAAGTAAATATTGTTAATAAACATACCTAAGAACATTTTAACAACTAGTCGTCAGAGCATTAAAAAGTATCTTAAATTATATAGTTAAGTGTAAATTAAAAAGCGATTTTTAAATTGGTTTGGAGCATCAGCACGGAATGCTGTAGATGCCGGTTCAAGTCGTCGTAAAGTTTTTTCATACTAAAATCGCTAAATATCATAAATAAAGTTTTTTCTACTCGGGTTGCCTGGAAGAGATCGCTTATAGCGATAAGGCCACCCGGAATAATCTATGGTTTTAAAATTGCTTAGTGTGTCTGTAAGTTCTGTTTTTTTGCACCTAAGTGTAAAAGAAACAAATGAAGTGTTATTTTTAACCAGATTTTAAGTAAGTAAAACACTTTTAACTGTATAAAACGTCGGGCCGTACTTAAAATAAGTTAATGACACTTACCGCGTTTTAAAAATTATTAATTAAATTCATTTTCGACCCGGGCAGGTCTTGAGCGTTCCGTGCTGTTGCTCTACCAGTTGTCCTACAGGACTCGGTAGCTCAACTGGAAGAGCAACAGCATGGAACGCTGACGATGCCGGTTCAAGTCCTGCCCGAGTCGAAATTTTTTTTAAATTTATTTTTGATTTTTAAAATTATATATAGTGCCTTCATGTGCAATAACACGTGAAAAATATTAAAGTTTTCAAATATTTAAACCTAATAAATACTAAATTCATTAAACATGACGAAAAAAAAGCCAGACCTCGCGAACCAGCGACCGACTTCGTTCTCGTAAAATGAAATAGTGGGATCGTAACCCGAGTCACAACGTTTTCAATACATATATTCTTTTAATAAGGCCGACAAAATAGCATTACAGCATTAAGGTGCATTTGTTACGTAAAGCACTGCAATTAGTGTATATACGGACTGTGCACACACCATCAGAGCGATAATATACATCGTAAACATCGAATCGTAAACAGTACAGGTAGCAAACAATAATAATTACGCAAATAGTAAATTTTTTTTAATGACATCTACAAGATGCGCTGTCTATTGTAACTTTGGATATTCGGAATTTTTTTACTTCACGGCGTTCTTCATCTGTGAACGGTGGTTCGCGACCTTGACAGAACTTCGATATTCCCACTTACTGTCAACATGTTTTAAAAAACGAACCCACTACCTGTTCTCGATAGTCATATATTGCTAGCATTGGACCACCGTTATCATCGCTTCGCTTCGCCAGTGGACCGTCACACTAGTGAGGTGGAGGGGGGAGGGGGGATGACCTAGTGTCACAGCGCGCGTAGACAGCTGGGCGCGACCAGCCAATAATGCACTATAATAACTGAAGCATTTGAAAAACCGATGACGCATCTAAATATATATTTCTAGGTAAAGCTGGCAATTGAACCTTCGGATGAGAGAATTGTTCTTGATAAATGCTATTTCTAGTGCTTATGGATATTGCCTGCATCATATATGTTACTAGCTGATTTGAAGCTTTCTTTTGCCATAGTAAGTTCGAACAAATTTGATTAGCATGACCATACCAACAATGGTGCTTGTGGGTTAATCTTAAAAGATCGACATGAATTGTCGCGGACTCTTTTTAGATAAATTAAAAAAAAACTCTTCCAAACAATATTTGGGTATCGAAAAATAATAATTTACACCGTTTTTTTCACATTCTCCTCTGGTTTTTCGCTCCTATTAATCACAGCCTGACGTTTTGTCCCCTAAAGCCTTCCTCAATAAATGTTCCAACCACTATATATATATACTTTTTTGATATTTGATTTCGCGAATTCGAACGAACAAACAAACTCTTCAGGTAAATAGTTAATATTTTAGTATATGGAAAGGTCTTTGACGGACTCGGAGCCTAATGGTTGCAATGTGTCGCTAATCAACGAATCGTGGGTTCGTTCCCAACCGGGTCCATGGTGGAACTTCCACGACTCCACTTTTTATTGTGAGGCAGGCAGTTTGATGCCCACTTGTGCAAAATCTATTTCAATTTGATACCTTATTATAAATACAAATGAGCATCAAATTATTAACGCGTTGGAAATAAGCAATTTTAGACAGTTCGATTCCCGGTCGTGAATATTTTCTCACACCTTATCTAAACAGCGTGGTAACTTTGTATCGATTGACTCTATTTATACGTAGATAACGAAATGATAAATGTTATTTTTACAAGTAAAGGTGCGATACTAAAGTTATAAACGTAAAGATTTTGATGTCTGTGCTTTGTTATTCTTCTTAATGGATTTAAGAAGAGTAACAAAGCACGCAAATCTCAGGAAGTACTGGTTTAAATTTAAAAATTAAATTTGTGTTTGATAGACCATAGCCTTCGGTTATACTTAGGTATATATTTTCTAAATACTGTCTATAGTTTACGCGAGTAGTACACATTTAAATAAAATACTTTAACGGTTTTAAACGCGATATACCTATACTAGTTAAAATTATTATTATAGACTCTGTCTCCCTGTGATCACGGCTGCTGCAAAGCATCCGAAACGTCGGGCCGAAGTTAAAAATCAATTTCAAATAAATTTAACTAGTACATCTCGTTTTAAACCGTTAAAGTGTTTTATTTAAATATATATTTCATTCCATAAAATCGTTAGCGAATGTTTATTCTTATCTTTGCAGTTGCGATTTTTTTACTAGGCCGCACGGAAATATACCTAAAGAGGTATTATCTAGCCGATTAACATTTTATGTACGCTAAATACTAAAGTACTTTTTTACTGTCTAACTGCCTCGTCGGTCTGGTATCTAGTGCATTCGTCTGCAGATCACGAGGTTCCAGGTTTGAATCTTGGTTTTTTTTTGGACAAATATTTTATATGTCTCCTTGTGACCACGTTTTTTTTTAAATAATACTAAGACTAGTTCAAGTTAGTAGTAATGGTTTGTTACTAATTTATTACTGCTTTTAGTGGCGGTAGTCGATAAATTCAGTCAACCTAAACCCCATTTCTTCTAAGCAAAAGTAGACCTCTGTTTTATAAAACATGTTTTTACTTTCATAGTAGTATCCAATGTTCAAAATATTTATAAGCGTTTGTATGCCCTTACCTAAAACAATTCCATACGTAGTCCAATTACGTAATAAAACAAATAGGAGCGAAGTACATTTGAAAAAATCTACATTTCAAACGGCTGGACTTATTTTGATTGAGCTTTCACAAGCTGGATACAGTAGTATAATGAAGATTAATTAAAAAAAAACTAAACAGATTTTGATAAAACCTATTAACTTATGTGATGAAAAACTCATCAAGTGTAAAAACTTAGACGCTGCTTACCGCGAACTTACATCGCAAATACCTATATGTTGTATGTATGGCTATTGACAGCCCTTGCCTTGAACGACAAATATGCATGCAATGCTGGGGAGATGCCAACTGGGTACCTAGGGTTTAGAGGTGTAATTTTGTTCATTTTTCAAATGCCTCTATACATTTTACTTTGCAAACTGATATTATTGATATTACTTTATATGTAGGTATATACAGATTATGGAATAAATAAGTATAGATTATATACTGCATAATAGACATTTATGAAATATTGTATTTTATTTATAGAAAATCAACAATAAAAAATTAACATACACTACTTACATTTTATTGAGTGGCATTAAACTACTTGGTAACTATTTGAATTAAATGAAAAAAAAACAATATAGTAGGAGCTAATTTCCAAGGCGACTGACAATTATATTGGTATTCTTTTTCATTATTTATGTTTGTGATATATTTCATTGAACAACTTGTGGTTTGTTACTCCTAAATAAACATATTTCCTATCTTTCTCTCTTCATTGGTTTTTTATTTTTTTTATATATTTTTTTTCAAATATCTGCGATCAGTCCCCAAACAATGAGCAGATGCGATGTCTCCATTTATTATCTCTTCATTGTGAAAATAAAAATTTAGATCAAGAATGGTACATAAATACAAAATTGTACAGTGTAAAATTACTTATCTATACAAGGTGTATTATGGTTCAGTTAAAAAGCAATATATACTGCTTAAAGCACTTTCTTATATGTAAAGTTGACTGATGAAACATTCACAGTCTCCATAGCCCCAAATCCAACATACCCAAGATCGGAATCGGAACTTTTTTACAAGATGTGTCACTTATCCGTGAATATTAGACATAGTCATACAACCTATTTCGGAAATTAATTTTACAGTAAACATTGCAAAGTTTAAAATCTAGACGTTCAAATATTACATCACTTATGATTCATTTCAGTAAGCTGACTAATGGTAGCTTTTTGATGATCACAAAATAAACACACGTCCCCAAAATCCAATTTTTATTAAAGCAATTTGCATTAGAGGTCTTAGGTTTCAACCTGGGAAAAAACTAAATTTATTCTGTAATAAGTGAAATCATGTTTTCCCTAAATGGGCCATGGGGATATTTTCAGGAATTATATATATAGTTTTGTCATTTATTTAGGTGAAAAATAGTTTTATCAAGCTCTTCTGGAATTTGAACCTAGAACTCATTAGTTTAATTTATTTAGGGGTATCAACATTTCATACTAATATTATATAGGTATCTAGCTGAAGGATTTTTTGTGTTCTGCCACATCTTGAAACATACTAAATTTATTATAAAAAAGGACTTGCATTGGTATAAAGAATATTGAGACTTCATGCTTAATAATCTTTAACATACAAAGGGCTAAAAGTAATTTATTTCATTCAAACAAATAACAAAGTGGCTACATGAGCCTAATTGTAATCAAGATCATATTTGTTAGCCTGCATTAAACATTATTATTTATCTAGGCTATAAAATAAATATATAACTGAATAGGTATATTATTGGAGGTCTAGTACTTTATTGTGCCAGTTACGTTATAACAACATATTTCTAAGGACTACAAGTTTAAATCTTTTTTTCTTTGTTATTCTTTTAAAATAAAAATGTCTTTGTTATAGTTTCAAAGTGTCCATGCATATCTGATAGGTTTTTGACATTCTGCCAATAAATATAATCTTACCTTCGTGCCAAGGGTTCGCTGGTTCGAAGTATTGTGTGACTAAATTCTGGTCAAGGGGAAAGGAAACCTTCCTCTTGGGTTTTTCATCTTTTTTCTCACAGGATTCACTGACAACCGCACGAAACTCATTTTTCACAGTACTTTCACTGGCTCCCTGTTGTGTTATCTGATCACTAGTAGACATATCTCACGCTGAACGCACCGTCACAAATCATTTGTGAACACATTAGAATTATATAGAGAATTCTATCACACAAAAACACTGTTGTTGACACAAATATCTCGTGGGCAATCAACGAATTGGGCTGTCGGCTGCGATAAGTGATCATGTCACGACATTATACTCGAATATAAAGGGGTTCGGTGCTCTTTGCCGATTTTTGATTCTCGTTACAAATCAAAACAATTTGCACCTTTCATACATCGTTTACCGCCATATTGGATGAATGAAGACAAAAGGAGAGTTCCCCTTTTTGACGGCTAGGGGGCGCCGAAGTTGAATGATAAAAAAGAATGTTGCCATTGTAAAATAAAACAAATAATATGGTCTTTAACAAATACTAGTGCATAGACAGAGTAAGATTTATTTCTGCAAATAAGGTGAATTGCTTCATTGAAGAAAATCATATAGATGTGGTCATAGTTTAAATAATCAAAAAGAGATGGCGTTTTGATGAATATTCAATTTTTAAATGTATACCAGATGGCGCTTATATCAAACGTCTAAATATATTTTTAAATCAATAGTGATAAGTTACTTTTATATTCCCACAAGATTAACTTAGTCTCATTGTAATTGTCTTATAATTCTGGTATGCATAAGTTACAGGGGTAACAAACAAAAAAGTTTATTTTTATTTCAGTATAGCAGTGCAGGTATTTACATTATGAAATACATATACATGTTTCTATTCCTACATATATATATATATATCTTTTTTTAAATAGACACAAGCAACGTCTATTGTATTCATTAAATAAAACATTGTTTGGTAACCAATATTATTTATTTCAAACTCAACATCATATCATACACGAATTGTTGTTACATTATAAAAATATTTTGTAAAATTCTCTTAATTCTACAGTAAATAACTTGTTTGGTGTTGTGCTAAATAATACATTCTATAAGAGATTAATATGGACAGCATATTTGGACCCAGGAAAAGTTAGTTGACTTCACCACTTAGAGAAAAAAAAAACAAACGGTATTTACAATCTTTAAGTGCCATATGTATTAGTTATACCGTTATATACAAGAATAAATAAACATTTAACATTATAATTTTCCATATGAGGCCACTAGAGGCAGAGTAGCCTAACTGAAATTCTGTGACTCGTCTTGTTTATATTTTCATAAAAATGTTAATCTACAAGGAGCACAGTGACCAAAAATTGTTAACATAATTCTTACACATTAATTTTCGCCTTAGTTAATTGTGCATTTTTATTTTCCTCCTTATTGAAAATTATGTTCTTGTTAGGCCACTCTGCCTCTAGCAGCCTCATATATCTTCAATGACATGCATATCCCAAGAAACATTATTGATATTCAAATATATTTTGGTGATAATTTACAAATTTCCATAACATTATAGTTAAGTCTTTAAAATAAACCCTCAAATTATTATATTAAAACTATCTTAAATTAAAAATGGCTTTGTTCTATAAAACAATGTATTTAATGGACTTACGAAGCCATTGTTCGGGTATCAAGCGTAATTCACCCGATCTTTAGTCTTGCTAACCAATAAGACAAAGAAGCTGAAATTTTGAATAAATTTTTAAAAACAATAAATGACAGTCAATGTAAAAAATAATAATATAACAATAAAACTTAACTTCCTACAAACACATATAAGGTTTAAGAAAGATTTTTATAAAATAGATAGTATAGTTACATTACATATCTGACAATTTATGTTCCTTGAAATTAGACCCAACCGTAGAGATGTATCGAAACAGACAGATAAAAAAAAACAATACCCTGGTTTTTACCAGTCCTTTAGGACTTCAGATGAAAAGAACAGACTATATGCAATAGTATTTAAATAAGAATAGTGTTAAAAAAATCCACAGTCTTAAAAAAATCAATTATTTTTAATTTCAAAGCATGCAAGTCCTCCGGAGTTAATTTTTAATAAGAATTCAATAACTTTTTATAAAACTTTGCTTTAATGAATAGTCCATTATCATTTAAAATAATAAAATTCGTAAGTTTTTTGGTACAACTACCTATGTTGGATTCCATTTGTTTAATATCAAGTACCCAAGAGTTAATGCGTTGTTTACATAAGTTCGATATAATAAAGACTATTTTTGACTTACGCTAACATATATTTACCGTCGCGTACTAAAATGTATTTTGTTCAATTAAAAATCATTGTGGCTCTTTCTTTATTTTCAGGTCTAAAACTCCATCTGGAATAAAATTGAATACCAATGTTAAAATATTCAATACTTATGTAGTTTATGGGTGTTTCCGAAGGGTCTCTACTCCAAATGTCGAAAAACTAAAACGAACATACGTAACTCGTACAAACTAGGCATTAGTAAATCCTCATAACAAATTTAAAGAGAGCAAGATTTATGCAGCGTCCCAACCCGTCATCTGTCAGTACCACACTGACAGATGTCATTGTCATACAGGCATCAGTAACCCGAACCACGCTATGACGTACTATAAATGTCTGCAATGTCACGGGTCTGTGGTAAGTTAATTTAAATCTATTTACCAGTTTCAAACATGCAAGTTATGAGAACTCACCATTATCAGGCTCGCTGAATACATAGGCAATCCGTCTCGGTGCCAGCTGCTTTCTTCCATGACTTTTCCTCTTAGACAAATTGAGAACACCGTCTATAAACACCGTTTTAGCACACACCATCTGTTTCGGCTTGAAAGCTTCACTCTCCCCCGCGTTTTCTCGTTTCTCCATCATATACATATCCGTTTTGTACAGTTTAAAACTATTATCGTGCTTCTCCATAGTGTATATTTCATTTTCATCGTATATGTTCTGCTCGCATATATCAGTATCCATTTTCAAATCATTCTCCCAATTATCATTAGATACATCTAATACACAGTCGTTACATGATTTGAAATTATCATTTTCCCGTTTATTACTGTCATTTTTTGGTTTATCTACTTTGTGATGATCATTATCCCATGTAGAATTATCATTATTTGATTTGAAATTGTCAAATTCTCTCTTAATATTATCATTATTTAATTTACAATTACCAATATTTGGTTTTTCTAATTTGTTTTCATCACTATTTGTTTCAATGCTTTTCTCTTTGTAAATATGATTAACACTTTGTTGTACAAGTTTATCGATTCGACATTCAAATATTTGTGATTTGAGACATGGAAAGATGTCGGTTCGAGGAGATTCTATGACTATTTCCGGTTCTAATTCTGGCACCTTGGTGGGATCTGAACGCTCCTCTAGGACCTGAAAATTAAAACAGTGACCTTAATAAAAGATTCATACAAGCTATAGTTATTTCTTTCTTATACTAATAGGTAACATCGATGCCGCTGACTGCTCTAGCCAAATGGTTGAAAGTGTTGCCTAGCATTACATTAAGTAAAATGGATACAGAAATATGTTTGCCTCTTGCCCTGCGGGGCGAGAAACGGTAAATGATGTGAGTGAACAATAATGCAATTTGTAATTAAAGATTACAAAAAAACACTGGTCAGCAAGTGATTTTGAGTTATAACTAAGAATAAAGGGGCTGGACTGTTAATTGTGAACATTAATATTCTCGTAATGGTAAACATCTAGAAATTAATGTCCTAGAAACAAATGCAATACCATGTTGCAATGCGCTAAGGGGTTGTCCATTAATCACGTGACCTATTTTAGAATTTTTAAACCCCCCCCTCCCCCATCGATGATACGTAGTGAGGTTTAAGACCACCCCCCCTCCCCTTCTCAACATCACGTGTATTTTTAGTACCTACAAAGAATCTTAAAATTTTCTGAATATTATCTTAATATAAATACAGGTAATAAACTATAATCTTATTTTATTTTGAAATTAAGGACCATAATAAAAATGTCTACACCATTTGTTTAAAAATCGCGCGTTTGACGAAAAAATCAATACACGAGATATTTTACTACGCCCCCCCTCCCCCTTGTGTTATTTTCGTGATTTTTATCAAACCACCCCCCCCCCCCCCCCTTTCAAGCCTCACGTGATAAATGGACAACCCCTAATCTGAAAGACTAAAGTTCGATCTTTATCGAACTTTAACAGGAAATTGCGAAATATATTAGTTAAACTTATAAATAAAGATGGAGTCTCTAATGTCAAAATTGAATCTGTTACGCTAGCGCTATTCCGTCGCGGCTGGGTCCTTAAGAAACCAACTAAAGGTGTTTTTAATAATTTTTAAAGTTTAACTAATATATTTCGCGTGTAAAATCGATTTCTTTATGATAGAGGAGTATAGACATGGCATGGGGTTTACTCGATGGTAGGTGATATACCCCAGCCTACATGTAAACAAGATGCACTGCCGACCTATTTGGACTTTGGATACTTGGAAATCCACAGACTGAAACCGAAACGCGATTAAGCTTCACGGCTTTTTCATCTGTGGATGGTGGGTAACATCCAGGATTCCAGACGGAGTTCAGCATATCTCAGTAAAATTATAAATTGAAAAATTAAAAACACGTTGGACCTGGGGGGGGGGGGATCAAACCCACAACCCATTGATCATTAACCATACATTGCTACCGATAGACCAACGAAGCCGCCAGTCCGGACAGTGTTTAACATGAAATTGTCTATGATCATTTATTACTCCGAAACAAGTTACCAGGCCATTAAATATTAATAAATAATAACACCAAAACAAATACCGTCATTATATGCGTCCTCAGTGATGTATATCTTGTACGGAGTACTGTCCTCGTGGCTAGCAGGACGCGTCGTTCAGCTAAGGCGTCATCTCTACACGCTCTGACGGCGCGGAGTTCTCGTGTAAGCCGCCTTAGGTTCTCTACGCTACGTCGTCTGCTGTTCTGGGACGCGAGCTGAAATGACAGGTGTCTAAGGTAAGATTAGTTTGAAAACTTTAACAGCTTTCACATGTTATTGGACATGATGGCACTAGATGGCCGCGAGCAGACAGCTAGTTGAAATTAAATAAATTGTCACCAATTTTGGCTATCTAAACCGATTTTTAAGTTTGGGTCTATCTTAGTCCGTGGTATCATTTGTGAAGTAATTGCAATTTTTTCATTTATCAAAATCACTTTAGCCGTTTCTGCTGGACAGCGAAACATGCATCCAAGGCACGAACAAAAATAAACTTAGCAAGTATATCAATAAAAATTTCACATGGAATTCGAATCTTTACAGAAGCGTCTCGTTAACCGCTAAGTAACAGACGTGGTCATAAGAATGTCGAAGAAAATTTCCCAGTAGCGCCTAATAGGTATTAGATTACGCGGTAAACCAGCACTTCGGGTGTCGCTTACATATTATTATGCAACACTTTATAATACTACTATGACCAGAGTCTGGAGACAGTAAGAATCTTAGCCACATGTGGATCTGGTTTTGAATCTCGGGGAAATAATTTTTTGTGTTTGGGTGGAGCACAAAATATACAAGATTAAAGGATAAAGGGTTAAGGCTTCTTTTGGTTTCATGAGATATATCTTGCATGTAATATATATTGCAAATTTTTTGATATATATCCTTTTATGAGTAGTAATACTTTCATACATTACAAAATCATAATCATTAAAAAATCACAACATTTATCATTTTTATTGTCTGTTATTATAGGAAGCACATATAGTGTTTTAAATCTATAAATAAAAAAAAAATTATCTCAAAAGAAACATTTTCTTTTACAAAAGGCAAAAGATATATATTATTAAGAAATACAGAAAGATGCTATAAAAACAATGTTTTCTTGCTTTTTCTCTTTCTTTTCGCATAAATTGTTAGTAAAAATGAAGGTTTTAGGTAAGGAGTAGCCAGGGTTACTTACCCTATTTCTGATCCTACGACGTAGACCCTTTAAAAACATCAGATCATCTTCTCTCAGGTTCAGGGACTGCACCTTCTCTAAATACTTAGACGTTGGAAGACGGGTCACTTCATAAACAGTCATACGTATGCCTCGGGCTAAAATAGATCATTAGAACAATAAGAGGTAGTGGTTTATGGATAAAATAATATTTTTTTATAAATATGTTTTCAGATATATCATTTGCCATGTAATCTTAGCTATAGAATCATATATATGAAGTCTTTAATGTTATCGTTGTATATATACAAATTTATGCGTAACTAGAGAGGTCTTAGTCATAGTAAATAAATCACTACGTATCTTTTTCGATTGGTCAAATTTAACTGTACCACTGCCTAATATTGATATTTACTCAATACTATTTGACATTAAACATCACGTCTACCAGAAAAACGAGTTCCAATTCATGTGTATTACGAATTACGTAAAATATATACGCGAAATGATTAATGGAACAAATTAAAAGAGTAACGAAATACATTTTTGCGTCACAACCTGTTGCTTCTTAGAAGTCATAGTTTCAAATTACACATTTCCAACAACACTCACTCACCGTCTAAAGTCTCTTGATCATGTTGATATGACGAAGCCTGCTTCGTATTATCATCCATTCTTCATATTTATAAGCGCAAATTGGGTGTTTTGAAAACTAAAATTTATTGAAACAAAAAATACACTGCCCCATTCACAAATTCACGACCATAGGTTATGTACTTGGTACATATAAAACGTCAATGTCTTTTTTCCATGACAGTAGACTTATGACCTTATATAATTTAAGAGCAAAAATATTATTATCAGATAATTTACTATACAGCAGACAACCCCATAATTCATTAATTAACGTTTAAACTACTTAAAGATTTATTTAAGTTGTTCGTAAGCTTTTGAAATAAAAAATTGTCATGCCAACTTTACTCAAGTAAAACAGCAACCCTAAATGTCAATTGTCATAACAAATCACACATGTTTTTTAGCCAAGTGTCTAACTTGCCAGTTGCCGACTGTTGTCTGTTTTGTTTAAATTTGTCACTAAGCGTATTTCCATTGTTTTTTATTTGTTCAAACACACCGGTAAGTTTTTACTTAGATATTTATGCCGCAAATGCTGCGGTTTCTTTTAGTATTAATTTGTGGACCACAAATAAATATTACGTTGGTTTCTCTTATGTCTTAGTTTGAACATGTGAGCGTGTTTTTTTAACCGGTTCCTGTGTCCTTTTGTTAGTTTTTTTATTGATGCCCTAAATTAAAACTTTGTGTCCCAAGGTTTCCCTTAAAATACTGTATTATCCATAATAGGGTATTAAAATAGGTTGACTAACATATTGAATAAAATTCAGTATATTTATTAAAACTGTTTATTTAGTAAGTTATTTTATAAATGAAGCTTTTTTACATCCTATTTAGATTCAGGACTAGCTCACTATCCTTCTTTTATATGAAATAATTTGTCTTACACAAATCAAAACAATTTATTGTCCCTCCGGGTTTTGTATCCAGATTATGTTATGTTATATATTATGCTAAGCAGTGCCTGTTACAACTAATCTACCGAGGCAGTAAAACAAATTCTTACTGCCCTGTACTCTGTAGGTTACTTAATATTTGATACATGCCAATTCAAGATTAAATGAGTTTATTTTTAACTTTTAATTTTCAGATAAAATGTCAACTCAGGCATATGGTTTTAAAGATTGGGATCCAATGAAAGATGACTATAATGACTCACTATATGATGCCCAATATGCTGATGAGAATACTGAGTAAGTTATACTTGCAATTGGTGTAACTGTACTGTACTAAGAGTCACTGGGGAAAGTAGAGTGAACTTTGTGTATTACTACTTTCTTAAATAAACACTTTTTGTCTACCCAATTTTTTCAATACGTCCACAGGTCAGGAGTACAGCTGGACCATAGCAAACTCTACATAACAAATATACCACAGACCTTAAACGAAGAAGGTCTTAAGCTTGTATTCACCAAATATGGAAGTGTCATCAAACTATATATGTCGCGAGACCCTAAGAAGAGATATGCATTGGTCATCTATGAATCTCCTAGGTATGCACTTGATTTTGCTAAGGGGAAGAGGCTGTAATTTCGATTCAAATGTGAAATATATTAGTTAACTTATGTTTGAAATTTACTTGTAAATTTTAAATCTATTTGGCTATATAAATTTATAATCAATTTTTAATTTATATAGTGCCATCATATGCAATAACATGTGTAAAACATCAAAGTATTCAGTAATTTTGCTGTTCAAAAGTAGTTTTTCGACATGACTACTTTGTTTTTTTAATTTTTTTTTGTACCTTTATTTAACATATATTTGCGGAGTATAAAAACTTGATGTTGCCAATATTGTATCCTGATGAGCGGAAAGGTTGAAAGAGACATGCAATTTCTAAGCTGCGTGGTATACACATAGTCCCTATATGTTTTAACTACGTATTGTTTTTACAGTGAAGCAAAGCTGGCGATGATTAAGCTAAATAGAGCAGAGCCTTTGAAGCTAAATGTATCTATAGCTCATAAGGTGAGGAATATTTTTATATCATTAAAAAATCCAACAATTTCTTATAAAAAAATTAAGTTTCTATATCACAACATAATCTTAATAGCTCTATAACTGTGGCCCATAAGATAAGGGTTATTCATATTTAGTCATCTTATTAATGGTTTTAAATATGACTGAATATTAGCAGCTGATTATATGTTGTCTTTTTTGTAATAAATTGCAACATTGAATATATATAAAAAGTTTACATTTTTAACAGTAAATAAAATTACTTTTGTTTTATACACATAGTATTTTTGTATTATCTTCACCTAATATATTATGTCAATATTATACTGGCAATCTGCGCTATCTAGTTTTGTTCGAATTTCAACAGAAAAACAACCAAAGCGATGATTATAAGGACCGAAGCGCTCGCCCCAGTGCCTCATACAGTCGTCCGTCGTTTACGAAGGACAAGGAAGACACCAGCAGCATAAGCAGTAAAGTAGTGTATAATCAGTAAGTTCTTTCATGCTAGTCATAGGTGGTGTTTTGAGTAGGACTCAATATGGTTAATCCCAGAATAGCTTAGGTCCCAAAACATGAATATCAAAAATACTTCAGTTATTATTGTTTTTAAGATTATCATATTCAGATATTATTGTCATATATTTAAATAAAACACTTTAACGGTTTAAAACGTGATATATTAGTTAAACTTATTTGAAAATGATTTTTAACTTCGGCTCGACGTTTCGGATGCTTTGCAGCAGCCGTGATCACGGGGGTCACGGGGTTTCAAATAAGTTTAACTAATATATCGCGTTTTAAACCGTTAAAGTGTTTTATTCAAATGTGTACTACTTGCGTAAACTATAGACACCATTTATTGTCATACAGTTTAATGAGTTTAATTCCCAACAAATTTGAGTCAGATAAAAGTTCAAACATGTTTTTATAACTAATATGTACTAGTTATCTGTGGCCAAATACTGCTTAATTACGAATTAGTTCAAGTGAATCATACTTTAATTATTTATATTGTAACTAGCTGTGCCCGCGACTTTGTCCGCGTGGAATAGTGATTTGGGGGTTTTATTTTTTTTAATTTGTTTATTAATTTATGTAAGGGCGCATTTCAGGCAGCCAATTTATGTTGTAAGTGCTACTTTACCGCAACACTCACTTCACATCACTCCTAGTCTAACACCCACTTTCAATCCTACACTCACTCCCACTCCTATTCCCAAAAAGCCACGACCGCGTACAAAATTGCAACTAAAATAATCGTTATTTTTTTCCAGAAAAAAAAAACATAATACAATAACCAACTGGTTAGAAAGTAACAATTGTGTCGCAAAATTAGCGTTCATTTCGGGCCACCATACAATTCTTTTCATATTTAAAAAAAATCCGATTATAACATCGTTAAAGAACTATTCGCATAAATAAATTTAAAACTCGGTCAGAAATTTTAAAGATTACGTGACTTCTTTTTATTTATACATTAAGAATATGTAATATAAAAAAAAAGGCATATTGTGCAAAAAATAAAACCTAACCGCCATCTTTCGCATGCAACTGGCAATGTCGCCCACTGTCAGTTTGTATTTCCGTTTCCTGAAAAAAGGTTTAGTTTCGTGAGGTTTATTTGTTCCTAAGTTTTTAAGTGCTGTTTAATTTACTTACACTATATATATGATCGGTTGTTACTAAGTAACTAGTGTTAAATTTCACTGATTGTTGACGTAAGTGGTTTTAAAGTTGAATCAGTTGAATATTTCATCACAACAATGAACGACCGGTATGGTACATTATTGTTTTTACAACAACACACTATAATTTAGTGTAGTTATATATAGGAAGTTTAGCACTGCTTTATTGAGATTGTTGCTTTATAGTTTAAGTGTATGTGAGAGACAAGTGTGTTTATTTAAGCCGGATTTATACAATCATGCGTCAGATCAGATTTTTGTATAGCACCTCGGGACGGCTGCATATTCCAACTAACTTCGTAAATCGTTAAGATTATCACAATTGATGGAGCGGTCCTTACCACCTGTGGTTTGTAAAGTAGTACGGCTTATTGAGATTAAATTCTTTATTGATAATCAAGTGTACACAAGTACCTACAGAATTAACAACAAAATGTAACAAAAGAATTGTTGCCTTGCATATCATTGTTCTTCGGCCGACGTGAGCGACAAGAGGTTCTCGACGCTTAGTAAGCACGAGCGGACGGCACCACCAGGGGAATTTAATTAATTCTCTGAGCTATCTAGTAACTAACATCTTATGATGCAGTCTGCTTGTAATGGCGAAATGTCGACAGCCTCTTCTCTCTCACGCTGAACGATGGCCGTGAAAACCTTACACAATTCATTGTTACTATTTATTTATTCATATATATTTACTATGGTAATCTAAAGTAATCTGTGGTCTGCAATTAATCAGAAGCATTAAAACATAGTATTATAAACAGCTTGTAACAATTACATGTGTTCTTCAGTTAAAATGCCTGTCTATATAAAAATGTATGCACCAAATATATCAAGATTGTTTAATGGAGGAGACTTGTTTCAACTACACTGGTATGATAACATTTAACAATTGCGGTTGTTACAGAAATCGGAATATGATGGACAATGATGAAGATTATGATGACGATGATGGGGTGAGTTTTTTTATTAATTATTGTGTTATATATGTATTAGTGTTAGCTCCCACGATTAGTAATATATTGACTTAGTCTATTTATTGAAAAGAACCTAATAAAGTAATACTTTTGTGTCGTTTATGGGATAAAATAACCATATAAACTAATTCATAGCCTGTGACTTCAAAATTTGTATGAAAGTAATTGATTGTTTGTATTTCACGTTAATTATACCTTGAGAAAGCAGGCAGCCGCTTATATTTAAGTCTTATATTTGCAAAATGTCCTTAATTGTATAAAGTAAGGCCTTTACAATAATGGGGTGTGTAGCTAGGACAAACTCTATATATTTGTTCAGCGTCTAAGATAAGTAACCCAATCTAACTTGTTACTATAATATAAAAGTAATTTAACTATTATTGACATTCAACAGAGTTTGACTTTGGATGCTGAATTGCATCTGGAGTTGACCCATTTGAAATTGGAAGAGCTGGCATTGCAGAAACAAGAGCTAAAGTATCGGCAGCAGCTGCTCATGTTGAATAAAGCTGGGGGCAAAAAGCAGGTGAGATAAGTAGATATGACTTTGACAAAGTACTTGAGTTAGACAATACATTATCAAAAGCACTATATAGATTTTCAATAAAAAATTGGTTTAGATTGAAAACATTTGATTACACTTGCTGTATCATGTTATTGTCAAATTTCTTCTAGCCATGAATATATCCATCTATCGATTTTTACCGGTTTGATACAACAGATTATTGGACTTATAAGTTTATTTTCAATGACTATTCTTAGTATTACCAATTATCATCTACAAAAAAATATTTTTGCCACTTGTGTGAACTGGAGTGAAAGAGTAGAAAATCCTACGGAGGAGATAGTGAACATTTCAACTATTACTGCAGTGGGTAGTTACTAATTAATACTAATTACTAATTAATTAAAATCGTTTAATCTTTCAGCACAATCCATTAGCAAGTAGAGTAATCACATCCGATGGAAAGATTGTTCTCAAAGCAGCACCAGACAGGTACTTGTTTTATTTAGGATAGAAGAGAAATACATTTTAGTAACACTCAATTAATTTTAAAGTCCACGTAAATTGGTTGTAATCTAAAATACATAATAACAACAGAGTAGGTAATATTTTTGAAATGAAATTATTTAAGGGCGACCAAGGTAACATTTATTTTTAAAGTATAAACAAGAGGTAACATAGCAAACACATTTATTTTTTATTTATTTTCCAGGTCCGAACCCGCCGTAGACACAACTTACTCGGGCGCCGGTGATTCTGTAAGTCACACACTATGTATTTATAGATGATAGTTATTGAAAATGTACATTGCACACACAATATATTTTTTTAAACCGGCACTTTATAAGTCTGATTGATATTAAACCAAAGCTTAAGTGTTCATTGCATTTGGGTTGTAGCATAAAAGTTAAGTTGTATGTGCATCTCAAATAAACATTTATGTACGTTTTATCTCAGACCATTTTCTTGGTATATGTATGTATTTATAGTGTTTGTTATAAGTGTATTTAAGTAGTGTGTATTGTGTTTGATTCTTATACACCAACTGCATTACAATTCAGTCAGATATTTGAATTCATTTATGACATGCTTAAAATTATTTGAGAACGCATGCGCCAGCAAAGACCCATAACAACAGTAGAGCGATTATTCTTCAGAAAGACGCGTGCTCCTGCCAAGCCAAGACATGGAACGAACCGTCCGATGACAGTTCCACTCCGTCCACTTGTATTCTATTCTCCGAAGAGAGGCCAGATTGCAAAGCTAAGTCGGACATGACAGACCTTGTAAGCGATAAACTAGTCAAATCAGTAGATTTCACCAATAAAACGTCACGTTCGAAAAGTAGATGTACAGATTTTAGCAAGTCGCTCAGTAGAAAGTCGGATTTGAGTAGATTCACTGAGGTGAGTAAGTCTGACGTCACTAGCAAGCGAGAGGTATGCAAGAACGTCGTGAAGAAGAGCGAGATCTCTTGCGATCTCAAGTTTGACTACGACGACGGAGATGATGAAGATGAGACAAATCGCCTCATACAGCTACGGAACGCGGACTATATGGACATAGTCGAGGAGGACATGAAAATTGTCATTGCGCTTGCCGGGTACCCCAAATCGAAGATGCGACTCAAGCAAATGGAAATTTTTCAGCGATCGATAAACGATATCATGGATATGCAATTCAAATCTGGGCTCTTGAAAAAGACGCCGACATTCCTAGACTACTACCTCAATAGAGGCGCGATAATCTGCATATGCAAGGATATCGAGACGAGGGATTGGATGGTTCGCGTCTCGCCAGGCTTGCAGGAGCGCATGTCCAATAACTTGTTGCTGCTCAAGGCTAAAATTAAACGGCTGTGCGTCGCTGTTATGAAGATCCCGCAGAGATGCTGGCCGTCTAGCGCTCAGGACGCGTTTAAACTTTTGCAGTACTTCAATCCCACCCTCAACACCCATCTGTGGAAAATATACGCGCAAAAGATCGTCGATAACGTTGAGTGTACATCTTTTCTAATCGACAGGATATCCGGGGAAATTATCCGAGGTCCCACATTCAAAAATGTCATAGACTACACTCAAATGGATTTCGAGGTTACTGGTTTCACAGAAATATATTATGATTGCTTTCTATCAGATATGGAAGACGAACTACACAGTGTTGCTTCTAGAGTCAAACTATTAGAAGATATACGCTCTTGTGAAAACACACCCAGGGTAGCACAAGAATCGAATGAAATGTCAGCCGAAACAGAAAAGAGCGACAAGAGTGATAATTCGGGAGCACGTGACACAATTAATGAAAGGGTAGACTCCGCGACAGGTATGGAGGCTGATGGCAAAGGGGAACCCAAAGAAATAGAAAAAGAAATAAACAGAATAGAAGAACCCTGGTTTCAATGTGAACCGAGTATCGAAGACCCGCAATCTAAGAATCGGGAAGATAATATAGAAAGTTATGAACCAACATCTGCGGCTATGTCAGACAAGACAGAATCGGTATTCGCTAGCAGTGACAATTTAGTTATCAGTAGGAATAATTTGAACATAGATAGCAATAGAGGTATAGCGTATCACAGGCGCACTAATTATCTACACGTAGAGAACGAACTCAAAATTGCTATAACTTTAGAAGGTTATCCTCAGGAGAAACTTGAAGGCAACCATATACGACGTTTTAAACATTTGCTAAAGGAGTACATTCACAAAGATATGAAGATCCACAGGTTTGATAATATGATTATACCGAAATTCCAAGATGTCTACCTCTCGAATGGAGCGGTTATTTACATCTGTGATAGTTTAGAGACAAAGGATTATCTGAACGAATCCTTACCGAAGTTTATGAATTCTACAGGACTCAAACTCACCTTTAGGGAAGTACAGAACTTGCTTAGGTATACGCGGTTGGTGATGCGGTTGTCTAAAGAGCTTGCGAATGTGGAATCCATAGAGATTCTTTTGCATTTGAAGAACCGGTATCCGAAATTGAAACCAGACTGCTGGAAGTATTATTCCGATATCGCCGGTAAGCAGAAACGTCAGTTCGGCGTCGACCCTGAATCCTTGGAAGTGATAAAAAGCCCGGATTTCGATCCCACTTATGAAGGTGAAACGTTAGTATTTCGGATCATAGATAGACAGAAACGGTGTACAAGTGAAGACCCAAGCACGAAGGAGAATGAAGATCCAGACGGAGTAAGAAAGAAGTTAAGGGAAGCTGTGGTTAAAAGCTTATACTGTCCCATAGAAGCGGATATGGCGAATCTATCTTTGACGCGTATAAGAGCAAACCACTATTCAGATTTAGTCCCGGACGATCTAAAACTATACGTCAGCCCGACTGACTATCCGGAAATGAGAATCGACGATGTCATATTCCACTCTATAAAGCGTAGTTTCGAGGAGATTTTAGTAGATAATGGACAGTCCGAATTCGATTATCCGAAAATTCACGACATCTACCTATTCGATGGCGTGATATTTTTAATATGTAAGGATCTGCTCTCGAGGCAGTGGATAGTGGAATCTTTACAAGCTGTTGATAAAAGAGTAAACGTTAATCTGAAGGCGACGGAATTCCGCGGTGCAGTCGGAATTGTCAGCTTTTTTCTAAACACAGACAGAGACGCAGATGACGTGATTGCCCATCTTCAAGCACAGAACCCTAGATTGCGAACGAAATATTGGCGCAAGATAACCGTCTCCCGGGACCGTGGAACGCTAGACGTTGTATTGCAGATAGATAAGCTATCCGCTCAAGTCATTATGGATAAGAATTTCAAAGGCACAATCGATGACAGCATAGTCAGCTTTAAATTGGGACATTTGAAATCGCTGATAACGAGAAAGCTATGTTCGGCTACGACACCCAGTATCAAATCAGGTACCAGCAATTACAGGCTATCCCCAGAGAGGAACCGGAGTCCAGATCTCATGGAAGAAGCGGAAACCAAAAGGATAAATACTCACGAATCCGAAGTTTTCTTCCTTACACACGTGAACGTCAAATCTGATTCAGATAAATCGACATACACGATCCCGAAGGCCAGCAAGCACAGCTATTGCAAGATGAATCTCAAACTACCTCCAAATTTATTACCGGACAAAGACGGTGTTGATATGATTTTTGACCTACTACAAGATAAGAATCCGGGTTTGAACACTGAGCTGTGGAAGATAAACAGCGCGCGGCACAGTAAAGGTTCGTTCAGTGTATTGATAGATAAGCAGTCTGCTGCAGTGATTAAGAGTAAGGAATTCAATCCAAGCGTGGCGGGGGAGAGGATTAAGTTTTACTTCTAAGTACGCTGGTAGTGTAACTATAGATTTAGTATCATTTCACATCATGCGACGTATGCTACTGTCTATTTGAGAGTAGTAATTTTGACAGTTAATTTTGCGTCATCACTACACTTCTAAGATACAAATAAAAAGAATAATGTAATACAAAGTAACATAGCAAAGGTAGTAGTCATCGTATATTTATTTATTTCTTTTAGTTCACTGAAATATTCAAATGACATCCTAAATTAGACAAGGTATAAGTTGTCTTACTGTAGAGTTTCTTGCTTACCTTTACGCATTGCCTGTGCCTTGAATATTTATCTTCTTTGACTTTCATGACCTGAGCTTTTGAGTTGCAGTAGATGTGTGGGTATGTGGCGCTTCCAAATTTATTGAAATACTACACACACTCACGCTACCCTGTTCTTTGGACTTAGGATCAATGCGCAAGCGCATTAAGAGTTTGAGTAATTTTAACTTTGTGTGGTTTTGACATGAGACTTTAAAGTTTCTGGTCGAATTGAATAGTCTAGTTTACGTGCATGGAAACCCGCTAAAGTCCTATAAAAATCTTTTGGATCTTAAAGTATTTTTGTCGCCTATCTCTTTCTTCAGCCCATTAATTACGTATAACGTTTCTTGAATTTTTGAAGCGCCACATTCGTTTTATTCAACTGAACAATATACATTCCATACGTTGATCAGTAAAGTTTTTAGATCCATTAAATTCTGTTTTGATTGGTTTATCGCGCTTAAAGACTGAATCTTAAAGAACTTTTTAAACAACCCAGAGGCACGAATCTTGCGGTCTCTTAAAACTGTGGTAATTATTGAACGGTTTATTTTATTAATGTATACATAAGTTTTGTTCTAATAGTTTTAATTTGATGCTTGTGATGTATTTGATTATTTTTTTCAAGGCAGCTGTTTTATTATTAAACGGTTTAATTTTACGATTTGGTTTTATTTTATTTCTTAGCGTCAGTTTTTGTAATATATTAAACACATAGTACGCTAGGCACGCAAAATAAATGAACGAAAAAGGACTAGAATATTAAAAAATTATCCAGCGATTCGGAGTTACGAAGGATTTACTTAATACAAAACATTTTTTTTAAGTCATCTGTTGTATACTGTCTATAGATTACGCGAGTAGTACACATTTAAATAAAACACTAACGGTTTAAAACGCTACCTATTAGTTAAACTTATTTGAAAATTACTTTTAACTACGGCTCGACGTTTCGTCGTAAAATATCTCGTTTTGAACTGTTAAAGTGTTTTATTTAAATGTGTACTACTCGCGTAAACTATAGACAGTATTCAAACCCAATATTTCTGACGTACATCGCAATTGGACAAGCAGTTAAAAGTACCAGAACTACAGCGCTACAGGAAGCGGTGTCTCGCGTGCGGGGAGCGGGGGGAGTACTACTGCGCGGGGTGCGGAGTGGCGCCGTACTGCAGCCCGCAGTGTCAGAGGCAAGATTGGGTCGCGCGACACAAGAGCGTATGTCACAACTTGTCCAGGTAATTCATTCAAATTGAGACTGCTAGAGACAGAGTGGCCTAATTACAAAAAATATGATTTTCAGTAAGGAGGAAATAAAGGGCTATTAACTTAGGCGAAATATTATTAATATTATTTGTGTAATTATGTTAACAATTTCGCTTTTTTTTTAAATTGGTTGGTGGTGGTTACGGTTTTAAATTGATAATATAAATACCTAAGTCATAAAATTACTGTTAGGCTACTCTGTCTTAGCGACCTCATCATAACCGCCAGTTGTATACCAAAAAATATTATTTTTAATGCATTCTAACTTAAGAAGACATAAGGAATTGATAAAAGAGGACAGACAAGGATGAAGTTACACTTGATGGTAGGTAAAACTCCCGGGGTATATAACATCTATACAAGCTCCGCTGTCGATCTACTTCAGCTTTGGATATCCGAAAATCGCGAGTAAAGTAAGCTTTTTCACCTGTGTTCAAAAATAATTATAAATTGATAAAAAAAAATGTTAAACTCGGTGTGGATCGAAGCCACGACCCGTTAATGATTATCGGTACATTGCTACCATTGCAATAAGGAGCCCGTGAAAAAGAATACGTCCTCAAACCAAAAACATACATATCTTCAGATATGAGAATAATTTAAAAAGAATTACCCAATTTAAAACGCTCATGCATGAAAGAGAAAACGATATCGCCCCACCCTTTTTGGTTTGCCATAACGTGTGAATCAAATTCGTTATAATAAGCTTAGTTTGAAGTTTTATCAATAAAAGCTGTATTCATATTACAAAAAGGATTGTCCTTTGAGCATAGCGGGATAACGATATAATCAACTCTATCGTCTAGTCTACTTAAATTTACTGTATCGAGGTAAAAATAAGGTTTCTTCTTAATTCCTAACATATTTTTTTTCTTCTCAGATTATCAGAAGGCTTGGAAATCAATACACAGAACAAACAAGATAATAGGTAATACTTAGTTTTCAGCATTGTATTTTCGAGTTTTAAGCCGTCAAATGAACTGATTAATAGTATCTGTGTCCGCGACTTTGTCCGTGAAGAATAGTTTTTTATGCATCAAAATTTTTTTTTCCATCTTTAAAAATGCAAGTTCTATGTGAAAATCCGGGACTGATACAAATTATTGTATGTTCTCTAATATTGCAGCGTAGTGGCGGATACGTCATTCCGTCCCCGCAAACACTTACGTCCGAAATATCAGGACAACGGCGAAACATCCAGTGAACCGTCCGAGGGGATGGACAAGCATTATTGTGAGAAGGTGAGAAACTCAACTAGCTCATCCTACAAACATTTTGTTTGCAAGATTATTTGTTATTTTGTTGATACAACTCTAACAATTGATCAGTACAGTCAATTAATTTGATTATAGTTAATCTTCAATTTAAAAAAACTTTTGGGTTAAACAGTTTTGTTTTTTGTTTACTGAAAACTACAAAAAAATGACATAATCATCGTGTTTTACTAGTGTAGCCCTTTTCATTTGATACCCATATTGAGGGGGTTAAGGAAAAATATGTAATCGGCCATTTTGTATCGGCGGCCATTTTGGATTTACAATGTTATTGATTTTATTATATTGTTTTGTCATCTAAATTAAACGTGTGTACCAATTCTCAGATCAATCTGACAACGCAATTTCTAATGTTGACCCAAATAGATAAATTCCGTACGGGTCGAGCCTAATAAAACTGTTTAACATAGACATATACTGTCGCGGCCATCTTTTAGAAAATAAATGGGAAACCAACAATTTTTCTATTGACAGCTCGCAGCGTGGTTTTAGCCTAAAGCCTTCCTTGATAAATGCTCTAACCAACACAAAGATTTTTTCATTTCGAACCATTAGTTCGCGAGATAAGCGCGTTCAAACAAACATTTCAGCTTTATAATATTATTATAGATTTAATTCTTTTTACAGAAAACTAAGTCAAGCGCCAACAGACGCAACTTTTCACCTAAAAACGCAAATCTACGTCGGCCTAACGTTCTTGATGTCAAGGTGGACAAAGACAGTGGTAATATCAAAGCAGAAAGCACCAAATCTAACGAAATCGCACAGACAAAGATTGGGGACGAACGACAATTAGACAAGAAGGAGTCGCTTGTCGATTCCGCGAATGAAAGATCTGGGAATGAAAATCCCGGTCTTCGACCTCCGGTTGGAACCACGAATCGAAATGAAGTGACCAGACCAGCTGTTATGTATAGAAAGAAGGAGATCATTGGTAAGAAGACGGAACCGCCGACTAGTGAGTACTATGTATACCTAATATGTTTTTGATACAAAATATATGCAATACAAGAGAAATTTTAAAAATAAAATGTCTATTTTGAAATTTCATTATTATTTTATAAAAATGCATTTCCATTGAAAACACATATACGACACGGGCGGGACATGGACAAAATTAGAATCGATTCACCTGGTTTTAGGTGAATCGATTCAAATTTTTTTACTTTTTTAATTAGAATGCCGTCATTAAACGTTAGGAGGGCGGTTGTTGAATTGACCAAAAAACGTGTCTGTAGTACACTTTTAAATAAAACACTTTAACAGTTTAAAACACGATACCAACTCAGCCAGCGTACGTAGTGGACGTATCGTAAAATAACTTTTAAAATACAAAATAATTAGAAAAGTAAAATTGAATCTTTTAACAATAGTGATAAAGTTTACAATCTCGTGTTACAGTGTGTTACTTAGGTCATTAAAAGACGGAGTAATTGCATAACAGGTTTGCAAAGTACACAGATATAATGTTACGCTCTCCAACTAGAAGTGACCGGGACAAGAGTCTAACGGGTTCGCATCCTAACTTGACTAGTGGATCCGATTTAAATCAAGACTCCTCCACTTCCCATAGAGTAGCGACGCGTAATAAGAGGAAATATCCTAATGATGATACAAGTGTAAAAGATGAACTTTTCGACATTAAGAAGCAACTATCAGCTATGATGGAAATGTTATCAGTACAAAACGTAAATCAAAAAGAATTTATGGATAAAGTATCAGGAGATATTAATGATATTAAAAACGAAATAACGCTAATAAAAGGTATAAGTCAAACATTAACTGAAAAATGTCACTTGCTTAGCTCTGAGATGACCTCCCTTAAAACAAAAACCTCTGAGAACGAGGCGAAAATTGAAAGCTTAGAGGTAAATATTGGGAAGCTGAGTACTCCGACAAACTTGCCACTTGAATCTATACTAGGTGAGTTGAATGAAAGACAAGAAAGAAGTAGAAATGTAATAATCTGTGGTATATCTGATGCGCAATATGAAAATAAGGAAGAAAAAATAGCAGCAGACACAAAGGAAATACTACGTATAACAAAAAAAATAATTCCGCAATGCCCAGAACCTAACTATATTATGAGGCTTGGAAAATTTAACCCTGAAAAAAGGCGCCCAGTTAAAGTGTCGTATGACTCTAAAGATCTTGTAAAGGAATTGCTGCGCAATAAAAACGCTGTCTCTTCAGAACAAATAAAATTATTTTCTGACAAAACACCTAAGCAACAGGAGCAAATAAAAGAATTAAAAATAGAATTAGAACGTCGTATTAATAATGGAGAGAAAGACCTTATTATAAAGTATGTTAAGGATGTCCCAAGAATAATTCATGCAAAAAACTATCTACACTAGATCATAAGTACGAAAATTTTGAATGTATAACAAATAGTCAAATTGTGAACAAATATAGTGACATCATAATTACCTCAAATTCTCTCACTTTTTTATACTTAAACGTTCGCAGCATAGTGAAGATGGGAAAACTTGACGAATTAAAATGTATTATTGGATCATTTACAACTCCGCCACACATAATAATTCTAGTAGAAACCTGGATAAAAAATGACGATGAAGCAAAATCTCTTAAAATTCTCGGATATTGTCACTACTATAATTACAGAAAAAATAAAAGAGGTGGTGGTGTGTCTATATTTGCCCACAATAGCCTATCGCACACGATAATTGAAGATCAATGTATCGATGACAATCATTTCCTACGCGTCTATATAAAAAATTTCTCACTTGATATACTTGCAATCTATAGAAAACCAGACATGAAAAACATCCATCTATTTCTAGACACTTATCAAAAATACTTGAACAAAATGAAGCGAGGCATTATCTTTGGCGACTTTAATATAAATCTACTCAATAATGATAAATACATTGCTGCTTACAGTGATATACTACAAGGATCATCATTCAATATTTTAAATAACATAGACAAAAAATATTGTACTAGAGTGACGACAAACACAAAAACATTAATAGACCATATAAGTACAAATTTAAAGGAACATAGTTTTAATTTGGCATTAATTGATAGTGCATTATCCGATCACAAACAGATGTTTTTAGAATTAAAAAGATATAAGCCTCCCCCGCGTCGAAAGATTAAATACGAATCTATAAATTATAAAAAACTATTTGGAATAATAGAAACATACGAAAGTGAGAATAAAGAAACCGGTCTGACTCTACTGGAAGAAAATATAAAATCAAGCATAAAAATAAGTAAGACTATAAAATATAAAATCATAAATTCTCCAAGACAAGAATGGATAAATACAGACATAATTGAACAAATTAATGAAAGAAATATGTTATGGAAAGAACACAAGAAACAACCAGAAAATAAATTTAAAGAAGAAATATTTAAGAAGAAGAGAAATTCTACGTTATCAAATATCCAAATGGCTAAAAGTAAATACTATATAAAAGCTTTTAACGATACTACAAATCAACCAAAAAAAATGTGGAAACTAATAAATGACTTGTCAAATAATAAGACTAGAGATACTCCAATCCCAAGCAAGATACTTACGACAAGTGGTTTCGAGACGGATCTTCCAACAATTTGTGAAACTTTTAATTGCTACTTCTCTGATATTGGTTTGATCTTAGCCAATAAAATTACATCTAATACTACCTTTGTAAGTAATAGTAACACATCAATACTCGGAATCAATAATAAACTAAACATATTAACTCATTTTAAACCTGCTTCTAACACTGAAATGGATGCTATAATAAACAACTTAAATTTAAATACAAGTACAGGAATTGATGGGATCAACACTAAATCAATAAAATGTATAAAGAATCTTATTTTAAATAACATTACTAACTCTATAAACCATTGTCTGCATAACGGTACATTTCCAGATTCGTTGAAAATAGCAAAGGTCTCTCCCATCTTTAAAAGTGGTGATAAAACAGAACCAGGTAACTATCGTCCAATTTCGGTGTTACCAGTTTTGTCAAAAATCCTTGAAAGAGTGCTATATACACGTCTTCAATCACATTTAAACTCCATAAATTTTCTTTACAACCAACAATATGGCTTCAGACCAAAATCCAACACACTTTCGGCAACAATAGATATAGTGACCAAATTAAAACTTGCTATAGATAGAAAAGAGATAGCAATAGGCATCTTTATAGATCTGAAAAAAGCGTTTGATACCGTCAGCCATGACCTACTAATCAAAAAATTAAGTAATGCTGGATTGACTGGTCCTGCTTTAAAAATTTTTAAATCCTACTTGCAAAATCGTTCACAGGTAGTAAAAATAGGATGCGCCCAAAGCAGCCCCAAAACTATATCTTACGGTGTACCTCAAGGCTCAATATTAGGACCACTATTATTCCTTATATATATAAATAGCATAAAAGACATTGGTCTTAAAGGCGAAATAACTCTATATGCAGACGACACAAGTCTTTTCTACTTTGGTCGTTCAATAGATTCCGTCCTAAAAGAAGCTCAACATGATCTAGATCTCCTTAGCTGTTGGTTTAAATCTAACCTACTAACTATAAATGTATCAAAAACCAATTTTATCATATTTGCCGCAAAAAACAAAAAAAACCTCATTATTACACCCTTAACTATTAACAGCATCCCAATTAATAGAGTATACCATGAAAAATATCTTGGCCTTATCTTAGACAGCACCTTAACCTTTAAACCGCATATAGATAAGATAAAATCTAAACTACTGTCCTTAACTGGTGCCTTACGGGGCCTGGTACGATGTTTTCCACAAGACGTAAGATACACAATCTACAATTCTCTTGTTAAACCTCATATCGACTATCTTATCGAAGTTTGGGGCTCTGCTGCCAAAACTAATATTAAAGAAATCCAGACTGCCCAAAATAAACTAATAAAAAGGTTGTTTAACTATGATTTTTTATCACCCAGTAATAAAATATACAATGAAACAAAAATATTAACCGTAAAGCAATCATACTATTATAATACAAGTATATTTATATATAAGCTTATAAATGATAAAATACATTCAAAAATAAACTTTACAAAAAAAAATGAAACTCAAAAAATAAAGTTAAGAAATGCTAACGATTTAATTTTAATAAATCCTCGAACGAATTATGGTAAAAAGAATGTCAAATATGAGGGCGCAAAAATATATAATAATCTCCCCAATAGCATTAAAAACGCAAATACTATTAAATCATTCAAAAACTTACTTAAAATTTATATATTTAACAAGATAAAAATATAAAATCATACATATCTATATATCATCATACATATATATAATCCTTTATAACTTATCAACAGCGAGAACTAACCTTATTTAAAATATAGGTATATTTCAAAATACGATACATAGAAAAGCATCAATTCCAATGTCATATCTAGTAGCCTTGTATCAATGTAATTACTATTACTGTAATGTCACTCAGTGAGTAGCTGTAGGTAGATAATATTGTATTCGCTTAAAATGTTCTTCTACCTGCCTTTGTTACAATTCATTTATTTTAATGTTGCATAAGTCTCAGTGTATTTAATTAAAATAGTGAGTAGTATAACTCTTATATGTAAGTAATTAATTATAAGCTACGTACGCATTAGTTACAATATGTTACCTTAAGTGAATGTATATTCTTCTGGTAATAAATTCTCTTTAAACCTAAAACACGATTTGAAGATTATTTTTAACTACGGTCTGACGTTTCGGATGCTTTGCAGCAGCCGTGGTCACGGGGACGCGGCTGTTGTGTATCGCGTTTTAAACCTTTAGGGTTATATTAAAAAAAATATATTTTATTTTATTAGGCAATACAGCAGTAATAAAATGTGTCGGGTGTTTAAACTAAAGATGTATGTTACGTTTCCAAACGAAGTATTTAGCCTGTTCTACTTTTGTATTGCAGTTCACCATTATAGATACCCAGTGCTCCACTACAATTGTATGAGGCCCATTTTGGCACCTCGTATGCCTAATATATACAGGGGGTTCTCTTTGAGAACTGCAGGTATAGCTTCACATGTACTGTCGCTAGACTTTTGCACTGCAGTCGATTTTGGCGAAAGCTTTTTGTTGATGTCTTGCAAGTGGTCCCCTAGTGTTTTTTCAGCATAGATTCTTTCATTGGTTATTGCATATATATATATATAGTCTACCTGTGAAGTTGTGTTGTGTTGCTTTGTTATTCTAGCAATAACTGGTATTTTTTTTAGTATTCATTTCTTTTTATCACGTATTGTAATTTTAGTTTATTTTTGTTGCTTTATCGTCGCAATATCCTTGTACAAACGTTTGCAAATACAATTATTTTGTTTACTAATCCTTTTTTGCCTTACAGTTTCAGCACCGAGAAGTACAGTCGCGTCGAACGAGCGTTCAACGATTCGTCCAACTAAGGAAGTACAGCAGGAGAAAGTACCTATACCAGCTTCGATACCGACGATTGAAATTCTACCGAAGTTGTAAGTATAGTTTATGCTTTGCTCGACCTAATTTTTTTACTACATTTTCCCAAGATCCAAACTCAGGAACCCTAACACCTAACCCAATCAATTAAGTATACGCAGAACAACTACTTTTATTAAGAGCCTTTATTCTAAACGCGCAATTTGGCTTAAAACGGGGATGTTCAAACCTGTTACTATCTCGTTTTAGTATCATTTTCGAGGCTTAAAATATATGATTATAAAAACTTGTAACCAATCGATAAGATCCTTAACCAAATACCTAGTAGAAAACATTTTTGAATTTCGGTATAGAACAATAAAAATAAATAAATTCTGGCAACGTGAAAAATTATTTTAAAATAGTTCTATGCGACAGAAGAACTCTTACTTTAATATATTTACCATAAAAAATCTATCTTTTTGTTATAAATATTTTAAAACTTCTAGAAATCGATGCGCGCAAATCAAAATTCAATTCAATTCAGTCCGCCGCTAGGCTTTTTAGAGTGTAGACGTATCACTCCGCGCTGCGTCAATTACTACGATTTTAGACATTTATAGAACGATCGACAAGTCTTTGTACTTGACTAAGTAATATATTTAAATATTATTTTTGATGGCAAACAATAATTACGATGACAATACATTACACTACAGAAGTAATGGGAAATAAAAAGAATTTATTTTTAGCAAAGAGAATAAAATGCAATAAAGAAGCAGTGATTGTTTACAGTTAAATTTGATACTATTTACATATTTTTGTTTTGTCTCAATATTTTAGTGAAAGATAAGTGTTCGTAGCCCTTATTGTCTCTGAATTAATTATTGGTATGTTATTTTTGCTTGCTACATGTATGTAGCAAGCAAAAAGATTTTACAAAATCTTTAATTTTTTTTTAAATATGTCCCAGTAACGAAAATAAATGGCAGTATTAGTTTTCTTTACGAGTGTACATGCGCCAAAGTTCGTCTAAACCAGGCATGGGCAAATTACGGCCCGCGGGCCTGATCCGGTCCGTTAGAGGTAACCCGGCCCGCCGAATGTTTCGCAAAAAATTTTAACATCAAAAATTTTAATTTTACCATATTATTTTGAACTTATCACAAACATCATTATTCACATATTTTATCTACACTTAAAACATAGAATACTGCTAAAGTGACAATTTTTTTATATGAAAATAATTTAAGTATCAAAAAACAATGTTTTAAAACTTTATAGCCTTGCCCTGAATGATATTAATTGGCCGGCCCGCGGCAAAATTTTTTTTTGTTGATAAACGTTTTATTTAAATGTACTCACCAAAGTACAGACAGTATTTTAACATTTTCATTCCTTGTATCAACTTAAGTATATATAACAATAATAACTACAAAAAAGGTTTTATTTCACGAAATCAAACTTATTACCCTTTTTTCAGATCCATAGTAAGTACGTTCTCGATTGGCGATAATCTACTGTTAAGCGTCGACGCGGAGGCTGAGAACTGTCACACGAAGCAAAAAGGCTTTATCTGTCTCGCTGTGAACCATGCTAGTGAGGAGAAGTACAGTCTGCTGTGCGGAGACTATTGTGCCGAATGCAAGGCTAATGATAAGGCGTTCGTGTAAGTGTTGCCATATGGCATCTAAACAAGACGTGCCGTCCACTTCTTTGGTTTTGGATAATCGGAAATCCACATATTGAAACCGAAACGCGATTGCGAATTTTTCATCTGTGGATGGTGGTTCGCGAGACGGACAGAATTTCGGTATTCCTACCACGCACTTAACATCCATATTTCCAGATGAAGTACAACGTGTTTCAAAAATTATAAATTGATTAGAAGCACGTTGTACCCGGTGGGGATCAAAATAAATAAAATTTAACCTGTCCACAGACTGAAACCAACATATCCAAAGCCAAAATAGGTCGACAGCGTAACTTGTTTAGATGTTCTAGAGCTGGGCTATTTCACCTATCATCAAGTGAACCTTGAACGCCTGTGCTCCTATCTGCCTATTATAATTTGATTAAATATAATTTCAGGCCAAAACCCGGCGACCTATTCTCCTACAATAACCCCGAGGACGAAGACAGCTGGTACAGAGCAAGATGCCTCAACTCCACGACAGCCGCGCTGATAGACGCTTGTCAAATAGTCAAGCTCACAGAAGGCGTGTGCAGGAAAGTGCCCGCAAAGTATCAGGATATACCAGAATTCTGCTGCGTACTGGACGCTGGCAATATCGAGGTTCGTTAATTGCTACTGTGCATTTTTGACAAATAAACACGATTTAAAATAAATCGTGATTTTTTTTGGCATTTACATAGGGATGGGATGTAAGCTAGTCAACGATAATAGAAGATAGAATAATCGCTAAAAAGAAGAGGTAGTAATGGTCGAGTTAAATAATAATGGTTTACAAAATTAAAAACGATCTTGAATATTGAGGTCGTTCGATCTGTAGATAATCGATGTTTTTTTTATCGACATGTGTCATCTGTGACAACTTCACCCTATTAAAGGTCATCACTAGTTCTCTATCGTTTGGCAAATCGGCCATATCTGTAGGTTCTCACTTTTTTAATTTATATAATGTCATTTTGTGCAATAATGTTACTATATAATTTAAAAAGAGATTCAAAAGTTAAGAGGTAAGTTATTTTCGTATTAGCAGTAACATTTGTTCACAGGTCGGAGACAACCTTTCAGCGACAATAATAGCCAAAGAATCGTGTGAATCGGCGCGCGTGGATCTACAAAAAGCGGAAACTGGGGTTAAGGTGGGGCAAGGAACCATCACGAGGTGGTCGCCAGATATTGAGCTGCCCTTACCAGCTGTTGCGACTAGGAGCGCTTTTGGTAAGTTAATTATTAAATAGTGTAGAGAATCTTTCTCGAGAATCTGCATTTAAGATATATTATATGTAGTCAATGATAATATGAGACTGCTAGAGGCTGAGTGACATGTGTAATAACAAAACACTTTTCGCCGACGATACGGCCATTTACACCACCGACTGCAAAACGCAGCGGATCGTCTCCACTCTCCAGACCGCGACCGACGCCCTAGGCGCATGGTTCCGGAAATGGAGAGTCGAGGTCAACCCCGATAAGAGTGCGGCAATCTACTTCACTCGTAGTCCCTTCACTACTGTCACTAAACCGTGCAGACGCCCCGCCAATGTCAAGCTTTACGGCGAAGACATTCCGTGGCAAAAATCCACAAAATACCTAGGCGTCACGCTTGATAGTCAGTTAAACTTCCGAGCACATGTCCGTTCTGTTTCTCGCAAAGCCAACTACGTCACGAGTAGGCTATATCCGTTAATTTGCGCGCGTAGCAAACTGTCCCTCCGACATAAGGTTACGCTTTACAAAACTTGTATTCGTCCGATTCTCACCTACTCCAGCGTCGCGTTCGCTCACGCCGCCCCTAAAACACTCCACAGGCTCCAGGTGCTTCAAAACCGGTTCACTCGAACCGCTACTGGAGCCATCTGGTGCGTGCGGAATGCTAATCTTCACGCCGACCTCGAATTACCGACCCTCAGTCGGTACTTCAAGGAATCGTCCGAACGGTTCTTTAAAAAAGCCGCGTCGCATCCGAACCCACTGGTGGCCCGAGCCGCCAACTACACCGTTCCCGTCAATACACGCTGGAGAAGGCCGCGTAATGTTCTTACCGACCCCGACGACGATCTAACGAAAGCCGTCGATCTCCTTACCGCTTTGCGATCGGCCGACACCGGCGCCGTTCGCCCGCAAAACCGCCTACGCCGGCGTAGGCGAGGTCACTCGCTACGCGTACCGCTCACCCGGGTGAGCTTCCGTCCAGCTCTTCAAGCTCCCACCCTCATTGCGGCGGTCCAAGCCGAGGCCGATGCCCCCCTCGGGGCACCCTTGGTCTAGTCGCAAACACGGCGAGCGCTGACGCGCTCGCCCAAAACGTCCGGTTAGTATTCGTGGCTCCATAGGAACACAATACGTAATAATCAATTCAAAAAAAAAAAAAAAATAACAAAACACAGGATTTTCAAAAAGTAGACAAATAAAGTTGCGCAATTAACTTAGGCGAAAATGAATTTGTACTATTATTTGTGTAAGAATTATTTTAACAATTTTCGGTTATTATGCTCTGATTAACATTGTTACCCTATAAAAATATCAATTACACAAGTCTTAATAAATTGCAGTTAGGCTACTCTGTCTCTAGGGGCCTCATATGGATGACTAGCTGACCTGGCAAATTTTCTCTTATAAAGTATTTTGACCAAAGTTTGATTACCAAAAAAGCGGTTCTTGTCTGTTAATCTTAAAAGATTGTAAGAGACATTTGTTTAGATTATTAAAAGAGGAATCATTATTTTATTTATATTTTTGGGTATGTTATAGCGTTTTTCCTCAAATATGATTTTCCGCTTTTTTCCACTTTCCCCACTGTTTTAGGCGTTCCTATTGGTACAGCTTGATTTTTTATAACCTTCTTCCAACCTTTATAATGTTAGTAAAGATACCACAATACTGTCTATAGTTTACGCGAGTAGTACACATTTAAATAAAACACTGTAACGGTTTAAAACGCGATATATTAGTTAAACTTATTTGAACATTATTTTTAACTTCGGCCCGACGTTTCGGATGCTTTGCAGCAGCCGTGTTCTCAGCAGCAGTCTCCCCGTGACCACGGCTGCTGCAAAGCATCCGAAACATACTAATTTATCGCGTTTTTAACCGTTAAAGTATTTTATTTAAAAAAGATACCACCATGACCATTTAAATTATTATAGCCAAATAGTAATCACAGTTACAAAATAAATATTTTAAAAACTTTAAAACGAAAATAATTAGAATTTCCTTCCATATTTTTAGCCATACCGCAAGTTTTGAGACCGCCTCTCATCAACAATTCGCTTGTGGTACTAGTGGAAGCGGTACATTTGGACGCCATTTACGTGCGGCCGGCCGACAGAGAAGCGACGCGCCGTTACAACGAGGCGTTGCAAGAAGCTATTATGTGCTGTCATGGCGGTAAGTTGTGTGCTGATGGAGTAAAATAGAAAAAAAAACATACTTTATGGTTCCCACAAGAATATAACAAAATAAGATTTAATTTGAATAAATTCCAAAAAAATAGCGAGATATGGCGGCTTTATCGCTACAAAGCTGAGATGGATGGAGTGGAATCTTCCAGGTGGAAACTTACAATAATAATTGAAAATAACTTTCAGTATTTAAAATGCTGAGAATGTTCTTAAAGTTTAACATAATGGTTGTAAGTTACCTAATCAATACCTAATTTGTAAAACATGTACCATTGACATTCAAGCATAGCAGCATGTTTCTCAAAGATATTGCTACTAGTTGAGTTGCGTTTGTGGTGGCATAAGTTAGATATTAGGCAGTTGAAAAAAAAACGGGAAGTTCGAGTCGGACTCGCCTCTGAATAAATTGGTCACTCTATTATTTCTTTTACGTACTCCTTATTTCGGTTTAATTTACCTAGATAAGTTTAGTAATTCTGTTTTAAGATTGTACATTTTGTTACCCACCTTGCACGTTTCGTTTCACCCGTAAGCTTTCTTCTTTCTTTCATCTTGGGTTGCCTGGAAGAGATCTTGAGGCTAGAGATAAGGCCGCCTATTCACTCCATATTTATAGTAAATAAGTCTCGTTTGTATTTTTTTGTGCCATAGTGTTAGTAAATAAATAAAGATAAGATTTTTTTATATAGATTTCCATTATCTATATAAAAAAATCTTATCTTTGCACATACATGTTTTTATTTTGTATGTAATTCTATGTATCCATGTTCTTATGTCTATGTTTGTGCAATAAAGAGTTTATTATTATTATTATCTATTGTGGCAATACATCCCATTACTAAAGACATCTGTGAGACTATATTATTAGATAAAAAGAGCATAACAATCGGACATAAGGGTTGTATAAGAGCCTCTGTAGCTGTTAACAAAAATGTCAGATAATAAGACTCCACTTATCTCACAGGAACGCCCCTAAAGGAGCCTCCAGCGAGTGGTCAGATGGTGATCGCGAAGTTCACAGACGGCAACCATTACAGAGCGCTTGTGACACGCACGAATGTTAGACAGAACGTGTATCTCTTGGAATACGTTGATTTCGGTGAGTTGGGAAATACATAGGTTTTTTTCATGATGGTGGCGCTGAGCAAGCATTGACTTTATTTGATGGTAGGTGAAGATGTGCTGTCGTCCTATTTTGGCTTTTTATATTCGGAAATCCACAGACTGAAACCGAACGGCGATTAAATTTCACGGCTTTATCGGACGACCCGTTGGTTATTAGCCATACATTGCACTAGACTGGCCTGTGAAATTTATTTATATATTGATTCTTTATATTTATTTCCGATTCCATATTAATGGGCCTTATTTAAAAACCTTTTCAGGTAACGTTGACACAAATACCCTGCAAAACATGTACCCTTGCCCAGATCAACTCAGTATTGAGTGCCAACCCACCGTGGTCTCCAAGGTGAAGATTGTCTCCGAACATCCAACTCTAAGTGAACCAGCTAAACAGTATATCGAGTGGATCAGGGACGGAGAAGTGGAAATGGTGTTGGTGAGTGAAAGAGACGGATATTTGGAAGTAATTGTTATGTTGCCAGATTTTATTTACAACTTTTTTTTGGGATTGAATTTACTTGAGGTCAAAGATGTCTGGAATAAGAAATTATAAAACGAATTTTTACTCAACTAATTCACAAAAGATTGTTACTAATATATAATAATTATGTTGATTACTTTGACCGTTATGACAGAATTTTATATATTTTTTATATAATCATTTTTTTTATATGCATCATACTTACTAAGACATTCTTTAAATCTATGCCAATTTTATAAAGCTGAAGAGTTTGTTTATTTGATCGCGCTTATCTCAGGAACTACTGGTTCGAATTTTTTAAATTTTTTTGTGTCGGTTAGACCATTTATCAAGCTTCTTCTTGTTCAAGCTTAGGAAAAAGAGGTAATGTTAAAACAACTGCGAAAATGATTCTGCATTGATATTTATATTCATATTAATATAATTTTATTGCGTACGCTGCAAAAACGGGTCAAAATACCAAAGAAACATGTATGAAAGACTCATTCCTTTTTAAAATATAGAAAAAAAGTCTACCATAGTATTTCTTAAGATTAACTGGCAAGAACGACGGGACGTAGACAAAATTAAGATTCTACGCGGATGAAGTCGCGGACACAGCTAGTTAATAAAACAATTATTTACTCGCCATGCTCATAGACTCAAAATTAGTATTTGTAATTTTTGTAGACGTTGCCAGATGGCGCTAAAACCGCGCCCAGCGGCAGCGAAGCCGTTCTCACCCTGGAGAAGAACAAAGAGAATTTCAATAAGAAAGTGGTGGAGATGTGCACGCCCGGGTGGAAGTTGATAGAGAAGAGTGGAACTGATGTTGTTGGTGAGTGGCGTGGTCTGTCAACATATCATAACGTGGTTCTTTGGTTGGGTTTTTTTAAAGATAGCTGACTGTAGCCAAGGGGAATAAATATATTTTTTTTATAATTTTAACAAAAACTACGTTTTCATTCTAGTCACTATCTGTGGCGTTGGAAAAAAAAGCAACAGACATCGGGAATTTAACATGTATATATTATTATTTTTTGTCTAAAAAAAGACTTAAATATGTATAAATATTCCCTAAAACAAAATACATAATTAAGTATCCGGTACCTGCTGAATAGTATAAACGACGCTGAATAGGCCAATTACCGAACAGTAACCGAATATTCGTTGCAAACCTCTTACATTACAGAATTGCAGCCAGTGATGTTCAACGACATGAAATTTGTGGGCATTCCATCGTCTAGATGCGAGTTAGTGGTGCTGGATGTGAGCGGTCTGGAGATTGGAATGCTGGGGGGGTATCCTAAGGGGGAGGCAAGCGCTTCGTATATACTCGAGCAGCTGCCGGACCAGGTATGATATAAACTTATCCCATTTGGGCGTCAAACGAACAACTTTTAAATGAATTATTAATCATTACAATCAATAAGAGACTCTGAATCGAAAATAGGAAGTCATTATTACTTCACTACACAAACCTTCCGGAATTACCTTTTTTATATAATATACTAGCTGTGCCCGCGACCACGCGCGTAGTTTAGTTCTTTCGTCATCAAATTTGTTTTAGCCAACCTTATCCTTAAATACTATAGCTATTATCTAAGATGTTTGTCGCGTCTCGTCGTTCTTGCGAGTAAATCTTCAAACATAGATACGTCTTGGACATTTTGTAGATTATTTAAAAAATAATCATTGTTTCATACATATTTTTTGGTCACTACTTCCTGAGATTAGCAAATTCAAACACACAAACTCTTCAGCTTTATAATATATGTATATACATACGTATCGTTTCAGTTGGCAGAGTACTGCAACAGCGATTTGGGTCGAGAGCCGTATTTGCCTGTAGTTGACGAGATGTGCATTGCGCAGTGTCCGCCAGGTAAGATATACTTATAAAGAGAGTTTTCATAAATCTTTGTGTAGATGTACAGGTGGTCAATTGTCAGAAATGTGACATAAATTGTATCTGTATTTTACACATTATACGTGTTGACATTTAAATAAAACACTAACGTTAATCTTATTTCAAAATACAGTCAGTTCTGTAAGGACCCAGCTAGTTTCTCCAAATACGAGGATATAGATGGCGCGATAGCAGATTCCACTTTGACATTAGGGACACCTTCAGATCCGCCGTGAAACGACTTCAAAGCACCCGAAACGTCGGACCGTATTTTAAAGAAATTGTAAATAATTTAAGTAATGTATTTCCCGTTTCGAACCGATAAAAGTGTTTTATTTAAATGTGTACTATTCGCGTAAACTCCCGACAATAGAATAAGTGGTACTTTTATCTTAACACATTTTAAAACATTTTTTTTTAAATCAATTTTATTACGTATTTTCACAGATGAGTCTTGGTACCGCGCGGTACTCTGCGAACAAAAGATGGGTGCTGGTGGCACAGAAGCCCAAGTTTACTATATTGACTACGGGAACCTGGCCACGGTGCCTGTAAAGATTTTGAGGAAAATGCTCCCGGATTTCGTCAAGGGTGTGCCTGCATTGGCCTCGCATGTACAAATACGAGGTAAGGAATTTGAGACGAATATGACGAAGAAATCACGAATTTTCCTTGGTAGACATTTCAAAATAATACTTTGTAATTTATTATGTAAATTAGAAAAAATGTAGGTATGATTTTAAGGTGGAAATAATATTGTGCAAGAGTTTATTGTATTGGAACGAAACATCATCGGGTCGTAGTTAAAATTTCATGTAAATAAAAAATAAAAGCAAGAGATGGCGCTAGCGTAGCGATTCAACTTTGACTTATAAATACCTTCCATCTTCATTTCCCACGTGACCACGGCCGGAAAACATCCGAATTGTCGGGCCGTAGTTAAATAAATTGCGTATAAGCTAACTGATATAGTTTGAGATATTAACAGACGGTATTTAATGCCGTCGATTAGTGTGTATGGTCCCGCTATTTTTTTATTCAAGCAATTAAAAATTAAGAAAAATTACAACACGTGCAAGACTTGAACCGGCATCCGCAGAGTTCAGTTCAGAGCACGCCTTTGCAATTGAGCTACCGTGCTCTACAATTTTGCGTGTCAACGTGTGAAATTATTCGTTTTCAAAAATTAAAATGCCTTTTTATCCTTTTCCCAGGCTTCCCCGAGAAACCCACAGTTGATCAATTAAAGCGAGCCATTGCCTATCTTAATTTGGACGAACAATGCAGAGGTCTACTCTCTATAACCAATTGCAAGAAGACTGACAACGCAGATTACGAAGCTGACGCGCCTGGACTACTCGCGGCCATGGGGGTTTAACTGCGAGTGGAATGTAGGTTGGAACTTACTCAATGACGTTTTGTTTTTGCGCTATTGACGCTGGCGTAAAATTTTTCATTATGAAACATGCTGTAAACTATAATTATAAGTTTAGATTTAAGTGTAAGGTGACTATAAGATCAGAAGAAAAAAATTGAAATGCCGGATTTATATGATTTCACTGTAGTTATATTAGCTGGCAAACTTCATGAAAAAAAAAGCGGCATAGTGGGGATAAGTTCGCATGTACGTCCACTGTCGGACAAAATTATTGACATATTTCAAGTATTTCTTCTTAGTGTAAGCGTTAAAAATGTAACAGACTTGAATAGAAATACGTTTATTCAGAAACATGATATTCAACGAGCATGATATAAGAATTATAAGTAAAGCATTAAATTGCTAAATACATACAATATAACAAAAATCACACTTGCCACTGTGTTGGGCAATGAAGAAGTTTCTTACTTTTGCTTTTTACAAACATGTTTGTAAGTTTTGATATTATGGGAATATTTCACCTTTCAACACATTTTATTAAACCGAAGCTACAGTGCTCTTCAAACTTTTTGGTCGGGCTGAAGTAGGCGCGGATGGTTGCGCAGAACGCAATGAGCAGGTGTCAGTTATGACAAGGGGGGTGCGCGGGTGCAGGGGGACTCGACTTTTTGCTTAAAATTGACACTACCTTGCGCAAGATGGCGCTGGCGCTAACTTCAGCCCGGGCAAAAAGTTTCGAGGGAACTGTAGTAGAATGTAAATTGTGAGATTGTTAACTAAAAATGTCAAGTTAGAAAAATATCACGATAGTCGGTTGTATTTCATACTTGTTACACATAATTGTTTTATAGATATAATTCTTGTTGGACAATATCTATATTATATCATAGGGAACCTGTTCAATCATTTTTAGTTCCCATATTTTTTCTCTTTGTTGTAGTTATATTTGTTTCATTGCAACGTGTCTGTAATAACATAATTGGCTATTCGACAATGCGAAACATATGACGTCAATTAATATTATAAGTATTATGTATAAGTTTTGAAATAGTAAAACAGTTACATATGTTAAAAATAATATTTATTTATTTATATCACACTAAGGTACACAAAACAGAACTTACAGATACTATGCAATTTAAAACTATATAGTGTACCGGGCGGCCTTATCGCTATAAGCGATCTTTTCCAGACAACCCGATTATGCAGAATTTTTTCATCTAATTGTAAGATGCCTTTGTTTCTTTTAAAGTTTACAACAAAATTATGACAAAGTTCTGTTACGTTTAGAACTTTATTTTTTTATAGACATACCTATACCAAACTTAGCAATCACCTTTATATGTAGGTATAATATTTCTATCATTCAAGGAGCAGTGGTTAGGCCCCAGCTGTGGGGTTTGTTTCGGTTGATTGATGGATATTGCAAGTGCCTCAGTAGTTGGTATACAATTTTCATAATATCATGTTTCGTATAAAGATGAATCTGTCTCTTATCCTAATCGTGGGAATGTTATTTTGGTTATCCCACATTCTGTCCGAGTGGGAATATTAAATAACACTTGCTGTCGTTATTGATTCTTTTTTGTCTTTTGGCTACTTGCACATTTTTTTTTCGTTTCTACGAGTGCCATTTGTGTATATGAGATTTTTTTTCTATTTTCTTTCAAAAACTTAATATAAGCGATATAAAGTGGTTTTGCATCTGCAACTGTTTTTTTTTTTTGTTACTATAATATAGTTTCAGATTTCTATCAATTGACCTGTATTTGCATTTGTATGCGAGCATTTTTATTACATATTTTATTAGCTATCCCACAGTATTACTGTGGGATAGATAAAAATGCTATATATTGTTCTAGTTGTGTTACATTTACACATTACATTAATATATGTTGTAATATCAACGGCGTTATTTAGTCACGATAAAGATTTTGATGCATTAGCAATTACAAGATTTTCTCTGTAATTCAATTTTGCAGAGCATCTTTATCATTGTTCATCATCATTATCAGCCCGTTTGGGTCCACTGCTGGACGTAGGCCTCTCCCAAAGCATGCCACTCGGCCCTCTCTTGAGCCGGCCACTTTCTTCAGGTCATCTGCCCACCGTGCTGTAGGTGTAGGTGGTGCGTTTGCCTAATCGTGCTCTCCAAACTAGTATATTTTCATTGTCACTGATGACTTTTTGTATTTTGATCGCATTTTCTATAAGATTTTCAATTGATTGTAATTCGCACGGTACCCTTTGTCATCCAAGGAAATCATTTTTTCGCTTTCAATCTTTTGTAACCTTTTATGCCCCATCCTAATTTCCTGACCTGATTACAATTTGCTTATTACATTAAGTAACGAATCGACTTGATATTTGAAATACTTTGTTCCTTAGACAAGCTTAATTTAAGTTTTTTTTTTATGATTGAAAATCTTTGAGCGGGAGGGGTGCATGTTTAAATGGATCGAATAAATTCCACGATGCCGTCTGAATTGACAGAATGTTTGCTATAGTCTCGGCTTCGAGGACCGCCCGTATCGTCAATTTTTTCAATCTAAAATATTCTTTTAATTAAGCTTGATGTTATTTTAAGACAGTTATTGTTCATTTGTGAGTACCCGGCGATAGTCTGTAAATATTAAAAAATATACAAAAAATCGTTAATTTCTCTTTTATTTTTAAAACTAACCTTGACACTCGGCTAATAAGAAAGATATAAGTATCTTTATTTTATACAAATTCAATAACATAACTTATTTTTTACTGCAGCTCGACGTTTCGAATGCATTGCAGCATGCGTGGTCTGGGGGGGCGTTAGTTCGTAGGTAAAAATATGTCGACTAATTCTTAAACCGTTATCTGATCCCAAGTTGAATTTATAATTATATATTTAAATAGGACAAGAAAGTACAGTTTAAAACATCTATATTCATGAAAGTAATTTTCCTTATAGGAAAGTTTAGTGTTAATAATTACGAAGTTGTAATCACGGAAAACATATTGCGAAACAAGAATATTCACCCATAGGTACATAGCAACATGGGTCCGTATTCCGGTAATCACAAAAGTATAAAACAATAAACAGTTTTGTGATGAAAAATGCATATTTTCAAGAACGACACCAATTTAGATTCTTAGTGTCTGTATTTTTAGGATAGTTCATTTGCAAACACTATTTTAAAATCTAAAACAGTACACAATTCTATTTGTTTCAGTCAAAGCATCTCTATATATACCTAACCAATAAGTTTTAGCGTCTACAGAGAAGGCTAGGATCGTTTTATCCTTCCTTTTGTCCTTATGCCTCTAAGAAAATGAAAAATGATTCATTATGTTTTAACATTGAAGCAGCAATTCAAATATGCTCGTGCGTGTACAACAATACACTCACGTGCATATTTGAGTTCTACCTTAATAGCTTTGCAAGCTCTACTACAAATCGTACTTCTCCCACCCTTTCTAAAACCCGTTAATGATTTCAGTGTTTTTCCGCCGTATTTTAATTTTGCCCGTATACTTTTCGTCCATTCCGTCATACACCAATTCCGGAGACTCCGCACCTTCTATGAAACGTTTGAATGAATTCAATAAATTCTTCTTCTCTTGTATCTTGTCCTCCTTCGAGCATTTAGTGATGGCCGTTAAAGTGGTATCTACCCACGCCTCGTAGTACGGTATTGTTAGTTTGTTCACGCAACTAGGCGCCCATTTTGCAACTTCTGTTGGCGGGGACTCCCCGTCGCGAATCGGATCTGGGGAGGGGAAGTGTCTATGCCGTTTCCGTTGTTTCTTTCTCATCGATTTACTTCTACTCGAATGTGATTTCTCTGTGCTTCTGTCGTTCGACTCTCGTCTCTCTACTCTCCCTGTTTCTTTTGCATCACTGGGTATTTTTATTTCGATAGGCGTCGTTTCGCGTGCTTTCGATTCTGTAAATGTGACAGCTTTGTAGATTTTGGCGTTGTGCTTAGAACGAATCGTCTTTATTACCGGTTTACGTGTCGATTTTTCAGATTTGTGTCGTGAGTCCATGGTCTTCGTGCTGACTGACTTGCTGTCCCATTTATCCTTGTTCTGATTGTGGTCCCCGCAAACTTTTTGGGTACATTCTATTAGAAAAACAGTAAAACAATTATTAATAGTAAAAAAGTTAATTATTGTTAGTAAAAGTGCCTTCATTGTTCATAAAACAAACATAACAGTAAAAACTATCAAACAATTTTTGAGATTAGCTTATAGCAATAGTTCAACAATACGTTACCATTCATCCCAACATTTGCTCCGTTCATATCTGTACTAGTATAGTGCCGAATTGTATATTTTTCTCTAATCTTTTTCCTCATTTCTTTTGCGTCCGCGACTTTTGTATTATCCTTATTCTCAGTATAATTGCTATTTACGATCTTATTTTTCTCGCTCTGTCTTACTTTTAGCAATTCTTCGATTTGGGCTTCTATAGTACTGTCCACTGGATCGAGTCTACTGTCAGCTTGTAGTGTGGATTTAATTTCCTTTTGCATGAATTTTAACCTAACATCACGCTTCGCATCCGCAGAATGTATTTTATCCTTTTTCGGATCTAAACTCATATTTTCTTTAAAAGCTTTTTGAATCGATATCTCTCCTTTTACTGGCATCAATATTGTGTTTTTAGGTTTCTTATCTTTTGTATCGTGTACCAAGTTATCAGTTCTTTCATTACATTTAGTTTTCTCAATTCTAGCACGACAAACTAAATTTTCTCTACCCAAATTCGAGTTATTTTCGTTTGTTTGTTTTGATAACTCATTGTTTATATTTAGTGCTACTTTTTGTTTCCCATCAAGCACTTTTGATGTTTTCGATTTTACATTTTGAAGCCTTGACAATTTTAGTTCTATGTCTTGATAGGAACTTTTTACTTCTTTATTCTTATCGTCGTTGAGTACATTAGATTTAACGTTACGGGGACTTGTAAGTGCTACAGTGTGGATATGACTTGACTTTGCTTTTTTGGCGGCCTCGTCAGTTTTATTAGATTTTGAAACATCTAATTTACCTGATTTTAAAACTAACTTCTTTGAGTCACCCCTTTCAGCATAACTTAAACTTTTACCCGTTGGTTGTACATTATACGCACTGGCTTTAATTTTACTGTTACGTTTTTGTGTATTCTTTTGATTATAATTTATTTCCATTGCATCCAAAAAGGAAAACGTTTATTTAGAACTAAAATTTTGATTACCCGGCCGTCGCCGTGTAGATTTCAAATGTCAATAATAAACATCACTATAGAAAATCAAAGAAAAGAAAAATAACAGACACGTCAAATAGTTACAAACCTTTTAAAAAGAAAAACACGAATAATTGTGACACAACAACAGGCAATATTACTAAACACTTCAAATTTTAGAGTGAAAAATGTGTCGCAAGTAAAAAATTTAAAATACAAAAAAAATGAAGAATCAATGAATGCTATGATGGAACTCAAATCCTCCGTCGTAAAGTCAAAGTCTTCAAACGGTGGTGTCAGCAAGAAGGAGAAACAGAAAACACGCAGTGACGCTGATTTTCAGCCGCTGAATATGAAAAAACGTGGTGTTTACGTTGAAAATAAGGACGATAAACTACTTAATATATGCGGTAAGGATTTTAAAAACTTAATATAATAACTTACGACTAGAGTAAAACTATAATCTAACAACGCTTTATGTCAATGATTCAATCCGTTTGGACTTAAAGCAAATATGAAACAAACGTACATAATTTCATATTACATACTACTTATGTATCTACTTCAACTGAGTAGAATGAGTACCAAAGTTATAAAAAGAAAAATAAGGCAATATCTTTGTTTTTTTTATGGTAATTCGTATGATCCTTTCCGTATCCTCCTTTCCTTCTATGCCCGGGCCAGTCTGGAAACCAGCGCTGCTGAATGTGACAAGCATTCAGCAGCATAGCTGAGACTGGTACCGAATATATATAAGACTGGTTTAGCAATGAGATGGCTCTTATATATATTTATTACAATACTATTATTATTTTTATGCACACAATTTAGTTATTAGTTTGTAAATATCTTATTATGGCAATAAAAGATTTGAATTTGATAATATATCTAAACTTGCGCTTTCGAAGTAAAAGTAAGTAATGCGCTATGTGTAAATCGAAATAAATAATTTTCTTTTATCACAGAGAATAATGACGCTGAGAAAAAGAAACCACCACCCAGACCACGGCCTGGACAAAAGAAATTCCTAACATCAGTCCTTAATATCCTCTCGAAGTCAACCACCGGAACACAGTATCCCGATAGTGACGAAATGAAAGCCAGAAGGAAATCCAACAAGAACACTCAGAGAAAGCGACACAACCAAGAAACGGAAACAGGCAAACAGACAGACGACGAAGAATATGAACAAAAGAGACCGAATAAACCAAAATACAGATCGAAAATATTAAACGGCGACAATTATGTTACATGCAATGATAAACTAGTTATCCTACAATCTAAAAAGGAAATAGTTCATACGCCATCGAACTTTTCTGAAAGTAAGAGCTTCACGATAAGCGAGTTGAATAATCCTATGAAAGAGATTTTGGCGAATAATATCGACAGCGGTGTAGCTGAGGGCCTGGCAAAGCAAATATTAGACGGCAGAACAGAGAGAGTTAAAGAAGACCCGTCAACATTAGTTGCTGACACACGCGATGACAAGAAAATTTACAATTTCTTTGTAGATTTAATTGAAACTACTTTTGATGTTTATAACGTAGAAACTGAAGGGACGAACAAAGACTCTGAAGCTATACTAGAAATTGAAGAAACGGTCGCAAAGAAACTGAACTTTAAACAGGACACAACAAATAATGAGGAAGCTGAACTTAATTTTAACATTCAAGAAGAGAAAAGTCCGTCTATAGCAGAGACTGTATATGATAGACCGTTGAAATCTAAGAAAAAGGTTAAGCAACATTCACTAAAAACTCAATCGTTTATATATCCCAAACCAAAGTATATTCAGAAAAGCAGCAGTGTAGTTATAAAAAGAAAACCACAAACAAAGAAATCAAAAAAGAAAGATTTGCTCGACACAATAAAGGAAGAATTGAAGATGGATTTTATGACGTTCGAAGAGCCCCAGAATTTGTTCGAAGCACTGCGTAACATGGCAAAGTACAAGCGGAGATGTCAGAAGCGGAGGGTGATACATTTTGAGAATGAAAATGAGACTAATTTTAGTAAAGACTGCTTGAACGGGCGCGGTATATTCCCCACGAAGAAGTCGAAGAAACGAAAGAACCGAATCGATAGATTGAAAGAGTTTAAAGAGTCAGACATCAAACCAGTTAGAACTCTTAAAGAGCCTGTGGTAATTAACGTTTCTGATCATTCTCTCAAGGTTTTTGGCTACGAGTACCACGAGAAAGATCCCTTCGACAGCGTACGTAAGTCTTTCGTAAGCTCTACCAATTTTACCGTTGATGAATTTGATGAAGCGTTTGGTATTTCGGAGAGCTCTTTGGACATCGAAGGATTTTATTCGCTGCTACGGGAATAAAAACTAGCTATGAGTATTTTATATTATACCATAACAATCGAATCATTGCTACTTTTGAAATAAACTTTAGATCTTTCTAGTGTATTGACTTAAAATCCTAATTATAACTACATACATTAATTATCGAGGTTAAGAAAATATGTGCCTACAATTAATATATTAATAATTACACAAAAATATTTTTTTTAGATAAAACAACATTTCTCCATTACTCAAAAGTAAACATGAGCCGCTACTGTTTTATACAAACAACGTGTATCAGTAGAATAATAGGAATTTCTTGGGCATTCTTTGTGTATACTCTGTATTCAATGTCCAACTAACTATTTGTTATCTGTGTAAATAAACGTCATTGTGACAGTGGCAAAATTAAGAAAGTTAGTTGTCATAGACTTCAAAGTTCAAATTGTTCGTTAAGCATTTGTTTACTTTTTTAACTGAAAAATAAAATAGATATTATTTTTTAAAATTAAAGCAAAATGTCCGGTTTTAAATCGTTACGCAACGCAAGTGTTAAATTCGGTAGCGATATTCGAGCCGACCTGACCGACTTGTTTTGTGCAAAAGTTGATGATGACTTCGAAGATGTTGTTTCTAAGAAGAACAAGGATTTGTGCTGTATAACATCAAAATTGCGCTTACTTCAGGCGCAAATGCTAGCAGGTGTGCATTTGTTAAGTTAAAACTTGATAGTCTAAATATAATTTGATTCGTTCAATACGCTATGTGTGTGTCAACGTTTTAACACCAATAGTGAGATTATTTTATTAAAAACATATAATTATTCATTCAAAGTTGGTATGTTGAACGCTTTCGATCTCCACCTTTACCTCCATCTCGACCAGTCACATCTGGTATGCAGCCTGTAGTAATATATAAGATAAACTATAGATTGTAGTCTAACCAGACCAATAGTCTGGGAGTTTTATTGATGGCCCAAAAAGACCATAATAAATATTATGTTCTGCCTGTTATAATAAATAATTAATATTATTGTCTGAAATTTTTATAACTAACTATGACCAATTCCAGGAACACCAGACCTCAAAGATACACAGAAAACGACAGATGAAGCAATTAATGATTACGCAGATGTAGTCGCACCAAAACTTATTGAACAGCAGTTAGTCAAGGTGTTAACTCAAAATGAAGCTGTCAAGAAACTTGTCACCACATCCAATAGACATTTGGAGCCAGAGCTTGTTGAAAGAAAGGCGTATGTACTGATTTGCCGACTTTGCAAAATGACTAGTGCGATACTTTATTATTTTTCACATGTTATTGCACAGGATGGCATTATATAAATTAAATATGTATATAGCAAGGCTCATCTGTCTTGTGAATTTTTTTTTCCATCTGTGAAAAATGTAAATGTCTGGAAAAATGTTTAGTGTACAAAATTGGTAAAACCTTTTAGACAAACAAATAAAAATTCTTATATAGTTATCCTTTTGTATATCCTTATTATATAATATTAAAACTTAATTCACTTGTAATATGTTGCAGCAAGATAATCAATCAAGCTGCTGAGTTCAGTGAAAAAGAATTGACACTTCTTCGCCTCAGTAATATTCTTTCCGAAAAAGAAAGAGAACTTCTAGAAGTAAGAAAAGAGTGGGATTCTGCCAGAGAACAGTTAAAGAGCAGTCAGAATATCGGGAATAGTGAAGAACAAGATTTTGGACCCCATTATAAGTGAGTATACAAATAATATGACCGGGGTTTGAATCATGAAAAAACTTTTCGAAGGATTAGAGTGAATCAGGAACGGTATAACAACACTCGGTTCTCCAGTAATTTGAGCCCCAAAAGAGACACTGAAACTCAATAATTCGTGCTGCTCTAATTATTGAGTTTCGCGAGCCGCCTTTGTAGCCAAATGGTTAAACATATTACCGAGGTCCTGGGTATGAATCCCAGCGAAACAAAAAATTGTTTAGGTCAGGCATGGCACGGAAGTCTGATCAACTACTTGCCTGTTGAAGGATCAGTGATACAACACAAAAACCTGTTCGCCCCATGCCCCGCGAGGGGGAAATGGGATTTCATTTAATTATTTACTATGTTACAATTTGCCTGCGATGTAATTATTTAGTGTTCATATTTATAATTTATATATATAAGCTTTCATGTGTGCTGATCATGTAAAAATTTACAATCTTTGTTTCACTTTTTTCTCAGGAGCCTGAAATCCATAGTTGACAAAATGGAGATGATGCGCTGGCTAATATCCAGGCTAGTCACCTCTGGTTCTGGACAATATGACTGGGCAACCGATCCCCACAGACGTATCCAGGTGCTGGCGTTAACTAGGCAGGCTCATAGTGTGCAAAGCTTCACAGATAGTTAGGGAACTTAAGGATGTTAGAAGAGAGAATGTTGAAATTATCTGTTGACTTTCACTCAAAGCACACTGTCAGAAATTAATAACTACTTCAAAACCTGTTGTCAATGTGATAGATGTTTTTTATTACAAAATAAGTATAAATAGGTAAGTAAGTAAGGCGTTAAGTGAGTTACAACAGTCAACTTACTGACAGATGTTAACACCATGTGAGACACCTTAAATGACTATGACTATGACACTCATGACAAGACACATTGGCAATAACTGAGATTGATGACCACGACTGGCTAAGATTAACATAGCCAGCCAAATGACATGGGAAACATGGGATCTTTTGAAAAAAAAACTACTGACTGAATGCAAACGAGTAAAACTTAATGTATTTTTTATAATTGTAAAACAGGCATGGACATTAAAAATAAATAAATAAAACGCGCATGAGTATAATAAACAACTTATTTCTATTATTGTCAAAGTAAGATTTATTTAATATATAAAATGTAAAAAAATGAGACTATTATCAGTTGTTCATGTTTTAGCCACAAACCGTCCCCGGAAGGATGTCCCAAATGTTTGCTCTGTAAACATAAAAAATAGATTAATTTTGAAGTAAATAGTTGTGAACATAACTTAGATCGATGCGACCGTTATGTCAGGCAAAAGTTGAAGCATAAGTGAACTTTTAAATAAAACACTTTAACGGTTTAAAACGCGATATATTAGTTAAACTTATTTGGAAATGATTTTTAACTTCGTCTCCCGTTACCACGGCTGCTGCAAAGCATCCGAGACTTAATCCGAGTTTTAAACCGTTAAAGTGTTTTATTTAAATGTGTACTACTCGCGTAAACTATAGACAGTATTTGCATAAGTGAACTACTAATATGCCAGTCATTGGCGTATTAGTAGGAATGTATGGCTGATAATCAACGTTTCGTGGATTCGATCCTCACAGAGTCCAAACTGTTTCTAATGCATATTTTTTCTGAACCATATTGGATGTAGACTGGTTATCTCAATATTAAAATTCACAATCGAAATTACACAAATGAAAAGGAAACTTAAGTCTAGATTTCAGAATACCCACAGCCAGAAGTCCAAAATAGGTCGGGTGGGCATCTTGTTAAGATGTTATATTGCTGGGGTACTTCAGCAAGTGAATCCCGAGTTTGTCTGCTCTATCAGAAAGACAGCTGTACGAATGTTTTTGTAATAAATGTCTATACTAACATATAAAGCTGAAAAGTTTGTTTGTTTGAACGCGCTAATCTCCAAAATTACGGGTTCGAATAGAAAAATTCAAAGAGGGCTATAAAACATCGCGCTGTGACTAATAGAAGCGAAGATACAGCGGGAAATGTGATACAACGCTGGAAATTTTTATCTCTGTGGGTTCTCGTACGCTACGAAAACGGTTCAAGACACCCAAAAAAGAAGTATAAAAGAATTGTTTTTTCTTTAAATGATCTAAAAAAATGTCCGCGATAATATGTCTATCGTTTAAGGTTAACTAGCAATGACGACAGGTCGCAAGCGACGAAACGCGACCAATGTCGTGGGCAGCTGAAATTTATAAAGATCTATCTAACGTATTTGGATGCCCAAAATAACTATTGTACGCGGACGAAGTCGCTGACACAGCTAGTTATATATATTATTTACTTACTTGTGCACATAAAAGTTGTATTCGTCTGTGTTAAACCTTGAGTAACCAAATTGTGGTAATTTGTTTGCAATTACCCACACTTCGTCGTCCGTTACGTGCAGATCTTTAAATAGCAATAATCATTTTTATTATTGGCCCATTAAATAATATGAGGCCGCTAGAGACAGAGTAGCCTAACTGCAATTTTTATGACTATTTTTATTTTTATAGCCCAAAAATGTTCATCTACAGGAGCACAGTGACCGAAAATTTTTAACATAATTCGTACGCAAATAGTACAAATTCATTTTCGCCTAAGTTGATTGCGTATTTTTATTGAAAATCGTGTTTTTGTTATTAGGCCACTCTGCCTCTAGCAGCCTCATATAGTACCTATAGTTAACTGAGAATTTAGGCGAATCAATAAAATCAATAATAAGTTTAAAATGAAAACTGCTTGAATTACGATAGAAATGCTTGGGGTGTGGAGAAACCCTCTCTAGCAAGAAAAATTATGTAAGTATTAAAAATTAAAATTGGCGATAAAAGGAGTGGCGGCGAGTTTCTTGCCAGTTCTTCTCGTTCTTTCTACGCCATTGATTTGAGAATTGGTAGTAAATGTAAATTTAGAGTCTTTAGTTTTTAACTGGTGTAACATTCATAAGTGTACCTCGTTACCTACGTGAATAAATGTTTTTTGACTTTGACTTATTGGGTAACGAATACCAACCTGATGGGTACACTAATCTCTCGCTGTCCTGCGCCAGGATTCCAACATTTTCCCGTCCCAGTGGCTTATCCGTCTTCCAGCAGGAGACAGCATCTCTTCCCATGTCAGCGAAGAAGAGAACGCCAGTCGGTTCGTGATAATCGTGCATTGTCGACTGGCTGTTCTTACCGCGGTCGCCGAGGTACTGAAATATACACCCCCACAGCTCAGTGTTTAACGTGTGAGAAAGAAAGAAAATTTTATCAATGTCACAATAATTAAATTTAAATTGCTAAGCTAAAATTTTGTGGCACGTCAGGATACAGACTCAGCTGAATGCTGCACGAAAGGGATAGCACTATCCTGTGCGGTTGAAGTGCAGGGTTCGAATCCCGTCCCATTCAGTCAGGCATAGAACAAACTTACCTATAAAAGCGATTATCTATACGAAGATGTGTGTGTCCCACGTCTCTTTTTTTATGCATTAGGAAATTGTTTTAATCCTAAATAATATTTAATAGAGAAAACAATATTTCTATATTACCGGACGAAGGTGAAGAGTAAAGTATACTATTGTCAGTGTATATTCCAAATCACTCAAAAAGCTGAACCGATTTTAATGAACGAGATTTAAATTTAAATAAAACACTAACGGTTTAAAACGCGATATATTAGTTTCACTTATTTGAAAATGATTTTTAACTTCGACCCGACGTGACCATCAAAACTACTACTCGCGTAATCTATAGACAAGATTTTAATTTTTTCAATGATGGCTTTGTATTTTTATTAAATATCAATATATTTCTATATTCCATAGTGATAATACTTAGACACCTATATTGATATCTTTTCTGTAGTCTCTGAGCTAGACTGTAAAATAGACATACTAATAAAACATTATGTTTTCTTTTGTTTCGTCTCAGATGAAATGATGAACTCACAGTAAACTGATCGAAGTAATATCTATCACTACTGGCCGTTCTGTTCTTCAGAATGCAGGTAGACACTGAGAACTCCTCAGTGCTGATCAGGGGGTGAAAATAAGCAGTTCTGCAGCCGTTGGAGAACGCAGGGGATAAAGCTATGCTAAATATTCCATCGCTCCATTGGAAGTATTCACCTAAAAAAGTTAACAATCTATATACAGTAAAACTTGGTCAATTGGAATATCAAGGGACAATTACATATACTAATTATGGAGGGTTTCCAATTATCCAGTTTTCCAATTAAGCATGTTTAAAATAATAGTTGTCTCATTTACATAGGCTGCCGCGTTTGTTTGTAAACAAACATATCCTAATGTGTTGAACTACTGGTTCGGATTCAAAAATATTTTTTTTGTTGACATTTATTGAGGAAAGCCATTAGGTATAAAACATCGTCCTACGACTAATAGGAGTAGACTAGACTAGACTAATAGGAGAAGGAAAGAGGACTGATAGATTTTTATTTAATTTTTTATTAGAAACAGTGGAAAATTATTAAGCTTTGAGGGTTCCCTTCCGTGCACTGTGACAAAATTTCAAGTTACTCAAAAAATATCTACGGAAGAATTATCCCTCTTTAAATATTATACAAACCACGAGATCTCTCGTTTAAGATTAATTCACAAAAACCTAAGATTATTGCAAATAAATTGCAATAATTAGTTAGTATCACATTTTGTGTTGAAAAATTTTCACTCACCAGCTACTCTCAAATTGCCAGCGACTGGATTGAAACTGAAGTAGTTGTGTGAGAGACGCCAACTGTCATTTTCCCTGAACGAATAAACTATGATGCCGTTCGTAGTCAAATCTGGAACATATGCGTACGCGTCGCCGCAGCCTTGCGTTATATCCAGTGTTATTGATGCCAGACCTGAAAAAGTAAGTCAAATACTGGGACGGACACTTTTTTGTGTACGTTTTATATATGTACAAACATAACGCTAGATTAAATACTGTCTATAGTTTACGCGAGTAGTACTCGTTTAAATAGAACACTTTAACGGTTTCGGACGCTTTGCAGCAGCCGTGGTCACGGGGAGACTAAAGATGGAGGGTGTCCCCAACCAATTAACATCTAAATAAGGTGTGCTTAAGATCTATTTTAGCTTTGGATATTGTGAAGTCCACAGATTCGGTCGGGTCGTGGGTTCGATGTCCACTGAGTCCAACATTCTTCTAATCAATATATTCCTTTCTGAAACATATTGACTTCGTCTGGAAATTTGGTTACCAAATGGGTGGTAGGCATATCGAAATTTCGCTCGGGTCATGAACCACCGTTGATAGATGATTAAATGATGTCTGTCCTTTATACGTCCAATATATTGCAAATATATCCTAAATTGATTTTAAATCCTAAGTTGTACCTGGTGGGAATCAAAGGCACGTCCTATTGATTGTTAGTTGTATAAACCACCGTCCATTCTACCTACGAAAGAGCTTGTCAAACAATTTACATATGAACTAACCTGTCGGTGTGTTGGCAGAAGGTACATCGGAGTCTTTGAAGGGATATCTCCGGATTTGTTGATTGGTGTTCAAGTCGTAGATGACTATCGCTGGTGTTTGTAACTGTTGACGATTTACTGTGAAAGAAAAACATGACAGCATATTTTGTGTTTGTTTGCTCTTTAAGAATTATTTAAATGACACAGTAGCGCATCTATACTATTAAAACGAAATAAATAAATTAATTAAAATAGTATAAATGCGAAAGTAACTCTATCTGTCTGTCTGTCTGTCCGGCTTTAACTCCGTAACTACTGAACTGATTTAAATGAATACATAGGCTACTTTTTAATGCCAAATCCGGGTGATAGGGGTTAAAAAAGGGGATGAAAGTTTGTATGGATATTCGTGGTTTGTGAAGCTAGAACAATGAAACTTTCTTCTTTGGCTTTTTGGGAATAGGAGTGGGAGTGAGTGTTCCTCCACTCACACACATCACTCGTCCAACTCCCACTCTCATTCCTATGAAAGTGGGGGTTAGAGTAGGCACTCCTGTCGCAACACTCTCACCTCACATAGTGATATGAGGTGAAAGTGTTGCGGCAAAGTAGCATTTGCAACATAGATTGGCTGCCTTAAATGCGCCCTTACATAAACTTATAAACAGCCTAAATAATTAAAAATTCTACCCCCAAGTCGAGGGTAAAACTAGTATATAGTCTATATATTGCACATAATGTTTATGGGAGCTTGCAAAAATGACTTTAACGTGACACCATAGACACAAAAATGCGTTGAATCTTTTTAGGGCTGACTAACTGTTTTTAGGATAAATATTTTGAAGAATAACATGTACAATTTGGCTTTTGTGGGATTCTATCTATTTTTTATACGATGTACTTTACAACGACTAATAAGTCAATTAAATTTAACTTAACTTAACGCGTATAATTTAGCCTTCATTGTAATTTTGATCTCGTGTTATTTAAGCATAAGTCACCTTAGAACACGGTTAATTATAATATAGGGTTAGTTAAATACTGTCTATAGTTTACGCGACTAGTACACATTTAAATAAAAGACTTTAACGGTTTAAAACGCGATATATTAGTTAAAGTTATTTGAAAATGATTTTTTACTTCGGCCCGACATTTGTTATTTAAATAGGTTTTGTTATTTTAAGTATTTTTATACCTGGCAACTCTAAAAGTCCTGTATCCACCATCCACAATCTACCACATATGTCTGCCCTCGTCCTATACACGGATATGAGCGATCTACTCGCGTAAATATTAGGATATGGTCTTAGGGGGGGCGAGCGGCCATTTTGTTCTTCCAGATCTATGTAATTCAAAGTTGACGGTATACCTGAAATAAAATAATTAAGTTAAGTATTTTTACTAAACATAGACAATAATTTTTGTAAAAAAATTAACACACACATATTCAAATTAAATCTTCAGCGACTGTGACACTAATTACAAAAACAGTGATATCCCGTTTCTACGGAGTATGGGGCGAACACATTACTGTGTCCGTTTCATTGATGCGTTCTTTTACAAGCAATTTGTTGATAAGACTTTTATGGCCTGCCCAACCGTAATAATTTATTGTTTCCCTGGGATTCGTTCACTTGTTCAGTTGTGGAATACATACATATGTAGATACATAGATTAAAAGCATCTTTCCTTTCGGTTCGTGTAAAAAATATGAATCTTACCATATCTTCTCCGCGGTAGAGTAACGAATAATCTGTTGCCGACTTTTTCAACGCCCATGGGAACATTGTTGTACTGAATGAAGAATCTGCCGGCTTCAGCTAAGAAAATAACAATTATTTAGATAAAATTTAATAGATAAATGAGAGTTTTTATAAGATGAAAAATGTTACTTAGAAAGGTATTGTCATGCCAGTAATACACATAAAAAAACCTTTTAACGGTTTAAAACGAGAATTAGTAAACTTATTTTCAATTCACTTTTAACATGACAATGATCCAGAACGTCAGACCGTAGTTAAAATATTTTGTAAATGAGATAACTTTTCGGCTTTTTAAACCGGTCAACGTGTTTATTATTATTATTATTTTCAAATATTTCGTTGAAAAAAATGAGCACAAGTTGGTTCGATTACCGGCTATGTCCTTGGTTATTCATTGTAAATAAATTTGATGAGATGATTGATTAAAATAATTGTTATTATTTATCTAAATTAAGGGCTATTTCGCAAAAACTACGAATAAATGAAATTAGTAAAAGTTTTGCAGGAGTTTTGTAATATTTAAGGAAAGCATTTACAATGTCAAAAAAAAAATCGCCTACGAAACTAATAGTTAAGTTATATTTATAATTAAAACTAAAGTAGATCTTAATGTAGTTGTTTTTTTGGTGTTGATTAAATTTTTAAATTGTTTTTGAATTTGGCGAGATTTTGTTCTTAACTAAATGAATACTTACGATTTGGGGCAGGCGTAGATACAGTTGGTCTGGGTCCTTTAAAAGATAAATTGCTATCAATTTGAATTCGAAAAAATTAATGTCGAAGTTACAGTAGGTATATCAAAGAAATATATATATTTTTTTATATAGAAATTCAAAAGTCACAATGGACGATTCTGAGCATGTGTATCTTCGTTCCCGTTTTAAACCAGCTGAATTTAAATACACCACAGTTTAAAGTACACTGATCAATAACAAATAACTTGGCAGGTATGTGGTTACAAATTAAATACGTAATAAGTAGTAATAAGTTTTAATAAAGTAATAAAATTTCGATCGTCCCAAAAGGCGTATTATTGTCTGAACGATTTCTTTATTGACAAGACCTCCTGGCAGTACTATGAATTGCTCCTTAGGTTAATAAATTCACAAAAATGTATTAAGCTATAAGATATGTTAAAAAAAGTCGGACTGAGTTTCTTGGGTGTTCTTCTGAGTCAAGTTACTCTTTGGAACCCTCTGTAGAATCACGACAGACAAACATTTTTAGAAATTTTTAAAGAGAATAAAGTATATTTTATATATCTATTAATTTCAATAATATTTTTATGTAAAAATCACATCAAAATCGGTTTAGTGATTTCGTAGGTAGGTTACCATGGAAACAAAGAAGAACCGACAATTATTTTTTTGTAAGTACTCACTTGCCCAATCAGAGTTTGTGTCGTCGGCAAAAACAATTCTGTCCGCTTGTCTCTTTGCACGGTTCTCTTCCTCGACGTCCAGGAATCGATCTTGTAGTACTGCAAACGATGTGTACAAAGTCAATGCAAATTAACCACTGAACCACGGAGCCATTTTTTTATAATAGAAGATGGTCTTCACTTCATTGTAGATGAAATACCCCAGCCATATAACAACAAAACAAGATGCGCTGTCGGCCTATTTAATTGGGTTCAAACTTGTCGGCTTATTCATCGGAGGGGGTTGGTTCTTGACCCGGACGAAATTTCGACATTCGCACCACCAACTTCATATCCAGATTTCCAGCCGAAAGAATGTTTTCGCAAAATTATAAATAGATAGAAACATGTCGGATTGGGTGGAGGTCATAATTCTGTGTTTCACAAAGTAAACCGTTTCCTCCGTGGGGCATTGGGCGAACACATTTATGTGTCCGTTTCACTGATTGGTTCTATTTACAGGCAATCAATATATAACTAACCCAGAACCTCTAGCGCTTATCGCATTCCTATGCAACATGTTTAACCATTTAGTTACAGAGGCGGTCAAAAACAAAAAAATAAGTACTGTTCACGCGAGTAGAACACATTTAAATAAAACACTTTAACGGTTTAAAACTCAACCCGTGACAACGGTCGCTGCGAAGCATCCGACATATCGGGCCGAAGTTAAAATAATTTGTTTCAAACTTTTCTAAGTCGAATTTGAGACCTCAAAGCTCTTACCACTGACCCACGGAGACGCAAAAACAGGTACAAAAAAGGTTATGCAAGAAACTTACGGATGTTTGCTATTGACAGACGAGTAGTTATTTATTTTGAATAAGTTGAGGTCATATTTAATCACGTTTTGTTATTCCCAGAAATACAATCTATTGATTTTAAACATTGCTTTAACAAGTGTAAAGGGAAACCCCCGCTAACCCTGGGGTTTGGGTCAAATATAAAACACTATAGGATCCGTTGCACCAACTTTAATTATAGCACAGTAGGTAATCGAACTACCTAATCCTACAATTTCTTCTAACTGGATTCAAACCCAAGACGACGTGATTGAAAAAATACATTTACAACTGTCGCGATATCTAATCGAAGGTAGCATTTTGCCAAAGTAGGTTGACTTTTAAACGGACTTTTTAATATGTCCGCCCCATGGATACGAGGACGTCATAATCTGGTTAAACCAATAGACAATTACCAACATAATAATTGTATATTTTGTGTTTATCACACTAGGGATTCCCATATATGTCTTGCGCTGATAACAGCAATATTTTTTAGGTATTAGGTGTGGTTTACGCAAGTAGTACATATAAAATAAAACTCTGTTAACGGTTTAAAACGCGAAGCACACCAACCGAAACGTCGGGCCCTAGTTAAGTTAATTTTAAAAATAAGTTAATTTTTCAAGTTCAATTAAGAATATAAGTATTATCTTTAGTTAACGCGAATAGGATTTAAATAAAACAATTCTAACGTTTTAAAGCCCATTAACGGTCCATTAACAAACAAAGATAAATTAATAAATCGCGTTGTAAATCGTGAAACCCGATTTATTTAAACAAATAAATTGATTTATGTAGTTAGAAATAGAAGCTCTCTTGAAGAGATAAATAAAATACAAAAAAAAACGAGAAATTTATATAAATAATAATAAATCACTCTATTGCACAAACACATAAAATACAAATAAAGTAATACTAAATTAATTATTTAAATAAAACACTTTAACGGTTTAAAACGTGATATACTTATATGAAAAATGATTATTAACTTCGCCCCGACGTTTTGGATGCTTTGCACCAGCCGTGGTCAAAGGGAGATTATTGCAGTCGCTTTCATTCTCGATGGCTTTTACTCATTTATTGTTATTTTGTTTTCCTTTTCTTTATACAAAGGTTGCCTGGAAGACACTGCCGAAGGCCGTAAGGCCACCTTCCACAACTCTTATGAAAATAATGAATTCAGTACTGTCTATAGTATACGCGAGTAGTACACATTTAAATAAAACACTTTAACGATTTAAAACGCGATATATTAGTTAAACTTGAAACCAGTCTCCCCGTGACCACGGCTGCTGCAAAGCATCCGAAACGTCGGGCCGAAGTTAAAAATCATTTTTAAATAAGTTTAAATAATATATCGTGTTTCAAACAGTTTTATTTAAAAGACCTTAAGTCTACAAATTATTGCAAGATTATTATTATAAGTTTTAGGACTGAAATGTTAATATTTCACAAAAAATAGTTAATCGTTTTTCAATTCTTTATTAAGTGTATTTTTATGTTAAAGTTTTATGCAAACTATGGTATACTGTATACCTATCTTGTCTTTGGATATCTAAATGCTTGATGTTCCTTTGTAAAAAGCCTACTAGTAATATGATAAATGAAAATTTAAGCCCCAATCAAGCAATGATAGAAATCGTAAAACAGACATAAAACTGTGCCCAAAAACCCAAATATTACGTAATACTTACACGATATGCCATCTATGTCATAGGTCAATTGTTTCCAAGCGAAAACCTCTTGGAATTTTCCCATGTTTTGCGCGAAAAGTATTTTCGAGAAACACAAGAATATTAACAGTTTTAACATTTTTTATATAATCAATGTGTTCGTTTGTTTGTGAATATGATGTATATGTTTTACTGTGCGTCAATCTTGGAAGACACTTAGATGCGAACTAAAATTATTTGTTGACTAAGTACATAATATGACTATCTACTTCTATACGTGTATGGAGGTACTAGTATTTTGATATATCTCGCTAAGGTCATGCCGATATATCCTTATATCGATCTTTGGAATAATAAATCTTAAATGCTGTCTGTAGTTTACGCGAGTAGTACACATTTAAATAAAACACTTTACGGGTTAAAGCGCGATATATTTTAGTCAAACTTGTTTGAGAATTATTTTTAACTACGGCCCGACGTTTTGCAGCCTTGCAGCGGCCGCCTTCCCGTGGTGCGCGTTTTAAACCGTTAAAGTGTTTTATTTAAATGATCTTAACAATGAATAATTATAATTATTATTTCCTTTTCTTTAATTGATAACAAAAATGGCATCGACTTTGTATATCCATCTATAATATCTATACTATTATAATATATTATTTGGAATTGGAGAAATTCTTTTTGTGTTAGAATACTTATCAAAGAAGGTTATATGCTATAAAAGAAACAACGGGAAATGTAAAAAAAAACAGGGAGAATTATTAATCTTTGTGGATGCTTACGCTCTGAAAACTGTTCAAGATACCCAAATTCTTTTTTATATAATCTATAAAAAAAATCCGTGACAATATATTATGGCTATATCTTAAATTAACTCGCAAGAGCAACGGGATGCGACTGACGTCGTGGATAACAGCTTATAAAATCGAAGAGTACGTTTGCGAAAACAAATTTAGATGCCCGAATTAGCTATTCTACGCAAGCGAAGTCGCTGACACAGCTAGCTAATATCATAAAGCTGAAGAGTTACAACATCACGCTGCGACAAAGAGCGAAGAAACGGTAGAACATGTGGAAAAACGAGGAAAATTATTTATCGTCGAGGGCTTCCTTCCGTTACGTGCGCGAAAACGGTTTAAGAATTCAAAAAAAATGTACGCAAGAATGATCCCTCTTTAAACGACCTAAATGAATGTTGTTTTGTTGTTTGAATGAACGCGAACAACATTTGCCGGATCAGCTAAAATTATAGTAAACGAAAAACAATCAAAAGGTTTTATTTTTCAACCTTTAAAGATAAAGGGAATTGTCGACTTTATTCGTTCCGACGAACCAACCAATCGCAGGCTCAATTATTTCTATAAAAAATCTCTTCGGCATCCGTTGCATAGCATTTAAGATTTACGCATATTATATAGTGACGAACAGACAGCGACAGGTTTAGTTTTAAATATATTTGAACTGTAAGTATAGTAGGTAGTAGGTACTCGGATTAGATTACATAAAAAGTGAGATTATATTGCACATAAGTAGCTGCCAATTCAGTATTTTAATATAAAATTGGTGGAATCGAAGTGAAAATTATAGAGCGTTATCTAATTCTTTGTAAATTACTTTGAGAACCTGGAGGGAATTCGTTGATTATTTGTCGTTCACTGCTACGATAAGACAAGAGAGCTAAGTCTTATAGGATAAAACTTTACTTTTGGATATTTGTGTAAAATTAATATTTAACGGGTCGTGGGTTCGTCCCCCACCAGGGTCAACATTTTTCACAGATTCAGTCTGTGGTTGTATATCCAAACCCAAAATAGGTAGACATCACATCTTATCGAGCTGTTATATGGATGGCGTATTCCTTCTATCAAGGGAACACCGTGTTTGTCTGTTCTATATATTATATGTATTTAGTCTTGAGGTAATATAATATGATATATACTTATAACCCACTTGCTCGCTTAATTCTTTCAGTTTTCCCTATGTTTTATGAGTCAGTTATTACAAATACATAAAACTTTATAGCTATTATTTTCCACATGTCATTTTACATGATTTATGTATACAAGTATCAACTTAAAGACTTTTAAATTAAACGGTTTTATTTTTGTGCACTGAAAACTACGAAAATATTTTAAATTTTGACATAATCATCATGTTTTAATAGTGTAGCCCTTTCATTTGGTATCCATATTGAGGGGGTAAGGAAACATATGTAATCCGCCATTTTGTATCGGCGGCCATCTTCGATTTACAATGTTATTGATTTTATTGTATTGTATTGTCATATAAATTAAAAGTATGTACCAAGTTTCAGATCAATCTGACGACGGGAACCGGGAAGGTGCATAAATTTCACTTCCTAATTTTGACCCAAATAAATAAATTCCGTACGGGTCGAGAAAAACCGTACAAAACTTAATATTCATGTTGTAATAAACATACAACAAACTAACTGATGCGGGAAGCGTTTTATTTTTTCCACTTTTCCTTCTATTTCTCCGCTGTTATTGTCTATCCAACACAAAAATAATCTCAAACCAGTAACAATTCAAACCCTTTGAGATTAGCACTTTTAATCACACAAACAAACTCTTCAGCTTTATAATATTCATATAGATGTTATTAGTAAATATATAAAAAACTTATATTTTGAAAGTTAAATTCAGTCTGTAGTTTACGCGAGTAAACAATTAAATTAAACACTCAACGGCTTAAAACGCGAAATGTATTACTTAAACTTTACAAATTATATTGCCTCCCTCGACCACGGCATTTGCAAAGCATCCTAAACGTCGGGTCGTAACTGAAATAGTTCGTAAAGTTTCCCTAATACATTCCGCGTATTAAACCGTTTAAAGTGCTTAGATTTCAAAGTTATTTCGTAAAATCAGCGACTTCAAACTTTGTAGCATTGAATTTCAGCTCTATGTTTATTTGTATTAACTACGCATTACAAGACGAAGATAACAAAGTTTTATTGAATGTCCTCATTTTTGTGAACTTACTTACAACTAATAATCTTTTAAACAAATAATAAATAACTATTGTCTGTAGTTTACGCGACTAGTACACATTTGAGTAACACACTTAACGGTTTAAAACGCGAACTAAACGAAACGAAACGTCAGGCCGATGTTAAAATCAGTAAAAGCTAATACATATTTCGTGTTTAAAACCGTTTAAAGTGTTTTTTAATAATAATTTCTCTAATCTCATCTTCAATGATTTTTAAGCAAAGAAACATTCAACCCAAATACCTGATTGGTAAGGTTGAAATTACATTGTCCGATGCTTTCATCAATGAGTTTAAGAAATTCCACCATGACGAGACATAACCTCAATCGGTTAGAGCACCAGCATGGATCGCTGTGGATGCGGATTCGATTCCCGCCTGCGCTATCGAATTTATTTATCCTGTAAAGTTTAAATATCTAAAAGTAGTATAGACTATATTGCTAAAAAATAATAAAAGGCGCAAAATTCATCTATATTAAAGGTTAAAGATGGATATTGTGTTTAACGCAAAAAAGGAGGTCTTGGGTTCGACTCACTGAGAGACATATTTGTTTCCTCTAGACAGTAATGTAAATAAATTCGATTAAAACAACAGATACAAAAATGTGTCAGATCCATGCAGCCGTATGAGCAACGGGATTTCATATTATTATAAAGACACACTTCTATGTCCGTTTCACTGATCGAATGTGTTTAAGAGTAGAATGCGGTCTCGTTGGTCTAAGGGTTACATAATAGAAATGTTGTGCTAACAATCTACGGTTCGTGGGTTTGATTTCCACCAGGCCAACATATTTCTAATAAATTTAAAAATTTCTTGAAACATGTCGGACTTCGTGTGAAATAATATTGAGTGGTAGGTAGATTAAAATTTCGAACTACGGATGAATAAGACGATGACGATACGGTAGTATTTGAAGTTTAATTGTGGTTTGGTGTAAGCTTGTGGCCTTCCGAATGTCCAAAGCCAAAGAAGGCCGGCAGCACATCTTGTTTTATTTATTTATTGCGCACAACAAAAATAATACAGCATAAAACTTATATACTAGTATGGAGTGCAATAGGCGGCCTTATCGCTAACAAGCGATCTCTTCCAGGCAACCGAAAGTTAAGAAATATTTTGATGTTTATTGCCGGGGTGTTTGTCATTCCAAAAGAGAACCTCATGCATTCTAATAATTCTAATTCTTTCCCTAATAATTCTGTAACTTAGAAAGCCTAAGAAAAAAATATCTTTTGTTTCGAACTGACGACCACTAAAAACCAGAGAAGAAACCGATATGAACCAAAATCGTAAAAAATTCAAATTTCATTCGTACTATTTTGAACAAAACCAGTTCAGAAGAGAAACAAAATAAAATAAAGTAACGCTTCGCTTAGCAACTTGGCATAAGTTTTTATGCAAAAACTGCGTTGCAGTTTAACAGTTGAATTTGGATATATGAAAACGTACAAAAAATACTCTTAACTATTATGCGACCGCTGTAATTGATTGTTTATTTACAGCAAGGACAATCTTGGACAATCACTTAGTAGCTACTGCCAGTAGTAGTAGTTATTTTAGAACATTGTCCAGTAACTTACTGTTAAAATTTTCTAAAATAACTTTACATTATCAGTTGATCTCATAATAGATAGATCTAAGTCTAAGTCGCACCAACAAATATAACATCACACATCTACATAATTGCAAAACGCACATAAGTTCACATTTTATTTTCATTTAAATTAAATACTTTCAACGGCTTAAAACGCGAAATGTATTAGTTAAATTTTCGTACCTAAGCTCCAAGGTGTCTAGTCTGCATACCTGCTGCTAAGCATCAGACCCTATGACCACGGCTGCTCCCCGTCGAGCTGTAGTAAAAATAATTTGTAAAATTTAACTAATATATTTTGCGTTTTTAACCGTTCAAGGTGTTTTGTTTTAATGAATACGTGTATGTGTGTTTAATAATATTTCTTGTTAAGATACTGAGTCTATTTAATAAAACACTTTAACGGTTTAAAACGCGATATTGTTAAACTTATTTGAAAATTTTTTTTCCCGTTGACCCCGGGCCCCCGAAAAAACCCCCAAAGGGGGGGGGGGGTTTTTTTTTTTTTTTTTTTTTTTTGTTAACATATTGCTTTAAACGTTAAGTGTTTTATTTAAATGTGTTACTCCGCGTAAACTATAACAGTTTTAACGTGATAAATGCAAAGTAACGGTTAGAACTACCCACTTTGCAATAATTGTTATCAGTTATAAGTTTGACATTTTTTGTCTATCACCTTTAATTTGATATTTTTTTTTCATTACATGGATTTAGAATATCTATTAAAATAGTTCGGCGAAGATACAAATCTGATTTATGCTTATCTGCATTAGCAGGAATTAAATATTATCTCCATCTCTCTGTAAGTGGTCCCAGATAAGGTTATATTAACTTTTATTATGATACTGTATCAATATTCTTTATCATTGCTATTTATAAAAAAGAATCATTTATACTTATAAAAAGCAACTCACGAAGCTATTTTTTAAAGACAACATCGATACCACATTCCATAAAAGGCATCTTGTCAATGCCGAAGATAAAGTAGCGAGAAAGTATATTTCAAACATTTTTGTTCCTATTGTTTCTTTTCATATTTACTTTTATATATCCGAAATTATAATTAGATAAGCTCAACAATTAAACTATTTTTAAATGAATCTCTCATAATTAAATATATATGTGTATACACAATAATAATAATAACTCTTTATTGCACAGACATAGACATAAGAACATAAATACTTAGAATTATAATAAAACATGTTTGTGCAAAGGCGCTGGTTAATAAAAAATCCTTGGTTAAAAAACAATGATGGGAAACCAGGGCAACTGCCCTGGGGCAGTTTTAGATCAAATTATGTATTGAAAAATTCGAATGCGAAGATTTCTTGAAATAATAGAAAAATATTTTGGATCTAACTATTTCCAGGTATTCGTTGGCCGTGGAGACCTTTACTTCTAAATCAGCCCCAGATTAGCGACTACAAATATAATTTGTATTATAAGATTGTATTATTTAAATTTTACACCACCGATGTGGCACAGAAATTGGCGAGGTTAAGCTGTAATGTCATAGTATTGCATCTTTAAACCCGTGGTTAAACTTCCCTTCCAATCCTTATCCCTGGCTATTCTGTTTAATACATTTTTATTTATTTATTAATCTACTATTTAATACAAGAAATAAACAAATCACTACATTAAGCTACTATCAAATTTCGCACAATATTTACTTTAGCTAGTCATTTTTAAATATAACCTAGATATCAACGTTACTATGACACAAACGCGATGAATCACAATCGGACGAGTCAGTAGTGATGTGCCAATTACCGTCAGATAATAATACGACGTCCACAAATAAAGCACTGCTTTTTGATAAAAATAACAACTTGCATTGTGCTATCTGTCCTGTTGTGTTATCTTGTAGAAAAAACGTATTTTGTGCATTTTTTTCTGAGATATTTATTTATTTAAATATTTGAAGTTATATAATTGAGGAATTACTGTATAATAAGCACGCTGTTATGCAAAGTAATTTAAAAGTAATCTAATTGTATGGTTTTACCACATTGTGATCAGTTTGTGCTTTCGTGTGTTGTTTTCTCCAAAAGAAGCGCTAAATATGTAAACAACAATATACGACGTAACACATTACTTTTTCTTACAGTACTTTTTCAAATATATCTTATATTTTTTAGAAGGGAAATTGTAGAAAGGGCAAATTAAATTAATGCATATATGAAAAAAGTTAACGAATATTGCTTTATAACAAAATGTTTTTGTCGCGTTTGTTGGGATCATTAATATAAAGTAATAATTTAACTTATTTTCGTGTAATTGTAAGTTTCTTACGGTAAAATAGCGGACTTACAGTTAGACATAATTAATACACAATATCTATACAGTAACTAGCATTATTTCGCAAAAAAGAAGAATCTCTCATTTTTTATTTAAAGTACGAATTGACAACTTATAACATAAAATTGCCAAAATATATTATGTTTAAAAATGATATCAGGTATTCGTCTGATAACAACAAAAATATAGTATTATCTACGCGCGTTGTCACATCACTAGCATATAGTCTGTAATAAATTATTAACCCACAGTCGACTACGGTGTTTTGTTTAGGAAAGACGTCATGTAAGTTATTTTATTAGCGACTGTGTTTATATATTCGTTTCGTTGTTGGTTTCACTAAATTGTGTGTCTGTTTGTATATTTATAGATTTAATTAGCTGTGTATAACGTGACGGCATTTTCTTCATCAACGCTGGTGATAAAAATAATTATGTAGAATGTTTATAAGAATAAATAAATGCTCTTAAGCGTTCAAATGGCTTGACCGATTTTGATAGAATTGTTAGACTGTGATATTAATCCGTCTCATGATTTACGCTTTAGTTTATTTGGTAGGTACGAGAGCAATATATAAAATGATTTATTTGAATTTGCATATGTAATGTCGCTGAAAGAAAAGTGTGTGTTTTTGTTGATGTAATCTCTACGATATTTCTAAGGTTATAATTCTTAAAAATAATGGCATAGGTGCTTTTTTAACTTACAAAATATTAGTTTTGGTACTAGTTCTTCTCATAAAAAAAAAACATTTCATTTATTGTCCATAATTTCACAGAATATAAAAGTTATTAGTAATGCTACCTAAAAGTTGGGTTTAGTTAACTAAAATCTCCAACTGATTTACCTCTCTTTAAATCTTAGTTATTCTAAAACAAGGACACAGTTTTTTATGGCGGTAACACACCATAACCTACCTTTACGCGTAATTTCAATGTCATTCTCAAACATTGCATGTCCTAATTTGACCTCCAATGTTAATTGACAATAGAAAAGATACAACAAACAACTTTAAACAATAACAATCACAGTACAACTTCAGTTATCCGAACATCTTACTGAATATTAAATCTTACTGAAGTATCTATCTATCTAAACTAATATATAAAGCTGAAGAGTTTGTTTGTTTGAACACGCTTATCTCAGGGACTAATGGTTCGAATTAAAACTTTGTGTTGGTTAGAGCATTTATCGAGGACGGCTATAGGCTATAAAACATCGCGCTGTGACTAATACGAGCGAAGAAAAATCGGGAAAAGTGTAAAAAACGGGAGAAATTATTAATCTCTGCGCGTTTCCGACGCGTGCGCAGCGAAAACTGTTCAAGATACCAAAAACAACAATTATACACGATGTTTTAGTTTACGCGAGTAGTAAATATAACAAAAATACTTTAACCGGTTAGAAACGCAATACAATAATTAACTTCATTAACATGATTTTAACTACGGCTCCCCGTGACCACGGCTGTTGCAAAACATCTGAAACGTATTCAAAATAAATTGTATGTCTAATAGTGTTTGTTTACGTGTAGTACCTACTCGTTCAAGTAATTAGAATTCTAACGGTTTAAAACGAGAACTATATTAGTTTACTTACAATTTATTTTAAATTGGGGCCGATGATTTTAATGTTTTACAGTAGCTGTGGTCATAGGAGCTTTTATTTAAATCAATCTACTATAACCTCTGTTTATGATTAAAGTTTTATCAATATCGATCAATCCCTTATGATGCTAATAAGTACCATCCTCACAAAAGCACAAAGGCTATTATTAGTTTAGTATCATTCTTTCCTATAAGGATTTAGTACAAAAGCAAAAATCAAAAATAGGTATTAACTAGATAAGGGTGCGCTTTGGCAAAACGACGCACCCATTTTTAGCGAAGGTCGTTCGTATTGATCGCATCTGTTTTAAATGGAGTCCCGACGTTTTGACGCCGTCCTTATGGAGCTATGTCAAATAACGCCCGACGCGTATAACACAAATGACTACATTTAACACTAGCTGTTCCCGCGACTTCGCGTGGAATAGTTATTTAAGTCACCATATTTATATTTGCAAATAACCACCTTAGCTTTATAAATGAGTATAACTGTTACACACGATGTCGTCTCCCGTCGTTTTTGCGAGTTAATCTTAAAAGACAGACATATATTGTCGCGGACATTTTTCTAGATCATTTAAAGAATCATTCTTTTATATTGATACATGTTTCTCGAACCGCTTTCGCAGCGCGCGCAACGCAAACCCTCAAAGATGAATAATTCTTCCAATCTTCTTCCAAATTCTGTCCAAGCAATTAGAAAATATAATATTACAGATATTTTAATCACAGATAAAATAAAAAGGAGGTAATAGCGAGGAAAATCAACACGTACTCTTAAATATTTTTAAGATCTTTCCAAACATCTCCGAGAATTTAAAATACATGTACGCAATGTGTTACTGTCGCTATAAAAGTTTTCGAGAAGCAAAAAGAATTATAAATAGAAAGCTCGATTTACTTACGTTAGATGAACATTTTGCGCTTTGAATTATCTTTGATTAAATACTGTCTATAGTTTACGCGAGTAGTACACATTTAAATAAAACACTTTAACGGTTTAAAACGCGATATATTAGTTAAACTTATTTGAAAATGATTTTAATTTCGGCCCGACGTTTCGGATGCTTTGCAGCAGCCGTGGTCACGGGGAGACAAATTCGATTTCAAATAAGTTTAACTAATATATCGCGTTTCAAACCGTTAAAGTGTTTTATTTATCTTTGATTAGCAAATTTTCGGCTCTTTGGTCTGGTTTGAATGGTTTTAATATATAGCTATATATTATATATATATATATTTTTTTTTTTTATGGGACAAATTGGACTTCATCTGGAAATCTTCATATTTAATGGGTGGTAGGAATATCGAAATAACGTCCGAATCACGAACCACCCACTACAGATGACTATAGGTTTAATCACGTTTCGGTTTCAGCCTATAAATATCTAAAGCCCAAATAGGTCGACCGCGCATCTTATTTCACCTTCCATCAAGTGAACGACGTGCTTGTCTGCCCCCCTCTATCATTTAGTTGTTTTTAAATAATTCTTATTTCCTGGTGGTGCACACCGCTAAGTCAAATAATAATTGAATAAATAGACTAAAAAGCAATATTACTTAAACAATAGTTTTATTAGCACTCATAAGGATATTATATTTGTTCGAATGTAAATAGACAATTAGTTTTAATGGTATTTTTTTAATAATGCAGATAAAACTTTATTTAATTGTATTTAAACTAATTAATTAAGGACTAAAATATAAATAACTAATTATAATTGATATGACGACTAACATATACATAGTTGTTACAGAAATAATAATTTGATAAAACGGATTTAATTAGTGAATGTTACTCTTTTCCGTCTAAATTGCTAAATATTGTGGCAGAGTTACAGTACAGGCAGTAACACGCTAACCTACTACAATTAAAAATGGAGATATTATTTTTGTGTTGCGTAGACCATTTATTGTACTTTGGGATGTAAAAAATAATAAGATTCGTCCATAAAAAGATTCTTGCGAGACAATTTTAAAAGATACACATACACTTTTTTTAGATTATTTAAAGAGGCACTCTCGCACACATATTCCTTGGGTCTTGAATCCTTTTCGCACGCAATCGAAGATCAAAGATTTTTTCCTCATTCTCCACTTCTTAGGTATTAGTCGCAGCGCGATGTTCTATAGCCTAAAGCCGTTCTCGATAAATGCTCTAACACAAAAATTAATTTGAATTCGAACCAGTACTTCCTGAGATTCGCACGTTCAAACAAACAAACTCTTCAGCTTTATATATTAGTAAAGATGAAGATTGTCAGGCCTGTGTCGATCGGTAAAGCTCTTACAAGTCCATGAAATTTCTCGATAAAAGATATAAACAAAACAATATGTTTAGTTGGAGTATCTTTATAAATAAAGCAATCTCTAGTGTACATTAAAACAATTTAAATAATAAATGGATGTTATGCGTGAAGTGTGGGTAATTTAAAACAGATTTAACAGTACTTGACTGAGGTTTTATAATTTCTCAAGAGGCACTATGGCGTTTAGATAAATCTACAGTTATCATATCGTAAAACTAGAAATAGCTTATACTAGCTGTGCCCGCGACTTCGTCTGCGTAAAATATTTGGGGCATCGTATTATTTACTAGCTGTGTCAGCTACACTTAGTCCGTGGAGTATATAGTTATTTTCGGCCTTTAACTTGTTTTTGCAAACCTCTTTATTGTTATAAATTTAAGCTTTACCGACGACATCGGTCGCCCACTGTCGCTCGCGACCCGTAGTGTCAGATCCCGTCGTTCTTACAAGTTTATGTTAAAAGACAGACGAATAGTGTCGCCTATAGCCTTTCTCGATAAATGCTCTCACCAAGACAGAAGGAAATTTACAATTTGAACTAGTAGTTCCTGAGATTAGCGCGTTCAAACAAACAAACTCTTCAGCTCTACAATATCAGTATAAACAAACGATGTATGTGAAAAAGTTAAATATAATGTACTTTTGTTTTTACTGCCTCTTGGTCTAGTGGTTATAACACTCAACTGCATATCACGAGGTCCCAGTTTCGAATCCTGAGTCGGGCCAAAAGTTTTTTCGGTATTTAAAGTTTATTTAAATAAACATCATTTGAATTTTTCAAAGTTTTTAAGGTTTAACATATTTTTTATCTTATTTTAACTAAAGCCCGACGTTTAGAATGCTTCGCAGCAGTGTGTACGGTTATGTATAAGTGAACTTATATTTTTCGCGTTCTTAACTGTTAAAAGAGTAATATTTAAATGTATACTAGCGTAAACAAACAGACAATACCAAATAAACATCTCCAAACTAACATATGCCAATACCGAAAATATAGTTTTAATGGATTGTCATATTTACCAGAATTTCACACCCACTGATAAGCAAACGTTTCAAGAATTGGCATAGATAATATACTGATAACAGATAAAGATTAAACCTGATAAAAATCGTTGTTTACCGCAATAATCATTTTAAATGGTATTCAACTACTATTTATAAATAAATAAACCACTTACTTATTTATAAGTTGCACACGATAAATATGAATTCATAGATTTTGCGTTTTAAACCATTAAAAGCGTTTTATTTAAAGTAATAAACTATAGACAATTTATCGCTCAAAATTAAATACTTGTAAATGATCCATCCATGTCGACGACTGTCTTCAAAGTTCAATAAAATGACAGTGACTCAACGGAATTTGAAAATTCCATAATTATACAAATTTTTTAGCCAAAATTTCAAAGTTATTTAGAACAATCAGAGAGATGTTCAAATTGAAAAACTGTACAACAAGGGCAGGACTTGAACCGGCATCTTCAGCGTTCCGAGCTTTAACTATTGTCCCGTGTCGTACATTTTTACAACTTATATTCTATTTTTAACTTATATAGCGCCATCATATGCAAAATATTAGTTTTCAAAGATCGCACTTTACTCAATGGGAACCGAATACAAAACCCATAAATTAGTCATATATTACAGTTAATAATAAGTCACTAAGTTTTAAACCGTTACAAGTGCTTTAATTTAATAGCCATACAATACCTATGGTCTGTACTTTACGCGAGTAGTACCCATTAATATAAAACACTTTAACGGTTTAAAACGTCGTGTTTAATCGACGTCTATTAGTTAAACTCTAACTACGGCCCGACGTTTCGGATGCTTTGCAGCAGCGATGGTCACGAGGGAATTAAAGATGGAGGGTCTCTTAAATACTGTCTATAGTTTACGCGAGTAGTACACATTTAAATAAAACACTTTAACGGTTTAAAACGCGATATATTAGTTAAGCTTATTTGAAAATGAATTTTAACTTCGGCCCGACGTTTCGGATTCTTTGCAGCAGTTAAAAATCATTTCCAAATAAGTTTAACTAATATATCGCGTTTTAAACGGTTAAAGTGTTTTATTTAAATGGAGGGTCTCGCTGTGGTCAAACTAAAAACTGCTACGCTAGGGCCATCTGTTCCGTCGTAGTTGGTTTTGACGATTTCAGCCGTACACTGCTATCGCGGGGCTGACGAACTTAATGACTATAGTGGTAATTTATTTATTCACAGAATGCCGGAAGTACACCCAGCTTTTGCTAATGCGGGTCAAACAGCAGGTCTTGAGATTTGGAGAGTGGAGGTAAAGTTTTTTTTTATACTATAATAGCTCGGTGTTCTAATGGCTATACGGGTCGTGGCTTCGATCCCAAGAGGTCCAACTAGTGAGTCACTTGATGGGTGACAATACCACAGCCATTCGTCATCTAAACAAGGTGCGCTGTCGAGCTATTTTGCCATTCGTTTCGTTTCTAATCAAGTTATAATTTTTCTGAAGTATTCAATGGCAGGTTAAACTGTAGTGTAAGAATAGCGCGTTCAAACAAACAGTGGTGTCTTATTTAGCACAAAATATAGGCGGATGTCATTAGTTTATTATTTTCAACAGTTTTATCTTATCTTTGATACTGCATGATGGACGAGTTCGCGAAATTCACTTATTTATACATAACTAGCTGTGCCCGCGACTTCGTTCGCGTGGAATAGTGACTTGGGGTAGAATTTTTAATTATTTAGGCTGTTTATTAATTTATGTAATTGCGCATTTATCGCAGCCAATCTATGTTGTAAGTGCTACTTTGCCGCAACACTCTCACCTCACATCACTCCTACTCTAACTCCGACTCTCATTCCTATTTCCAAAAAGCCAAAGAAGAGAGTTTCATTGTTATAACTTCACGAATTCCCATAAAAACCTCTATCAAGCCTTATTTGGCATTAAAAGTAAGCTAACTCCTTTCTCGGGCTCTAAAATATCTGTATACCAAATTTCATTTAAATCAGTTCAGCAGTTTCGGAATTAAAGCCGGACAGACAGACAGGGTTACTTTCGCATTTATAAAATTAAGTATAGATAATATATAATGGTAATTATGTTTTAGCTAGCTAGTGGTTAGTGCCATTGAGTGCATATCACGATATCTCAGGTTGCCTTTAGGACAAAATCTTACTTCAGAATGTGGAATTATGTACATTTGAAAAGATTACTTATATTTTTATTATCTTTACTCTTGTTATACCTGTGCAATATTTTATTCGCTTCTATTAGTCAAAGCGCGAAAATGTTTCATAGCCTTTAGCCTTCCTCGATAAATGCTCTAACCAACACAAAAAGAATGTTCCTATTCGAACCAGTGGTTTCTGAGATACGCACGTTCAAACAAACAAAGTCCTGAACCACAATATTAGTGTAGATTTCAGTGATAGTCGTCAAACCCCGTCAAGCCGCATTGGAGCTGCGTGGTGGGTCTATGCTCAAAACCTCTTCAATGCGAGACGAGATCTGCGCTGAAACGTCCGAATAATTCTAATTTCGTGTTCGAACACACCAACATAGGTCAGTTTCAATCGTAATATCTTTCGCATCTTGTCTATAACGTTTTATGTGGTTTATTTGCGGATGTGTAGGCGGCGCACTGTATCCGAGAAGTTCGTGGATATTTCGCAAAACGAAATTACAATACAAGAAAATTTCGCCAGTTACTAAATTATGAAGACATATATTATCAACTTTTTTTTATAAGTGTCTGGAGTCTGTTGATAATATTTCGCAATTCTGCCAAATACCGCGCGTACCTACATAAATTTGACAATTTACGTTTTAAAAACGTACACTTTTAACGGTTTAATTAGTTACCAATTTTTTGTTTACTACAGCCCGATTTAAATTACATTAAAAAAAAATTTACTAGAATATTTCGCGTTTTAAACCGTTAAAAGTGATCTAGTCGCGTAAACTAGGAACAAAATGTAATGTCACCCGGACGGATAGACAGAAATCTTAGATTTTTTAATAATAAGTTATGAACAGATAATTGGAGAGTTCACTTGATTGAAGATTAGGTTTTACGGCTTTAGCGTCTGAGGACTGTGGTTCATTACCCAGGCGGAATTTAGATAATCCTAACATCCAGATTTACCAGATGAATTCCAACAATGTTTCAAAGGAATTTGAATTAAAAAAAAAATGAAATTTATTATAAAACATATTGCATGCGGTAGACATCGGACCCACCACCTTACTTATTGAAAATATCTACGTCGCTACCATTAGTTTTAATATTGTATATTTTCTTGTACATATAATGTGAATGTCAAACAGCATATTAAGTTATTGTATTTTTTTCCAGGATTTCGAACCAGTACCAGTGCCGAAACATCAATACGGAAACTTCTATTCCGGAGATTCATACATCGTACTAAAGGTATGCCATTATGTGTATGTCTGTTACGTAACGCGTTACGGCGTCAGTCTCAGCTCCATTAATCAGTTCCGAGATATAAAAATATTTGAGCATTATTAGAAAATTTATCAATTAAGTATTGTCCGTGGTTCACGCGAGCATTATTCGTTTAAATAAAACAATTTGAACGGTTTAAAACGTAGAATAGGTATATTATTTATCTTGTGAGGACCAAAATAGTTTATCTAAATATCAGCTGCACGAATCAGATGGCGCTAGCGTAGGTAATTTGATTTTGATATTAGAGATACCTACCCTCCATCTTCAGTGCCCCTGTGACTATTGCTTATACACAACCAAAACCTCGGGCCTTAGTTAAAATAAATCGAAAACAAGTTAACAAATATATTTCGCGTTTTAAACCGTAAGATTGGTTATTTTATAGGTTAACTAGCTTATACTGTACGTAAATGGTGTATAAAGATTTCTTTCATGCAATGCAATGCAGGAATATTGAAATATTAATTTCGACAAATGATAACTGTATGATCTTGGCTGATGCTGTGAAGGAATGACAGTCATTGACGAGGCGCAGTAATCGTTGTTATTTTCTTCTTCTAGTTTTAAAAACGTCAACGTTTGCTTTATACGAAAAAAATTACTTCTTTAAATCTAAATAAACTACCTTTAACTGCTTAAAACGCGAAATGTATTAGGCAAACTAATTTACAAATTATTTTAACTGCGGCCCGACGTTACATAATATGACGAATAAGTTAAACTAGTACCGTTTTAAACCGTTAAAAGTGTTTCTTTAAATGTGAACCAAATTTTTTTGCCAATAATTTTATTACAATGAGTATAATGTACCGGTAAAGTTAACTTGATAATTCTAGCGTCATCCTGTATAATCGGGTTTCATTGATTAATTTCTAGCGTCACCCTGTATAATCGGATTTCATTGATTAATATCTCAAGCCTTAGTTAACATAGTTCTACTAATTATATACAATTACACCATCAGTCATAGTAAACAGACATTTTTCTATGATTCACAAGATTAGAATTGAGGAAATTACAAGCCGTGATAGATTTTCCTTGTTTGCTGTTTAAAAAATGTCTAGAGTCATTTGAAAAAGCCATTTTCTAGTACAAAGGGTCTGTTAGATGTCTTTTTATATACATATATTATGTCTAGTATATCTAGGATGAGGATTCATATAACAAAGCAATAACCAATAATTTAGTGACACTAGACGCGTTGGGAAGATAAATATTATTAAATTACTAAATCAATTGGAGGCTTTAATCCTTAAATTAACTTATAAATTACCGAAAAATAATAAAAACTGTGATAAGTTTTATTACTTAAGGTTATGAAAAATAGATAGTAACAGATTCTCAGACCTACTGAACATGCATATAAAATTTCATGAAAATTTGTCAAGCCATTTCGGAGGAATATAATAACTAACACAGTGCCGCAGTTTTATATATTTGTAAAGTTATGAACAAATAAGCAACCAAGGACCTCGCGGAATTCAAGTCAACGAATTTATTTATTTATTTTATTTACACAAATATATGTCATAGTCCTTTAATATATTATCTTACAAACATAATATCTTAACTAGCGTATTTAAAAAAAAATGTATATTATACATTTCTATATATTCCATATTTTAAATAATATTTTCACAATTATTGGAATCTTATACATCATTCCTTCTCCTTGCAGTCCACCGGTACTTCAACTCTATCATGGGACGTCCACTTCTGGCTCGGTTCAAAGACCAGCCAAGACGAAGCCGGAGCAGCCGCGATCCTTACGGTTAACCTGGATGATGAGCAATTCCAGGGTCAAGCGGTACAGCATAGGGAAACACAGGGTCACGAATCCAGGCAGTTCTTGTCATACTTCGATCCAGGTAACGTATTGATAGAGTTCGGGCTTTTTGGTCTAATGGTGGCAATGTATGGCTAATAATCAACGGTTAAAGCTCCACCGGATCCAACATATTTCCAATTTTTCTGAAACATGCTGGACTTCGTCTGGAAGTCTGGATATTAAATGGACGGAAGGAATATCTAAATTCCGTTCAGGTCACGCACTACCCACCACAAACCAAACAGCCGTGAAGTTCAGAATCTCGATTCAGTTTCAATATTTAGATTTCCGAATATCCAAAACCGAAATAGGTCGGCACATCTTAAGATTTTATATGGAAAAGATAACATAAAAAACAAACGAAATTGCAATCAGTCTCCGTAGCTCCACAGCTAAAAGACTTGCCTAACATCGCGTTATGGGGGTCATGGCTTCGAATCCCGGATAAACGATAAATTATTTCAAACGGGCAAGCATAATCAACTTGCCTGTAAAAAAATCGATTAGTGTAACTGACACATTTTATTCAGTTATTATTTTGACCCTTTCCAGCCATACGTTACTTGGAGGGTGGTCACGCGTCAGGTTTCAACCACGTCACAGTCAATGCTGGCACTGAGAAGAGACTGTTCCAGATTAAGGGCAAGAGAAACGTTAGAGTGAGACAGGTGAGGCATAATGCGACCACAGAATAGTGAAAAAACCAGAAGGGACATTCGTTTTTGTATTATACGCTGCGTCGCTATGTCCAAAACAGTTGTTTTATTATAGAAATATTACTTAAGACCTAGGTCTAGAAGTTAGTCTAGTAAATCTAAGTCTGTAGCTAAATTGTTTTCTTCCTTTTTTGGGAAGGTGTTTTGGATGCAAAATTATTATGTTTCCAGGTGGAAGCAACTGTATCTTCCATGAACAAGGGCGACTGCTTCATCCTTGACGTAGACCATGACATCCTTCTATACGTCGGGGAAGAGGCGAAGACTGTGGAGAGGTTGAAGGCGATATCCGTGGCCAACCAGATCAGGGACCAGGACCATAATGGCAGAGGAAACATCGAAATTATAGGTTGGTGAAATCAAACCTAATTTATAACCATGATGTTTTAAGATTTAGTAAAACTATGTTTAATTAAACATGTTTGATATAGCCATTATATGTATAGTTCAAATTTGTTGGTATAGAATCTCGACAGACAGGCAGACAAACATTTCTTTTTATTTTATTTTTCACGAATCTGACGACTCGGTAGCTCACACACAGCACGGAACGCTGACGATGCCGGTTCAAGTCCTGCCCGAGACGAAATTTTTAAAAATTTATTTTCGATTTTTAAATCTGACGAATTTTTACAATTTTAAAGAGAATAAAGTATATTTAATTTATTGTTTCACTCGGAAATTGTAAAAAAGGAAAATAAAGAAAACATATCTACCCAACATGCATGATTCAACTATTAAAAAATAATGATTTGTAAACATTTTTGTAGATCCTTACTCGCACGAAGGTGACGTGCAGAAATTCTTCGAAGCCCTTGGCGACGGAGACCAAGATTCGGTGCCCGATGCTGAAGAAGGTGGTGATGATGAGGTGGGTTAGATTAGGAGATATAGATTTGGGAGGTGTAGTTGTACACAACATCTTACGCTTAGTAGATATAAATAAAACACTTACACTAACTTTAACCACGATAGATACTGGTTAATTTTAACCGTTAAAAAGGGTTTTATTTATTTGAACAGAACATTTCAAATTAGTGAATAATCAAACCAAATATACTTGAAAAATATACAAAACATCATTTATTTCAACGTTGCTCAGATCTAAAATGACTTAGTAAAGTTTGAATTGATTTTTTTTATAATTATAATGGGACTACTGTTTTAGAGAAACTATATGTGTAACAAAATGTATATTATACGGTAAAAATTACAATTTATATGCTTTTCAGTACTTCGAACGCAGCGGTTCCACGGAGGTGGTGCTAAGTGAAATATCTGATAGCTCTGGAAGTCTTGAAATTAAGAAACTTGACGGGCCCTATACGCAAGGACATTTGAACACCCAGGTAAATTCCATAGTCCACTTGTTTATCCCTTCGCATCCTGTTGCCTTAAAGAGATCGCTGGTTATAAGACCGCCTTTTATTCATACGCTAGTTCATAAGTTTTATATTCATGTAAACAAATTCTGTGGTGTTTATAATAGAAAATAATCACCAGTCAATCACATCATTAGTCCGACTCTCTAAAGCCAAATGGGTCGACAACACATCTTGTTAATATTATATTATTCAAGTTACTCAAATGCTTGTCTGTCCATCACGATCATAAAAAAGTTATTTTACAGTTTTACTAGAGAAGTTGACTGAGAAAGAAGGTAGGAGAACTACCCACATAAGTTGGCCTATATACCCATATGTAATAATATTTAGTTAATAACTTAAAAAACTCTCTCTCAGTCTTAAATTAGTTTTAATATGTTTCAGGAATGCTATATCTTGGATACTGGCAGCAGTATATATGTTTGGATCGGGAAGGAATCGAACGGGCGAGTGAGTTGTTGTTATTGTCAAATTGTTTTTAATCGACGAACTATAGAGATAAAATGATATGGGTACTATATTTTCTCTAGTCATCCGAATCCGAATTAAAAAAAAAATGTTTTGTACCAATCTTGATTTTAGAAAGTGGTGTTTTAAACGGCTGCTGCGTAGCATCCGAAACGTCGGAGGGGTTAGAATAATATGTAAATAAGTTTGCCCAATACATTTCACGTTTTAAACCGTTAAAATTTGGTTTAATTTAAAAAATAAAATGTTCATAAATGTTTTTCAGGAAAAATCAGAAGCAATGAAGAGAGCTCAGCACTATCTGGAAGCGAACAACTATCCTGCTTGGGTATGACGACTCTTTACATATTGACGTAAATTAAAAATCGACTTTAGGTCCAAACAGTTTTACGACAAGGGCAGGACTCGAACCGGTATTGTCAGCGTTCCGTGCTGTTGCTCTAACCAATTGAGCTACCGAGTCCTACGCGTCATCGTTGATTTTTTTAACTTATGAAGACATATTCTTTGGTTTCTTTAACTGTTTTTCGCAGCGCACTAAAACCCTCGAAGAAGAATAATTTTTGAAAACTTTAATATTTTTCACATGTCATTGCACATGATGGCGCTATATAATTTAAAAATCAAGAATAAATTAAAAAATATTGTCCTGCCCGAGTTATTTATTCATCATTATGGGTTTCCGAGGCGTACACTGCAAAACAATTCTTGCGGACGAAGTCGCCGACACAGCGACGACAGCAGCTGTTTTATAAAAATGTTTTTTTCATTTCAGGTGCACATCTCAAAAGTGGTGGAGGGCATCGAGCCAACATCCTTCAAACAGTACTTCGAAGACTGGAATTAGATAAGCTGTGTATTTTAGAACAATACTAGTCTTTGTCCGCAATTTTGCCCTGGACATGGTATTCCGATGAAGCGGGTTGTATTAAAATAACGCTAATATCAAGACAATAGTTAAGGTTTTTTCAACATGGCGCTTTTTTAACGCTCGTTTTTCTGCGCGTTTGAAAAACGCCGCGTGTACGCCTACGATCCTACGGTGCTCCTAATTGCGGTTATGCAATTGTGAAATATTCTTGTACTGTTGTCTTGGTTTAAACAGACAAACATACACACTTTCGCATTTGTAAGACTACAATAGAATTTCTACACTGTTGTCACATCGTTGTTTATATTACTTTTGCTTTTTACAAGTAGTATTTAATATTACGTAAAGCCATTTGTGCACTACTAACTGAGTAGATTGGCTTAGCTTTTATTTAGTCAAGCTATAGAATACACATACAGAAGAATCATTGTGTTTGCTTAAAACATCTACAGAGTATCAATATAAGTCTTCTGTTTAAAAATAAAAGCTTAGTTTACTGAGCTATCTAACCCTGTTTTTTTAATGACTTAACTCAATATAAGCTTAATTCAGTTAGTAGTGAAACAGCGGCTTAATTCTAAGCTATATTGTATGTTTAACATCACAACTAAGTTAAATCTTGATCGCACAAAATGTATTTTAATAAAGTTTTGTTAATAAAAGGGTGTTTTTTTTAATCGCTTAGTCTATATTTATTGAAGACTAGAATATGGCTAGTAACAACAGACCTAACCATAAACAAATAAATTTGTAGGTAGTCTATAAAAAATGCTTGCATTGCCATTGTCTATATATATTTTTTATCATTGACATAATTTTTCCACGAAGTTCTTAATTAATACTTCCCCAGAAGTTTTACTAATAAACACGATAAATCTTACTCATAACAAACAATACACACAGGACAGTCTTACTGTAACGGACATACAATTATGGCTGTTCCCGATTTTTTTAGATAAGAGCCTGAATAAATCTACTTTTGCTAATCGAAAATGTGTGAGTGATTAAATAGTTAAATATGGATATATTAATTGTTTGAAAGTGTACTAACAATATACTATATGTAGGTAGTTGAAACAATTTCTTGCTTTCTGTAGACTACAGGGAAATAGCAAAGTAAGCGACAAAAAGTCGGCTACGTTCTAGTTAAAAAAGGTTGAAAACGTTTCGGATGGTCTGGGCGTGGCTAGGTGGACCGGCAGGGCCCGGTGACATAAAGAACAAATCCGCTCCTCATCCCCCCCTTTTTGCGTAGCTTGAACTTTTATAAGCCTCCAAAATTATAGATAGGAAAAAACTGCTTCTTTAAAAACGTTAAAAATTGTCTTCTTTTTTCTAACTCTTAACTCTTTTCAAAGATAATGCTGCGGGATTCCGGTGGACAATACCACCGGACCCACGATAACTACGCCACTGGCAGCAGCACTAGTCCCCACGTGACCGCCACTGATGCAAAATTGAGCTGTAGTTAAAATAAACTGTTAATAAGTTAATTAATACGTTTTGCATTTTTAACCGTTAAAAGTTTTTTACTTAAAATACAAAATATAATCACAGACGATGCCAGGTGCAAGAGCTACTAACTTAAAAGCGATACAGATAAAGACGCAAGCGCAAGGCCAGTTCCCACTAATCGCCATTTTTGTTTACTTGACATTTGACCGATACAGAATGGAATCGAGAATGTAAAAATTAGAGGCCCCATTTTTATGTGTTGCCCCACAGTAAAACTGTCATCCAATAACTTATTATGTTTACAACGATATTAATTTACTTAAATCTATAAATTTTAGTAAAATGGAGTATTGTTTGTTGTTTAAATACGAACATATACAGTTAAATAAAACTATAAATATGTAAGTTAACATATTTTTAATTTATTTTAACTACGGTCCGGTGTGCCGGATGCTTTACATCATTTGTGGTCACAGGGTAATGCTACACTGAAGCCATGCGGCTGTTTCCATTTGCATATTTAATTTGTAAATAACAATCATTGTTAAAAATGTTTTATATAAATTAACAGGATTTTTAAAGTCGTTAAGCGTTTCTTTTTATCATTAGTTACACTGTTTCCCCTAACACCTTTGAGTTATCGACGTGAAATTGTATTATATTATTTGGTATACATATCTTTATTTTTATTTATTTAGGTAGTTAAAACATAGGGCTCCAAAAACTTTCTCAGTCTTAAATCCGGCTCTGTCGTTTCCACGGCACTATTCAAAGAATTGCGCTCGTAAACAGCAGTTGTGATTGTGTTATAGCTATAAAGGACGTGTATTTTATTTTGATGTAAGTTTTTTATTATATATTATTTAAGTTGGATAGCCAAGAGGGTATGTATATGTGATTTAGTAAAAGTACAAGTTGCAAATATATAGATCAACACAGCATTTGATTCAAAGGCCATATGTCCTCAGCTTTGTGTAAGATACACGGTACAGTCTCGTAAATTGAAAAACACGTATCTCAAAAGCTATCGTTGTCTTTACCTGCCATTGGAACAACTAATGAAAATCTAATGTCTACTTTTGGCCCGGACACTATGGAGATTGAGCAATATATTTTATTTTTTATAGGAGTTGACTTCAAACGGCACAAGCAAGCAATTACTTGACGCTTCGATAAAGTTGCTAAGCTAGTTTTTAATGTTATGCTGACGTTACATAAGTTTGTTGTTTAGGTAATCAGGGCAATGCCCTTTATAGAATACTAGCTGGGCCAGCGATTTCGTCCGCGAGAATCGTTTTGTTTGTTTATGTAAAAATCAAATCTTTATAAACTTAACCTGTTACCCACGACGTCGATCGCGTCCCTTTCCGCCGCTCTTGCAGGTTAAGTCGCGGACTTTTTTTAGATCATTAAAAGAGGAATCATTCTTTCATACATATTTTTTGGCTATCATGAACCATGCAGTGTACGCCTCGGGAACCCGTGACGATGAACAATTTTCCCATTTTTTTCACAATGATCACTGTATCTTCGTTCTCATTAGTCACAAGGCGATGTTTTATAGTCTATAGTCATCTTCGATAAATGCTCTAACCAACACAGAAAGATTTTAGAGAACCCATAGTTCCTGAGATTAGCGCGTTCAAACAAACAAACTCTTCAGCTTTATATATTAGAATAGATATAGACTGTTGCAATATAAAACGGCTCGACAGATTTCAATGTAACCAAGACAAAAATATTTTTTTTAATTTGAACCAGTATTTCCTGAGATTAGCGCGTTCATACAAACAAACTCTTCAGTTTTAAATATTGGTAGACATAATTTGTTTGAACGCGATAATCTCAGGAACTATTATTTTTTAAAATTGTGGGTAGTTACATGAAATTTTGCTTGGAATTATTGGAATAATGTTTTGTTATTACATAACTTTTAGATAAAATGTTTGATAATTTAATCAATGTAATACAAGTGACCCGAGGGTTACTTCAATCTATTTTTTAGGTTCTCGTTGGTCTAATAGAAGCAAAGATCATCAAACCGATATCAATAATTTAAAATTTCTCTAAAATTGTACTGTTGGATTTTGTCTTAAAATAGATAGTAAATGGGCGGTAGGAATGTTATGTTCGAAGTACCGTCAAAAAATTTACAAGTCGTGAAGTTTAATCGCGTTTACTGAAACCGTTCTGTCAGTGGATTTTCGAATGCCACAAATGGGTTGACAGCACATTATTATTGTTATATTTGGCTGTGGAATTTTTCTTTCCAACGAGTACTTTCCTCTTTCTTTAATAAAATAATTTGGTTTTTTATTGTACGTAAATCAAAATTAGATAATCTCAAAGTACATGTTATTCTATCACGACCAAGCAACATAATTGATTTTAACATTAATTAAAACAATTTAAACGGTTTCAAATGTATAATCAATTATTCATATTTAGGTATTGACAAACCGATGACTCGAATCGTAAGTGGTAATAGGTGTAAGGAAATTTAAAAGTGTCTAACTAAACACAGTTCAGTATCTTAAATCGATTTTTAACCATTAGTGAAATAACGAATTAACGGGTTAAAAAGCGAAATATATTAGTTAACTTATTTACAGTTTTTTTTAATACGGCCCGACGGCCGTGCACCGGCACGGCCATATCTTTAGTCCCACCATGATCACGATTGCTGCAAATCATCCGACACGTCGGGTCGTAGTTAAAATAAATTCGTTAACTAATGTATTTCGCGTTTTAAACGGTCGAGAACGCATCTTTTTTAGATGTTATATGGCTGTAATATTTCATCAGCCTCAAGTGAACCTCAAGCTTATTTGTCCACCTCTATCATAAAAAAATCGCGTTTTAAACCGTACTTTTTTTTTAATTTACTAACTGTACTCGCGGAAACTACCGACAATACTTGGTTGATTTTATAATTTACCTATATTCGAGATTCGAATCTAGGACCTTTACTACCTATTTTTCCACTGTGCTACACTATGTTGACTATATTATGAGTCATAAAGCTGTTACTCATTGTATGGCCTTACCGTGACTAAGACAAGTGTGTGAACGGAATAAAAAAGATTAATTGTTCTTCTTTCCTTGATTAGACATTTTCCTTGTTTACAAGCAAATCCTAGTTAGGTACTACATAACGTTGCTTTGTATGTCTTAGAGATGGGCCGAGTACTCGGTTGGTACTCGGTACTCTGCGTACTCGGGTTTCTAATACTCGTACTCTACCGAACTCGGTTATACTGTGTTATTTGATAATTTATTTAAGAAAAGCAATACGTTTAGGTAGATATAGTTAAAACAGCAGTGTTAATCAGAAGGTATTATTTATTATAAGTAATTTATGAAATCTTTGAAAATCTCAATAAAAAAAATTCAAACTATTCTAATGAGCAGTAATGAGACGACATTATTTTTATATGCTTGTTAACACGCGAAATGCGAATTTGATTTGAGTTACTCGACCGGGTAAAAAAAATGTGCCGAATCAACCTCGGTAGGTACTCGTTACTCGGCAAAAGTGTTATTTGGCGCATCTCTAGTATGTATCTATTACACACTAGATTGGTTTTAGAGCTCCATTTGTTTATTGTATTCATACCTTGTTGTTTTATTTTGGCGTTTGTTGGCATTGAAAATTGAAATCTAAATGGACATTAAAGGGGGGGCACAATATTACGTACATTTTTCACTCTTTAGGCCATGTTGATCTAATGACAAAATCTTTGTGTAGGTGTATTCTGCGCGAGAGGCGTCTGTATCAATAAGTTGAATAAATCGACGATGAGGTGTAGGACTCGGTAGCTCAATTGGTAGAGCAACAGCACGGAAAGCTGACGATGCCGGTTCAAGTCCTGCCCGAGTCGAAATTTTTTTTTAACTTATATTCGATTTTTAATCTAGATGCCTTTTATCGAGTTTTTTAGTCTAAAGGGTCACTGTCCATACCAGAGATTTGTTATAATGGAGGAGGATGGCGCTATCGACCTATTATATCTGAAATTCCACAGCATGAAACCGAAAGGCGAACTAACTTGTCGGCTGTTTCATATGTCGGTGGTTTATGATCCGGACGGAACTTCGATATTTCTATCATCCATTTTATATCCGCTCTTCCACAATCCAGTATTGTAATGTTTCATAAAAATTAGTTAGAAATATTTTGTACCCAGTGGGAATCAAACCCTCGACCTATTGATCTATACATTGCTCCCATCATATCAACGAGCTCGTCAGAAGCCCTAAGTATAGTCGCGTTTCGATTTCAATCTGTGGACTTCCATATGACCAAAGCCAAAATAGTTTGGAAGTTTTATGGCTGGGTTAATTTGCCTTTTATCAAATGAATCCAAACACTATGTTGATGATGTTACTTAACAACCTGTATTTGATCAAAGCAATGGGAACTGGTTGGCTGATGATTTTTCTGCAAAACAAATATTTACTAACAAATACGCTTTGCATATCAGGTCAAAATCTACAAATTGAGTTTGCAAATCTACTTGTTCTAGAATGAAGTTGATCTGCATAGCTGTACTGGCGCTATGCGTGTGCGCATATGCCAGAGTTACAAAACAAACCGCACCAATCTCGCCGCAGATAACCTCGCTTAACGATAAGGTAAGTCTCTGAATATCATTCTATGTAACAATATGGGTTTTTCATTAAATACATTATCAGTACGTTTAAATTTTAAAAAATAATGGTTTAAAACGCACAATATATTAGTTGACTTGTTTGCAATAAAAAAAAGACATTTAAAAAGCAAATCTGCTTCGCGAGCGCCATCTGTCTCTTTTGTTTGACTTTGACATTAGAGACAGCCTGCATCTTCAGTCACGACCACGTCTGCTGCAAAGCATCAACAACGTCGCGTCGCGGTCTTCGATCAACGCCTTATCTAAAACTATTTTTCAATTGAGTCTTAAGTCAACATCTCAATTATCGTCCACGATAATTCATGATAATTGAACGATGACGCAAATCCAGCATTGTAAAAGTACGGTCAGCAAAATTGTCGAAGCTCAAATGAGGCAGCTAAAGCCAGGTCGTTGGTTCGATTTCATCTGAAAATCTGGATATTAAATTTAGGAATATCGAAATATGCTCTTCAGTTCTTTCTAATCGCGTTTCGGTTTCAACCTGTGTCAAAAATAGTTCGACAGCGAATGTTGTTGTTATATGTTGTATCGAGTGAATGCCCCATGCTTGTCTATCCTTTACTATCATAAAAAAGTCATAAATACAAACATGTAAAAAATAAGTATTTAGTTAAAAAAGTACTTGCAATGTAAAATGTTACAAAAATCCATTGGATAGTCATTACGAACAGACTCACTTATTTAAATAAAACGCTTTAACGGTTTAAAACGCGATGTATTTGTTAAACTTATTTGAAAATGATTTTTAACTTCGGCCCGCCGTTTCGGATGCTTTGTAGCAGCCGTGGTCACGGGGAGAATCGCTTATCCTAAACAACATAATACAAATATTTTAATCTAATTTTCACTCACGGCTTTTGAACTGGTTAATGGATGGAATGGATGAATGGATGGAAATATGCTATATGGTTAATGGGTCCTGGTTCTATTCCCATTAGGTCAAAAAAGTTTCTTATCCAATGTTCAGCTACAAACACATTTGCACTTAAATGTTAAAACGGACAATGTTTTCCGTCTTCCAGGATGCTCGACAGAAGGCCAGGGTCCATCCAGCTTTCGCCAACGCCGGTAAACGAGCTGGTGTTGAAATATGGAGAATTAATGTTCGTATACATTATCCTACTATCGAGTATGGAAAAGGCAAAATTTCATTAAAAAATATCCAGCCGTTTGGGCTAAAAATAGCAAGCACTTGAAAGTTATTGATTCTGAGAAGAACAGAACTGAGCTTAGATTTGGCCCATTGATTAAGCGTGTTGCGTAGGTTGAGCATGCGACATTCCGGGTTCGAATCTCGGGTAGAAAGGTTTTTTTAAAGTGTATTGTTATGTTCTATTTCTTAAATAGAGTTATCTAAATAGTATTACAAATTCACATAGTACTGATATACGCTTTTCATTTACGACCTATGAGGCCGTTAGAGGCAGAGTGGCCTAAAAAACAATAAACATATTAATAAGGAGGAAAATAAAAATGCACAATTGACTATTAAAATATAAATATCTCAAGACATAAAATTGCAGTTAGGCTACTCTGCCTCTAGCGGCATATTATTTATCATCATATCTTTCAGTTTTTTTTATTTATCGTAATCGAACTGTGTACTTTCAGAACTTCGAACCAACGGTGGTACCGCAGAATGATTTTGGCAAATTCTATAAAGGTGATTCCTACATAGTTCTTAAGGTAAGTCGAGTAAGATATACAAGTTTCATTATATATACTAATGTGATAAAGCTGAAGAGTTTTTTTTTTGTTTGATTGAATGCGTCAATCTCAGGAACTACTGGTTCGGAATGAAAAGTTGTTTTTGATGGTAAGAGCAATTATCGAGGAAGGCTTTAGGTTATATAAGAACGGGCTGCGACCAATAGCAATAGTGGAAATTATGGGAAAGAGGGAAAAAACATAATTATTCTTTTGAGGAATGAAGATGGTCAAAACTTTAACTTAACTTAAATTTATCTTTAAATGATTTTAAATAGTCCGAAGCTTTCCTCGGAAAATTAATTTTTAATTAAAACAGGTAAATACTGTCTATAGTTTACGCGAGTAGTACACATTTAAATAAAACACTTTAACGGTTTAAAACGCGATATATTATTATTTATACGGGTCTCCCCGTGACCACGGCTGCTGCAAAGCATCCAAAACGTTGGGCCGAAGTTAAAAATCATTTTCAAATACGTTTAACGAATATATCGCGTTTTAAACCGTTAAAGTGTTTTATTTAAATTAGAACAGGTAGTTCGTGAGATCAAGGCTTTTAAACAAACAAACTCCAGCTTTATTTTATTGGTATAGTTTTTTTTTAATGATAGATGAAAAAACAGTTGCATTCACTTGATGGAAGAAGAAATACCAGCCATATAACATCACAAAATGCGCAGTCGCCCTATTTTAGCTTATATATTTGAATTATTGATATATGTCTCAAGAGGCGATTGAACAATAATGCCCTGCGCTTTGCTAAACTTTTTATTCCATCAGACGACAGCCGATAAACGCAACAATTTATCCTGGGATATACATTATTGGATTGGAAGTCAGGCCACGCAGGACGAGTCTGGTGCAGCCGCCATCCTGACAGTGGGTTTAGATGACAAGTTTGATGGCAGAGCCATACAGCACAGAGAGGCTATGGGCCTGGAGAGCGACATGTTCAAGGGCTACTTTCCATCAGGTAGGTCCTCCTAGGTCCCCACGAAAGCACCGTAGTGGGCTGGCAGTGTTTTTAGTTGTTCTGGCCGGCTATTGTTTCCAAGGAGGTTGTAGTGCGATTTACCACACTTCCTACGTTACTATTGCGCATTACAATCACTAAAAAAAAAGGCTTGTCGCTCTAATCACGCCAAGTGATTCCAGATGTTGTCAAAAAAAATGCAATCCACTTTCTATTATTAGAACTTGAATATGAAAATGATAATTAGATGATGTGCCAACGAAAGTATTTCCTCGAGTCCTGCTCGTGTCATAAGAATTTTTCCTCAAGTTAAGCCGACCAGACACAAGAAGTGGTTTTTATTAATAAGATTAGTTAATTAAAATAGGTATATAAGTTAAAAATCGATTATAATTTTTAAAAAAATACGACAAGGGCAGTACTCAAACCTACATCCACAGCGTTCCTACACGTCCCTCTTGTGCATGTGAGAACATGTTAATTATTCTCTAAATAGCACTAAGTCATTTTTAATAATTCAATGATTTGTTCTTATATCAATTTTGAGATGATAAGTATATAGTGTATATGTAGTTATATGTGTATATGTTTGCAGGGATCCGGTATTTAGATGGCGGTAATGCATCTGGCTTCAAACACGTCGTCACGAACCCTGGCGCTGAAAAGCGCATGTTCCAGGTGAAAGGAAAGAGGAACGTGCGAGTGAGACAGGTAACTTCGGAGTTCGGTGTATTAGTATATATTTAAACATACTTACAAGCTCAAAATTAGGCTCACTCGAGCTTATTTTTAAAGCATGAAGTTACTTTAGCATGTGCATGCCTACCAACATTACGCAAACTTTACACGGATATATAACTTACTGTCAAATTGATTATCAAATTCTGTGAAGTCGAAAAAATGTTTGTCGTGATGTATTTTGTAATAGAACACTTTCAACGGCTTAAAAGGCTAATATATCTTAATATAATTTTACTTTATTTTAACGAGGGCCCGACGTGTTAGTTGGTTTGCAACTTACGTAGACGCGGGGAACCGATAGTATATAGGGCCGTAGTTACGTTACGTACTACAGACATTACGTGATATATTTTTCTTGTTCCTGGCAGTGTATTTGTATTAGGAATTAAATCAAGAATTCTAGTATTATAAGCTGTTTATTGATTGCTGTTTTACTGTTACTGATTACAGATTAACTGTTTGACTTTGGAATAGACAGTTTGACGGGCTAATTGTTCTAGTAATATCAATAACGGCGCTAAAATAAATTCTTATATGTTAATATAAATAAAATTCCCGCACCACCTGATAAAAATTGGTTATTGCTACAGGTGGATCCTCTCTTCTCGTCAATGAACAAGGGCGATTGTTTTATATTGGACAAAGACAATGACATTTTGGTCTTCGTTGGAGACAAAGCTAAGAATGTTGAGAAGTTGAAGGCAATATCCATGGCCAACCAGATCAGAGACCAAGACCACAATGGGAGAGGAAAAGTTGAAATAATCGGTAAGAGCTCCGTCCGTTGTGTTTAAAATCTTTTAAAATGCGATACATATTAGTTAAACTTAGTAGATTTTTCTTTTAACTACGGCCCGACGTTTCGGACGCTTCGCAGCAGCCGTGGTCACGCAGAGACCGGTCCAAAATGTCGGACCGTAGTTAAAATTACTTTCAAAGAAGTTGAACTAATATATACCGCGTTTTAAACCATCATACTGTTTAATTGTATACAAGTCGCGTAAACTGCAGTCAGTATATAATATTTAGTTGGTCAGTGGTTGATATTTTAGTTCTTATTATAGTTTACAGAAACTTAATACGAAATGGTCAAAATCTCTAACAACTATATAAAAGCTTTGAACGGTTTAAAACGCGAAATATATTAGCAATATTTTATCGTGGTCACAGCTGCAAAGCGCGCGAACTTCGCGTCGTAGTTGTCATTAGTTTTTATTAAAATGTGTACTAACCTAAACTGCTATATCTTTTAATTTCAGACAAATACTCCAGCGAGGTAGATATCCAGAAATTCTTCACTGCTTTGGGATCCGGGAGCAAAGATCTTGTGCCCGAAGACAGTGCTGGCGGTGATGATCAGGTATACATAGATAATAATCTATACTAATATATAAAGCTGACAAGTTCGTTTCTTTGAACACACTTAACCCGAATTATCGAGGAAGGCTATAAAACATCACGCTGCGACTAATCGGAACAAAGAAACAGTGGGACATGTGAAAAAAAAAACGAAGCAAATTATTATATACTTGTGAGTCTCCGTTGCGTGCGCTACGAAAGCGTTTTAAGACGCCAAAAAGTATGTCAGAGAGAACGATTCCTCTTTAAATGATCTAAGCAAAAAAGACGGGACGCGGACGACGTCTTGGTAACAGCCACATTTTTTTAAATGTTGAGGTTTTAAATGTTGCAAAATCAAATTTTAAATACGCACAATAACTTTTCCACGCAGACGAAGTCGCTGACACAGCTGGTTATTTATAATTATTGACGATATTTATTCGTTATCGTTTATTGACAGGCCTTCGAGAGGAACGAAGAGAACACCGTCTCTCTGTCTGAAGTTTCCGACAGCACGGGATCAGTAAAAGTGACAGCTTTAAGAAAACCATACACTCAAGAACAATTGAAACCGCAGGTATTTAAACATCGCTGATCTTTACTAACATATAAAGCTGAAGAATTTGTTTGTTTGTTTGAACGCGCTAATCTCATGAACGCATGGTCGGAGTAGAAAAAATATTTTTCTGTTGATTAGAGCATGCATCGAGGAAGGTTGTAGGCTATAGAATGTCGTGCTGAAACTAATAGGAGCGAAGAAAAAACGGGAATTGTGGAGAAAACGGAGAAAATTATTCACCTTTGTGGGTATCCGTTGCATAGGCTGCGAAAACGGTTCAAAATACCCGAAAACTATATATGAAATATAATTCCTCTTTAAATGATTTTAAAAAATGTCTACAGGACTATAGGTCCATCTTTTAAGATAAACTTGCAAGAACGACGGGATGCGATCGATCTCGTCGGTCGTGATCAATATTGTTGCTCATAATAACTATTCTACGCAGGCGAAGTCGCTGACACAGCTAGTATAATGTATAGCAATTAAATAACACTAGACTATCGTCTCCTATACCAAAATATCACGGACAGCGTTAGGTGGCTTTTTCGGCTATTTTACCATTTTTGGTCTTCGCTTAGTCGAATGCGCATCATCTTCTGATGATGTCAGTGTCTCTTAACGAATAATGATCTAACGAACCTAAATAAATTTCCTTTAATGACCTTTTTTTTACAGGAGACTTACATTTTGGATACAGTCAGCGGAAGCATTTACGTATGGCTAGGGAAACAGGCATCGCCAAAGGTACCATTTAGTTTAATAATAAAAAATCAACATGACAAATTTGGATGGCATAAAAAGGTTATTTACCGATCTTTTTCTTATCTATTTTAGGAAAAATCTGAAGTAGTAGCAAAGGCACAACAAATATTGACATCAAAGAACTATCCTTCATGGGTAAGTAAAATTATTTTAACTATGGTATGACGTTTTCTTAAAAAGCGCTAATTAGTATACGTCGCGTTTTAAATTTTTAGCAGTGTTTTATTTAAATGTGTAGGTACCACTCGCACTACAGACAATACTTAGTAGGACAGTATTTGTTAAGAACCCAAGAGCAAAAACCGTATCAATTTTTCACATAAATATGTATGAATACTAAATACGTTAATTTATAAAGCAAGCAGATAATCGACATGCGTCCCGATAAAAAAGTAAAAAGTATAATACCAGCATTTAAAACCGGCACCTACTTTTACATCAAGTTTATAAATATTATTACTGGCTTACAAACTGTGTTCTGCTAAAGTGCCACTGACCTCAAATTTAAACAATGCTTATTAAATCATTTCTATTTAACTAAATCAAATTATATATAACTTTGTGCGAAATAATTTCATTTTTTACTAAATAATATTTTTTAGTAAGCAATCGGTATAATGTGTATAGACCACAGACTACATGTATTACATATTGCTCTGTGTTCTAATAAATTATTCTTTTGTTAACAGGTGCAGGTAGTCAAAATACCCCAAGGCACTGAACCTGCGGCGTTCAAGCAATACTTTACCACTTGGAAAGATGTCGGCATGTCACATTCAAGATTAGTTTAGATAACAGCATTACATTATTTATGCAACAAACAACGGAACACGGCCAAAACTTTTTGTTAGTCATATAGTGTTGTTCTGCACTGTCATAGTGTCAATTGTCACCGTAAAATTGAATCCAAGAAATACTCAAGTTTTGTTTTTAGAATAAACTTTTACAATCTTCGTAAGCAATTTTTATTTTACAGTACTATTCTTATCATTTTTAACATCAACGCTAACTTTTACATAAAACGATCGGCATGTATGTCAAATGACCAGCAAATATTTTCCATCACGCATCTGTGATCACAGTACGGCTCTAAAATAGACAAAAAATATACGGTAAAACGGTAGACAGATACTTCCTATTTTCAAAATTATCGCTTAGCTTTGTTATGTTGTTAATAATTGATAATGAATAAAATATTATTAATAAAACAATATTAAGACAATGTGCAATTAATAATTATTATAAATAATAAGTTACATAAAAAACCGTAAACTTTCGCACGCACTCAAATGTATTATTAGTACATGTTGCCACGTTGTAAAATTTACTTAAAAACAAAAATGTGAAGTGAAACTACGTTTAAAGATCTCGTTACCAGGTCATTAAATATTAAAAAAAAAACATATTGCCATTCGCTAATTGCTGTCACTGTTGCAGCTGACATTTTGTTTAAAACATTTGGAGATAGTAGACTTCTTTGAACTTGTGTTTCTTAATTTTGGCTTGTCCGTCTTTCAAGTTGCCTGCTCGCAAATTCACTGTTATGCAGAAATAATTAGTCCCATTATCGTATTGTTACGTTGTTGTATCAGTGTTAGCATTTTGTGATGAAGGTCAACTTTGTTTTGTTCAAACACTGAGTTTAACTCGTTATAAGAAAGTAACATATGCATCAATGTGATTTGTCAATAGTATTGCAAAATGTGTAAATATTTTGATCATTCCGATCAATAAAACACAAGAATGTTTTAACCTCAAAGAAATAAAAGTGACAAGTCTCAGTATCGAAAAATGTCTTTTATATTTTGTATTACTTGGGTCTGTTTAGTTGGATATCGTTAATAGTGTCTCTATTTAAAGATTAATGTGTTTGATTTGAGTCGGTAGTAAATTGACTGTGTCATCAGTGCTCTGTCAATTCTTGATAAATTATCTGTTTCAACAGTTGTCAAGTTAGTGAGTTATTTTGTAGTTGGTCGATTTGTCCTTAGTGTTATGTCAAATTCTGTTTCTCTCCTAGCTATGTTTTATCTCCATAATTTATCAATTATGACTTCAATGATGCTGTAGGAGTAAAAAGTACATACATCCTAATTGTATGTGTAAATAAAAAGACTTAGAAAACGCTTATTTCATTGACATATTAAGCAATCATCTTTCTAGTTATTTTTGTGTACCACTGTTTATAAGGTATTGGAAATTAAGCTGTGGCCGTATTGTGGAAAAATTAGGTATTGAACAAAAAGCCGTATATATTTAAAATATTTTTTTTTGGGAGTGATTCTTCACTTGTAAATGGAGACTTGTATCAAGGATTTCTATGTACTCTTTGTTCAACTTCTTCATGTTCTCAATCAATTTTTGTTTTGAACATTGAATAGTTGGCAAGTTGCGCAAAATAATCAAACCTGGGAGCTCGACAGCTGAATGTTATCACCACGGATTAAACTATGTTGTGTATATGAATTTCAAATAAAACTTGTTGTATAATGGATTAGAGTTTGGTCAATTTTCATATACTAAAATTGTGGTTTTTAAATAATATGTTGTCATTATCTTAATGATATTGAAGACCTATGTTTTTTTGTTAGTTTTTATTGATAGAAGTCAATTATCATAAGCTAATCATTGGCATATTACTGGGTAGGTTTACTGGTTCCTACATGGAACTTCATTGGTGTTTTTCCTTGTTTTATCTCTTGGTAGGTATAGACAAGTACCTTTTACTTGTACTGATATATTCTGGATTGTCCTCTGTTGCATATTCACTGCTTGGACCAGACATAGATTTAGCAGGTGTTTTTTTTATAAAGAATGAAAAACATGCACATGTTATATATACAGCTGCCTAGTTTTAACAAGAGGTCAAGTTGGCAAGTCTTTTCGTTTGTTTTTTTTTATCTGATCTGAGAACCTGGACAATTATAGACAAAAATAGAAAATTGTGGGTCAGGAGCTCCATTGCTTTGTGATTAGATTGAATCACGCTCAAATTAGACATATTTTAAAAATAAGTAATATTAATTACTTTTAAGGATTTGTTTTTATTTTTAAATTTCTTTATTTAATATTGACTTACATCATGCTTAGTGTACATTGATAACATCCTAGATTAGCAACAAAAGAAGTTGATATACATTAATATCTACAAAAGTATATAAGAAGAAATAATACTAAACTGTGTTCACATCATAAAATGCTTTAGTTACTATTTGAGGGTAGATAACTATTTTTAGAAATGAGTTAATATTTTAAACATTACGTAAATAAAAGAAGACATTGAGCAAACAATCTTTCAAGGATTGAGTTGTTAAATATAGTAGAGGCTTTTGCAAAGCCAGGCTGACAAACAACAACATTCATGAGAAGTAAATCTGCATCACAAACACTTTTACATTACAGACCTAAAAATATAGGTACCCTTATATTTCTATATTCTTCGCCGTCATTAGGATGTGAGTCATAATAATTAATAATTTGTTATGAAAATAGTGAATGTCTAATTATCGCAATATTAACCAAAGATGTATTTGCAGTTTCCAGTTGTAGGTCTAATTGGAAAAGTATGCTCAGGTTCGTGCTTCACGCTCTGCCTGAATCATGCCTTTAACGATGCACTAAATCATTCCAGACAAACTGTTTATTTTCTTGCCAAGATGACGGCCATATAGTCGTTTAAACTGAACAGCATTTACTGATAAGCCAGGTGGTAGATACTTAAAAAAAATGACTTGTTTAGCAGTCAAGCCATTATTTTTGCCCTCGAAGTCTTTAAGTTTGTACCGAGAACTTTCGCTTTATCGTAAAAAAAAGGCCAATGTTATATTTCTCAACAAATAATGTACATTTAAAGTATAACTTTCGCCGAGGTGGCAATCGTATACATTTGCGATTTGTTTCCTTTAACTGTCTTCAGCCTTCTACTGCTTCTTTAATTTTGTGTGTATCGACACGCGTTCTTTTCTTACGTGGCATTTTTTTATTGTAAAATTATTAGTGTCAAATAAGTTATGAGTCTCGAAAACAAGGAACAGTTGCTCTTTCTAGTACTGAGGTTGAGTATATGGCACTTGCAGAGGCTTGTAAAGAAGCAATTTATTTAAAAAAAATAATGTCAGAACTATGTGTTAAAAATACATCTTTAAGCTTATTTAGTGATAAAATAACCCACCTCCTTCCCATGGTCCTACCGACCTGTCGGCCATACGGACCGGGTCGCGACCGAAACTACGGGAGATGCCCCGGGACTGCTCGTGGCGTATAACCGGTGCACTCTCTTGACTCCCTACACATGCGCTTCCGCTGTCCCTGGGAACATTCTCCCCACCGGTGGGGCTTTGCTGACGCAGAGGACGCCTCTCACTGAAATGGCGACCACTCAGCCTCCTTTTAATAAAATTGCCTTTTAAACTTTTCTTTCATGCGTGTACTAAACATATTGATGTACATCATAATTTTTGATATTCGCCGGAGACGTTCCAAACATTTCATTTGTTCTAATATTGCCATGTTGAAATTGTTATTTAGCGTTCTTTGTTTGCATTCTGTCACAGCAGTTTGGGGCACGATCATATCTGTTAATATTACAACTATATATTATTTTACATTTGAGTATAGTTAATGGCTCATCACGATTTATCCATTTTTTATCTAAACTGTGGAGGTATTAAGAGCAAGCTCGTCAAGTTGAGGCTTAATATTATGTTGAGCAGTTACGATGTTATTGCGTTATTAAACCTGGTTAATTGGCTCTTCTTTAGACGCAGAGGTTTGTACAAGTGACTATACCGTTTTTAGGCGTGATAGGAACCTCTCATTAAGTGGTGGTGGATCATGCTCTTACGCCAGTTGTCATTTCATTCAGCATTAAAGGCAATCTCTTGCGGTGGTATAAACGGTTATATATCCAATCCAGTAACTGTTACATTCGGCGTCCCACAGGCTCCATACTTGGATCCTTGCTCGATCTTTATTAATCACATATCGTTATGTTCACTTCATCGTCAGTTAACTATGACTTGCGGCGACTGAGAATTACGAGAAGTAGTTAGTGCCAGGTTGCAGAGTTGAAAATTCTCTATAAATCATTAAAATTGGTAACGCTAATGTTGTATAAGTCGGAATATTCAGGAGAATGACATATCCTGTTTAAGCGGTGAAATAAATGATTTATTAAGGTCTCTGTTCGCGCTGATAAATTTTTGTCGAATTTAGATTTCAAAGATGCTAAGTTATTTTGGACTTTTGACAACGCTTCCTTAACAGATATAAAATCTGTTATAATAACTGGTTGTAAATGGGATTCCAATATCTCTTCCGAAGACTACGATGAGATTTGTTATTTAATTTATTTCCAGTCTTATTGAGTTTCGCTATTTTTTTTCCTTTCTTTCTCCTCTAAAAAAACTTTCAAAGGAGTCAGCGTCAGTACGGTAGCATGTTGTTTCCGCTGTCTTTTCCTTGGCTTAGGAAGTCGTGCAACAGTTGGTGTCGTTGCTATTGTAGCAAAGCCACCTCTTAATACATGGCATCAAGAATCTTTCTTCAACTCTTGAATTGGTAGCAGGCAGAGACGGGACAGTGCTCGTCCTATAACTCCTGCACTGGTGCGGACGTCCACTACTCGAGTTATCCCATCGCTGCCTGGGTAGAGAGCGTGAACTCTTCCAATCCGCCATTTCATAGGGGTTGATTGTCCTCCTTGAGAATAACCATGTCTTCTCCTAGTACTTTCGGCATTCTTTGACGCCATTTCGTGCGTGTCTTCAACTACATATTCCGTACTCCATGGATTCCAAAAATGCTGTTTCATGTAAGTTTTTCATTACGTAGAATTTATGTTGGAATTGTAATTTCCCATGACATAATGTCGATATTGTTTCGCCGATTCTTGTTACTTGGATAGTCTCATTACGTATGGGAATAGTCCATCGTTCAGCTATCTCGTATTTCACCGCGCTAACAGAAGCTCCGGTATCTATCAGCCAGGTGTGGGAATTATTAAAAACTGACAATGAAATTGAATTGCAACTATGAAATGCAAAAATATTAGCGTCGAAAATGTTCGGCCTTGCTGACATCGCGATGTGTTATTATAATATTTAAAACACTCACCTGTACGCCTTTTAGCAATAAACATGTTTTCTTGCAAATCTGTAGCAAGAACGGTCACCTCCTCTACCTTCGCCGCTCGGATGACGTCTTTAAGTTTATTGTCATTTCTGGCAGCTAAAATAGTAGTTAAACTCTTGTTCCGTAGGCCGGTAACAAACCGTTGTATCGCGATTTTTTCGTAAACCGGTTGTAATACACCGTACGACTCCGGCTTGTCATCCGCCTGTGCAACAGTTAAATTCACCATTAAAGATTCTATAATTTGACCATAACGCTCTAACGAAAGAGTTCCTCGATGTGCTTTCATTATTTCCGAATGTATAGCTGTAGAAGATTTTTTCGTTAAAAGATGTTTTTTCATATCTATCAATAGTAAATTACAAGATTCGTAAGTGTTGGCGAGACGCGTTTTGGCGTTCTCAGTACATCTTGTTTTTAATATAAAGTTGATTATTTTTTTCTGGCTTTCCTGGTCGATCATTGAGCTATAAAGGTCGATACCATCGATCAATTTTTTGGTTACCATCTCTTCTCCCGTCAATTCTGGTAAAAGAGATGTAGCGGTACGTAAGTCGAACTTCTCCATCTTAGCAATATAACTCTCTTCTGTTGAACTAAAACTATCCGTCTCACTATCACTCTTACTCTCTCTGGGGTGAGCAAAGATCTCGTATTTCCTTATGCGTTTTTAAAATTAAATTTTCTAAATTATTAAATATCTCTAAATCGCTTACCGAATATTGGGTAATATTTAACACAATTACTTTAATTATATCTTCACAATTTTTAAAGGTGAAACCTGCTTCATTTAATTTTTCCTCACAACTTTTCCTCCGTATAGGACCAACTTTTACTAAGTACTTTTTTATACTATTTAGTCTCTCTAAACAAGATTTCAAAGAATCAATTTCCATTACATAAACATTTAACAAAATATAGTATAAGTTGCATACTGCTGGATCTTGGGCTGCATTTCCGCCGCCGCCACCTCGTCTGGACATTCGCTCCCTGATGCTCCTCATGAAGCCGGCACGCAATTCTTGGTTGATCAAATCACGGTGACAGTTCTTATATTGTCTATATGCGAAATACAAGCTTATTGCGCCGCATATCCCAATAATAACAGACAATAAGATATTATTTGTGAAAAAATGCGTAGAGGCGTCCGCATTTAACTTAAAATCTCCACCGTGGTGCAAAACAAGAATTTCTTTATTCTCGCAAATACACTTGGAGCACTCTTTTCCCATCTTACGACACGACTATATCCCCGCGGTAGCAAAAGCCTATGGCAGGGTTGCCATGTGTCGGTTTGGTCCCGGTATACCAATAAAAGACATGTTGTCGCTATAAGGTTTTAATTAAGACTAACTACTTAACAAATACTTACACTAGAATACACTTGATGTGTCATATATGTACTAGGTATGTATACTAATAATGGCTACACTACAGGGTGCTTCTTGATGTAACAGTGTTGGAATTGGCACAGATACATTTTCAGAACTACTAGCATTTTCAAATAATGCCTGCGTTTTCTGAAGTGCCAAAAGCAGCTTTTTTGATCCTAGGGTCCAAAAAAGTAGCCTTTGCAACGGCTTTAGTGGTTTCCGAAATTCCAAGACGCCTAGATACAGTTTCTTAAATCTTTAATTTAAGTTGTTTTCCAATGTCTGTAATGCAATTTTTATTTGGATTTGAAGTCCTCGGAATAATGGTGTTATTCTTGACATTGTTGGGTACATTTCGCCTGACAAACCTTAGTCATAAATAAGATTAATTTAAAAAATTGAACGCAGTCGTCAATTGCTTCCCAATCTGATCTAGATTTCTTCGGAGCATTTGGCAATGATGAAAGGGCTGCTGACAGTGGTAGTTTCATTTGTGATAACCTTTCCATCATAATCACTGCAGAGTTCCATCTGGTGAGTATATCTTGCTTGAGCTTTAATTCCTGAAGTGCCATCTGATGCTGTATTTCCCTCAATTTATATGCTGCTAAATTACTTTGTTTGAAGTACGTGACTAGCGATCGGCTCTTTGAAAGCAAAGTTTCCAGAAATGGATTTTCTTTGATACTATGTTGAACCGACAAATTGCGCGTGTGAGTGACACATGGACGATGATACTTATGAAGATGTTCGGTGATTTTTTTATTTGCAGCGTTATCAGTCACCACTGTAACTATCTTGTTGGTAATATTCCATTTTGCTAAAATATTTAAAACAGCTTGTGCGATATTAACAGCAGAATGATCAGTTTGCACTTCTTCGGTAGATAAAACTCCAAAACGAATTTGAAATTCGTTTACATACTGTGCAGTCACCGCTATGGGCTCTGTTACTATCAGATGACCACATGTCTGTGGTTGCAGAAATGTAGTCAGTTTTTTCAAATTGTTTTTTTAAACTGGTGCTTATTAATTCATATTATTTGGATAATACGTTCTCCGATAGCACTTTTCTGGATGGTAACTTGTGTTGAGGATATATTTTTTTACAAAAAAATTGAAATCACGGTTTTCCACCATTGACAATGGTTGACAGTCCACTGCAATCATATTTATTAAATCCTTGTTGAATTTGCGACGTTCAACGTCGTTTACTTCAGTCTGTAGTCAGGGTGCACTCTGGTTTGTTGTAGTATGAGTCGAGCTGGCCGCGGCTGTTGTTGTGGGTGCTGAGCTAAAACCAGCAGCAATTTATGTTGAAGCCACGGGCGTTGCGGTGTCAGCTGACGATATAGTAGTAGGTAATGCGGGATTCAAAGGATTATTGTCCGTTGCAGTTTGAGTTTGTTCTTCTAATGATTGCGACAATTGAATAGGATGTTTCCTTTTTAGGTGATCATGTGCCGAAGTACTTGTAAACAGATACACAATTTGCATTCCACTGTGTCACTTTACCGTTTACCAATTGTTTAATAAAAAACTCCCACACTATTGATCTTTTAAAAATTTGTGACATTTTTATGAATTTAAAAATGAAACGGTGTAATCGTAAGTAAAGGTAAACGCTCGACTCGAGTCTGGCATGCTCTCGGTATCTCGCTTTAAACTAACATGCACCTCGGCGCGATGTATGCAATCGACTGATCTCGGTGACCGAGCGGCGAGCGAGCGAGACTCGGTGAGTGAGAGTGACTGATACGAACAATCGACACTAGCGGTCGATTCCATTGACTCGAAACAATCGAGAAACATCTCGATTGTTTTATGGAATGGGGAAACGATGGTTGACTCGATGGTTTATTTTAATGACTTCGATTCTTAAAACATCTCGGAATCGCCCATCGCTAAGAAAATCTAATCTTCATCTCCTTCAGCACGGCGCTTTCTTGTCAATTTTATATTTTAGGTGATCCAAGGGTATTGACACTGCATTATTATAACTATATTATTTGGTGCAAGTGTGTCAAAACTTGTTAAAATGTGGAAAGACCTGTATTAATGACATCGTAATGAAGTAAACAATTCCATTCAAACTGTGCAATAAAGAAGCCTAGCTTTTTACATCAATATTTTTAAGGTGTCTAAATATGTCATCATCAAATCAGTTGATTATTTGAATATGGTATTAATGTAATGTTAATAGTGTAACTCTTTATATATGTTTTTTTGTTTTCCTCATTTAAGTAGAATATAATGTTGGTAGGAATGGAAAACAGAACTGTTGGAATATCACTATATTCCCTCGTGGAAGCTTCGGCTCGTGGGAGGGCGGAGCACGGATATTTATATATATTTATAAAAACACACCCACTTAAAACTTTCACATATATTTATTTGCACTGTTGATATAATTTTGTATAATAAACGTACAAAAACCCCGACGTGTTTCGTCCGGCATGGCGAGAAGAGATTATAAGACATTAAAACTTCATTATATCACCCATTTCAGTATCTTTAACTCTTCTCGACCGCTTAACATAATACTTCTAATTATATTACATCACCTTAAAATTATCTTGTTCAAACCAAATTCCAACTAAAATATTTAAAAAATAATTGACAACCCCTTTTCATTTTTTTTTCCTAAATCAAAACCTGACCTTTAAATAAAAAAACAACAATACAATAAACTAAAAAAGAGACAAAGTGATTTTTAAAAAAACACCTGTAAATAAAACAAAAATTAAATCATACCTTCTCAGACAGCGACTAAAAAAACAATTATACTATTTCAAATCACCCCCTTAATTGTTTATAATAATTGATTAATAAAAACCACCCCCTTAATTGTTGATTACCCTTGTCTCTTTTAGTTCTATATATTGTTGTACACAACATAAAATTCCCTACAAATCTTAACACTCTCCTATCTCTCTACGACACTAGTTTCTTTTGACAACTTTCAAATTTAATCCTGGGTAAACTTTTCGTTAAGATATCCGCAGCCTGTGACCCAGTTGGACAATATTTGACTTCAATCCTGTTTTCATCGATCTTTTCTTTTAAATAATAATATTTAACGTCGATATGCTTGCTCCTTTTATTCATAATTCCTTTCTTCATAAGCCAAATTGCAGATTGGTTATCTACTCGCATTTCAATGACTAGATTTTCGTTTGTAATTTCTTTTACCAGATCTCTTATATATAACAGTTCCTTACAACATTCTGCAGCAGCTATGTACTCGGCCTCTGTGCTCGAAAGTGCCACCACTGATTGCTTTCTTGAGCTCCATGCGACTGGTCCACCATTCATCCAAATCACAAAACCAGAAGTACTTCGTCTCGTATCCGGATCACCAGCGAAATCAGAATCACAAAAGCCTCTTAATATTTTGTCACCTTTACTATAATGAATACCTTTTTCTTTTGAACCTTTAATAAACTTCAAGATATTTTTAACATTATTTAGATCATTTACATTTGGACTGTTTTGATGTCTTGAACAATAGCCTACGTGATAACTAATATCGGGTCTTGTTTTGTTTGACAGATAACGCAGAGAACCTACCATTTCTCTATAATCCTCATGCATTTTCTTATCTACCTTGACTGATGGATGTTGCTCTACCAAAATACATGGGTAGTTGCTCTCTCTCACGTTGTTCATATTAAATTTTCCTAACAATTTCTCACAATATTCCTTATCATTATTATTAATGTTTCTGTTAAATTTCCATGAAGAAAAGCTGTTTTAATTTCAATCCTTTATCAGCTGCAATTGACAATAAAATTCTTAATGAAGTAGTATCTATAACAGACTATATGTTTCATCATAATCTATCTTGTATTTTTGTTGAAAACCTCTAGCAACAAGTCTCGCCTTATATCTTCCATCTCCCTTCACAGTAAAGATCCACTTACTTGTAACCAATCTTCTTCCTTCTGCCTCTTTCTCATCAACAAAAGACCATGTGTTATTCTCTTTTAAGGAGTTCATTTCTTCTTTTATAGCTTTCCACCAGTTCTCCTTTTCTTTTGAATCGATTCCCTCCTCAAACGTCAGCAGAGAAAACTCTCCATCTTCCATTATAAAGTCTTTGTATCGATCTGGTGGTTTTCTATTTCGCTGCGGTTCAACAATTCTACATTTCCTAATATTTCTTCAGATACACTTTCAACATTTTCACTATCAAAAAATTCTTCTCTTTCATCCAAGTTTTCATTACTTAAAATCTCCACTGGACTGTTTGTTGTCATTCTATCATCATCGTCGTCAATAACATTTGATTCACTGTCATTTGACTTGTCTTCAATATCTAATTTTCTGCTTCTTTTATCACAATTTCCTCACCTTCCAAAATCACCTTCTCGAACACCATTTGCACTATTGCTAATATTTCTTGCAACTTCAGCTTCTCGAACTTCGTTTGCACTATTACTGATATTTCTAGCAACATCTCCTTCTCGAACTTCTCTGACTTCTTCTTCCCGATTTTTTTTATTTGTGTTATTACTATTCTGGTCCTCCCTGTCACCTTCCCAAAGCCCATGAATTACTTCATTATCTTCTAAGTATCCACCTAAAACTCCTTGTTCACTCTCATTAATTCGCACATCTCGTGCTCGTATAATTTTATTTTCGTACCAAATTTTATACCCGTTTCTTACATAGCCAACTAGTATACCCTTTTTACAACGATCATCTAATTTTTTAAGTTCAGAATTTATTTTAAAATAAGCAGTTGACCCAAATCTTCTAATATTTGAGACATCGGGATTATACCAAACCACAATTCCGAAGGAGTCTTATTTTTACCTTTTGTAAGACATCTATTTAATAAGAAACTTGCTGTTAGTAATGCTTCCCCCCAGAGGTATTTGGGTACCGCTCCATCCAACAATAAGGCTCTCGTTTTCTCCATGAGAGTACGGTTCAGTCGTTCTGCTTTACCATTAAGCTGCGGCGTATATGGAATAGTTAGATCTAGGACAATGCCTTTATTTTGACACCACGATACTAGGCTATTGTTCGAGTATTCAGTTCCATTATCACATCTTATTTTTTTAACTCGTAACCGAAAATGATTTTCTGCCAAGAACACAAATTGCTTTAATTTATCAAATACCTCATTTTTACTTCTTAAAAGGTACACTGCACAAAAGTGAGTATAATCATCCAGAATGGTGACAAAATACTTATGATTATTCCAAGTGGCTAACTCAATTGGACCGCAAAGATCTGTATGAATAATCTCTAAAAGAGATTTCGCTGATACCATTTCTTTACCGAATGACTTTCTACACATTTTAGCTCTAACACAAATTTCACACAAATTTTCTGAAGAACCTCCCTTAATTTTGATCCACTTTAAAAATTTAGAAAAGCGTTGTACTCCGGCTGCGTGACCAAAACGACGGTGCCATAAGTCGCAACTCTCAATTGCATACACTTCTTTATTAGGTTGTGCTTTAATCTGTACTTCATATAAACCAGTTTTATTTTTAATACCAGTTTTTTTTAGTAAATTTTCCAAAGTGTGTATTGATGTACCCAACTGCTGTAGCGACTATTCTAACTCTATTTCCTCCGCTTTCAAAACCTTCATTTAGTCACCTTATGACCAACCTTGTCACAATTGTTACACTTGACCACCTTGTTTAAGTTATTATTTTAAGCATTAAATGAACCCCAGGATTTCACTTCAACGCAGTCCGATGATGTTTTCATACATATTATTATGTATTGCTTGAGCTATAACATCATTACTCATATTACATGACATGCCAATACCCAGCTTATCATAGTAAAATTTTATTGGGTCTTCATCTTTTGTCCAAGACAACAATGATACGGTTAACAAGTTCCCTAATCTGTGACAACTTATTCTTAGTGAATGGAAATGCTATAATTAATTTTATTTTCCACTCATCCCAGATAATGTCATAGCAAGTTTGGCGTTCATACCAGCTTTTAGCATAGCCACCCAATTTAGAAGTGCAATTGCAAATCAAAGTGCGCTCATTGCTGCGTTGCTAAGCATTTTAACAGATATTAAAGTATGCTCAAATTATCAGTCTACTTATGTAAATACAAAAGTTCATGGAACAATCTCACCAAATAACCAGGAACATTTCCAGACGCAACTGATGCATCTTCAAGGACAGTTCACACAAATAAACCAGTTTCTCAACCAGAAAATGTTCACCAAAAACTTCTACAAACTTGTTGTACTGGAGGTCAGTGACCCTTAACGGATTGACAAAATTTGTGCAAAAATCAAGTATTAAGTACCGATCTGCATTAAACTTAGTTACTACAAGCGTTCTTATCACTAATTATGTGTGTCATCACCAAATTATATAATAAAAGCTTCTTTTCGCACCCAAAACCGCCAGTTTTTTTTTTTCAAACTTTGCACTTTAAAAGTGAAATTATCGTCCAATTCATCAAAGTTCACTCGTGGGCAAGATCACTTATCGCACTTCTGATATTGTTAGGTCGGAAAAACGATGTTAAACTCTTAAATATTAATTTATTATCCAAAATTAGGCTTAACCGACAGAATGCGCGCCAACGTTCGTATTTGACAGTTCCTGAGCTAGTGTCGGACGCGCGCGGTAATCGCGTCGCACTAGTGTTGTGTCGTCCCCGCTAAATCGGAGGATTATTCATATCACAAGGAACTGCTTGTTGTCTGTATCTCCTGGTTTATATATTGCACCAACATTAAGTGACAGTTTATTTATCCTTAGCCATAGGTAATGATTCCCGTTTTCTACTATATCTTCAGTAACCTCATACCTAATCGAGTTATGAACATAAAAAGATACACCCCCTCCTCTGGTGTTTAGTCTGAAATTATATATATGCGAGTAATTCGGCAAATTATAAAGCTGGGCATCCTGTTCAGATGTAATCCACGTCTCAGTAAATATCATTATATGCACCGTCCTCGGTATCGTCCTAACAATACATTTGATTTCATCAAATTTAGTTGCATTACGTATACTTCGCAGATTTGCATAAAAGAATCTTAGAGATGATGCAGTCGTTGGTATTTCCTCATATTTGTTGACTCGATGGTGCTTTATTTTATCTGTCTTATTATTATTTTTAATAATAATACGGATTCGACCACAACTATAACGCTTGGCTGAGGTCCGCATTATAGTTGTTTTCAACCCCTTACCAAAGGGAGATTGTAATATATATACATAAAAATAATAATAATAATTCTTTATTCAGGTACAAACCCACATCTTACAAATATGTCATATCAATTCTATATTTACCAAGTCTCACACACTTAAGTGGCTTTACACAGTCGGTTTGCAACGTTTTCTAGGACCTTTATAATCGAACATAAAATCTAATTTTTCAAAAATTTCTACTATTGTTGTTATATTTATTACGACATGTAAACATTTTTCTTCAACGTTGCTAAATATAATAAATTTTCCCTTGTTTTTTAGTTTTTCCTCGTTTTTTTCATAAATTTTAATACCTTTGGATTCTCATAGTAATTGTATCAATTTTCTCCAAACCTTATATTTTTCCTTATTTGAAAATGGAGTAATTTTTAAAGACTCCATCCTTAATTTTTTTTATTGTTTCGTTGCTATGTAATCTGGGTGGCTTTATAAATCCTTCCCAAACTACTATAAAATTCGCTTACAGAATTTTTTTTCCTTCCTTTATGTGTCTGGGCCCATAACCTGTTGGAATATCACTATATTCCCTCGTGGAAGCTTCGGCTCGTGGGAGGGCGGAGCACGGATATTTATATATATTACAAAAAAACATACCCACTTAAAACTTTCACATATATTTATTTGCATTGTTGATATAATTTTGTATACGTACAAAAACCCCGACGTGTTTCGTCCGGCGTGTCGAGAAGAGAAGTCCTTGTTTTTCGTCATAAAACAGAATAGAACATTTTAAAACCTAATTCAAGTGTTGCCAGCCAGTATCAATATATATAACCTCCAACAAGAACTAAGCAACTATTATATGTTTATGAAAAATCATACAAATGTAAATATAATCCCTTTTTAAACTTAAAGAAACGTAAGTGCACGAACTGTAAGTAATCTATTTTGTTAAGCAATTTTTATAATGTATATGTACACTATAAATTAATGTAATTTGGTTGTTGTTAAGTGTATGTATGTACAATGTACTTAATTGACACTTCCTGCTTGTGGAAACTCGGCCTCTGAAGGGGCCACAGAATATCAGTGTTGGGACATTAGTCCCAACGTAGCTGAGTGGACTCCTTTTCAGAGGCAGAGGTTTTATTTTTTTATATGTAACTAGTTAATTTTTATTTTATTTGTAATGATTTTATATTGTACTTGTTAAATGGTTTGTGTTATTGCCGAGAAAACGTCTATTCTATTCTATATAATAGTTTGAGGTTTAGTCTTATTTTTTAAAATTCCTATTGTACAAGACAAGAAAGCATGACTATCTAATACTAACTATACTATGAAGAATTATATAATCGCTCCATACAAAAGAAGTAATTGGATCTATTAGAGAATTAAAAAAGGTTAATCAACACGGGGGCTTATGATATGCCGCTTCAATTATTATTTTAGCCAGATGTTCGAGATGGCGAGCAGATAACAGGGTAGAAACTTAACCTATTAGAGTTTGTAAATAATTATGAGTCGATTGTGAATTATATGATATGTAAGTGGAAATAATGGAAATACTTTTATTTAAACAAATTCCAACACTGTTTATGAATTTATTGTTGTGGGATGGCAAAATTAAACTTGTGAACGGATTTGTTTTTTTAACAAGTATGGCAGCAGCACCATACCAATTAAATCTCGAACACAAACAGCCTTCAATACGAAAATTAATATTGGGTTTCAGCCAAGTCTCATTAAGAGATACTATTATGGGATTATATTTGTTGATAATGTCAATTAAATCCGTCTTTTTAGGAATTAAGCTTCTGCAATTTCATTGTACTATTATTGAATCCATTGTTGATGTTTATACTATCTATTAACTTATGTAATGTGGCGACGTTGGACGGTTTCAATGTATTTGTTTTTGATAAAGTAATTAAAGAAGTTATTATGTCCATGATATTGGAATCATCAGGGGTATTAGAAAATTCTTGATAACCACACCCATTTTCCGGGGCAGGAATCTGACCTTCCCTAAATAAAGATTTATCGGTAAGTCTTCAAAAAAAAAGAGCTGGTTTTGGCTTTGGCTCTGCGAAGGAGTTACCGAAGTTGGCCGACTCGGAAGAGATGGTTACGTCGCATCATCTCGCTTAAAACAAAAAATGGAGTCATCGGGAAAGCCAGTTATTACGTTACGCGGCCTTCCTTCCAGTGTGTGAAAATGATCGGCAACGGTACAATCGGAGTCCCGGGACAGTAGTGGGTTCGAAGAATCGCGGTTTCCTTTATGAGGAGAAACCAAGACATCGAGACAACATCCTTGTGGAGGGTACCGACAGAGGGTTTCGGCCCGTCATCGGAGATCTCCGGGGTCGTGCGAGATGTACTGAGCCAGTTACCCCCTCTCACAGACATATCGTTGAGAGAAACAAGACGTATTCGTTATTAGAAACACTTGGAGCCTGTATTTCGTTAGAGGGTCTCGTCAAATAAAATCCCTTTTTCTCTGATTATTCTTGCTTATTGCTCGAGTGACATGTTTTGCTTCGGGACCCTTGCGAGCTTAAGTAGCGCGAACTATACCGTGACGAGATGTCCGCGAAGCGTGTGCGAATTCGTGTAATTTTCCGACAATTTTTACTATCGCGAAGCACTTTGGAACCTTGTATTTATTTCACCGATTTTTCCGATTTACATGATTGTTTCACACAAATATTCCTTACAAAATTATCTATTCAAACATATAAAATATATTACAATTCGCTTAATTTCTAATGAAATATTGTAATTTATAACAAAAAGTTCGAGGATTTTCATTTTCCTATTTCGTTAGTTCTTACATGTATAAACTTCAAACTTATACAAAACGATTCTTCTTATTGATATTAAGCTATTATAAAAGTCAAAATATTAATTATATGACATACAAACGAGAAATATCAAAAAATAACTTTGTCATATAAACCTACATTAAAATCGTATTTCTTATACTTTAAGCTTAATTCTTTTAGGACATCAATATTTTACAACAAAAAACTATCTTAAACACTCATTTTAACGTACATAATATTTACAATTTACGCTTGCAAGTAATTAAATTAATTACAAAACACGTAAATACCCTGTGCGAGTGAGATAGTCATATGTGTGCAACAAA